GCGAAGAGCGAGAGTGAGTGAGAGAGAGTGAGATAGAGAGTGACGGAGGTATGAGAAATCGAGGTTTTCTTAGAATTCACGAATTCGATAAATTCTCGAGGTCGCTTTAATTTTTAAGAAATTTTACGATTTCGCGTTTTCTAGCCCCTTTAACAAAGAATGTCCCGGCCCCAGAAGTATTAAAGCAGCATTCAAATCACTGGAAATTCAGGGCAACCTCTGGAAATTCGGCCAAATCTAATCCGAATCCGCATTTCCCGAAAAGCGGAAATTAAGCAACCGAAAATCGTCAGCACGCCGTCAAAACCGCGGGCAAAATTGGGAAGCCGAAATGAGCGTCGAAATTGGGCCCCTGGCCGCAGGGCCAAGGGCCCAACCGGCCAGATTGTCATTTCGAAAGCGAGGATTGGCCGGGGAGATGATCAAACCCGGGAATTTGGGTGGGCTGGCCCGTTTTTTTGAGAGTTCCAGGGATGGGTGGTGTCGATGGCCTGAGCTATTTTTTTTCGAAAATTTGAACGTCGAAACTTCGCTGAAAAAGAGGTTTTGACAAAATAAAATTTTCACAAAATGAAATGCTGACGAGTCGGTTTTCGACAAAATGAAAGGTCGAGCAAGAAGATGCGGACAAAATGGAATGCCGATAAAGTGTAATGTCGACGAGGTGATTTTCGCCAAATGATCTTTGACAAAATGTCGACAAAACAAAATTTGGACAAAATGGAATGTCGACAAAAGCACGTTTTGACGAAGTGATTTTCGAAAAATGAGGTTTCGACAGCGTCAAATTTGACGAAGTGAAATCTCGACAAAATGGCCTTTTCCAAGGTGAAATGTCAAGCAAAAAAACGCCGACAAAAAAAATTTCGTCAACATGAAATGCCAACGAATTTCAACATCTTGATAGCAACTCGTCAAACCCTTTAAAACACGCAAATTCGGGTCGGCTCGGCCGCTTTTTCGGACTTACAGGGATAGGGTCCCAGTGGGGATGGGCCCCAATTGGCCTGGGCGAACGGCTCGGGCCAATTGGCCAGGGGGGGGGGGGAGGGCAGCTAGATGAGCCTGGCAATGGGCGCAAACCACAGGCAGGGTATGAATTTTAAATAGCCGAATATTATTCGGGGGGGAATGGGCGTTTTACGGTTCTTTTTCAGATGTCTCTGCATTCGGGATAAACAAGAAAATGGGTCGAATTCTTTGTAAATGGTAATTTCCAGGGGACGACGGCAAGCAGAAGGGGAATCCTATGCACTAATGAGCAGCTGTAGCTTTAAAACGAGGCGAAGAAGTACAAAAACAAACGGAGGATTGATGGGTTGGTTAAGTGGAGCGTCGAAATTCCAGAAAATCGAATTTTTAATGTCAAAGTTCGGCATGTCGAATTTTTTTTGCATCGGATTCGGGGGGTTTTCCCGGAAAGTTAGCCTACTTAAATTTCGGCATTCTGAATTTTGACATTATGAAATTTTGAGATTCTTAATTTCGAAAGTATCAATTTTGACTTTTTTGAAGGAAACAGGAATTTTACAGGGGTTGTAATAGCCGAAGAAAACGAATCGATATCGCTTCATTCAAGGACAAAGGAAGTCTTATTGTCGATGCAATCAAGAGTGCCCGGCAGCTCTCTCTCTCTCGCTGTCTCTCTCTCTCTCCCTCTGGCTCTCTCTCGCTCTCGCTCTCTCTCTCTCTCTCTCTCTCTCTCTCTCTCTCTCTCTCTCTTGGCCTGTACTGACGGGGAGACCCGAAAAACAGTGCCTTCTTTGGAATTATGACCCTCCAGGGAATTCCAGATGCCGATGGGGAAAATCCATAGATAATTATCAGAATTCATAGTCTCATATTAATGTTATTGTGATCTCAACGTCCGGATTTTTCTTGGTATGTTCGTATGGTTTTTGATTGATGGGTTTAAGTTATGTTCTAAGCGTTTTTGGTGTGTTATGTAGCTCTTAGAAAATCCAATTTTTTGTAATAGCTGGAATGTATGCTTTTTTGCGTTCTAATTCGAGAAAATTTAACTAATTAAACCCAAAAAGTCACCGTACCGTTTCCTTTGCGCTCGCGAGCATCCTCGTTCCGATGACGAGTCGTCCTCGGCGATCGACAGGTAGTCCATCTAAAAATGGCAAATTAAAAAAAAATATTCATTTTCCACCACATTCTGAAATGATAAGAACCTTTAAATCAAAGAATCCAAGGAAATCCAGCCCTAACCCTCTAAATAATCATATGTAAAAAAAGGTGCCGTCATCGGGTGCATGCAGGAAATATTATGAAAAATAGATTTCGGGTGGCCCAAGGGGAAATCTGAGCACACGGCTTGTCGCAATTTGATCGCGCACCTGGGAGAGAGAGGGAGAGAGAATGAGAAAGAGAGAGTGAGACAGAGACAGAGAGAAAGCACCGCAAAATCTCGGAATTTCAAGAGGTGATTCAGAAATTGGGAAATTAGCTAATGCACTAATGAAATCTTAGGCTTAGGAAATTTGGAAAGATGCCGATTCATTGTCTAGCCATATAAACATTTGAGAAGCGCCTTCTATCCCTCTTTGTCTCTCTATCTCTCGCGCACTCTCTCGCCTTCTGTCTCTCTCTCGCTCACTCTCTCTCCCTCTCTCTCTCTCTCTCTCTCTCCCCATCTTTCTCTCTCACTCTTTCTATTTTCCACTCTCTCTATCTCTCCTTATCTAACAAAAACGTCACCCTACCGTTCTACTGGCCCTCAACAGTCGCAGCTCGGAGGCGAGTGACATATAGCGAGCAATAAGAGTCGATACGGAATTCGGAATCCCTCACAAACCAATGCGAGCTTCTAACCTCTAATCGCAAAGTTTCACCCTCCCCCCCTCCCCCATCCTCCCATGTCTATTTGAATAGCCCCACAAAAGGAGGGCAATCTCGGGCGTCGCAAAATTGAGGCTGACCTCCCTTCGTTCGTCGTATGGAGCCCCTTTCATCTCGGGGGCCTTTAATTTGAATCCCCCATTTCCAGGATTTTCAGACGCGCATCGTATCAAAAGCCATTGCTGAGATTCCTAGCTTTCCCGTTTCCCGTGCCGTCACATTGAATTTTGATGAAATTTACCCGAGATGAGCTGGGGGAAACGTCAAGGCAAGTAATGGGATTTTCCTGGGGATAAAAATAGATTTTTTTAAGAGAATTTCGAGTTTTACACGGTACGTGAAGGGATATAGGTGAGAGGAAAGAGAGAGGAGAGAGAGAGAGAGAGAGAGAGCGAGAGAGAGAGGGAGATAGCGAGAGTGAGAGAGTGCGATAGATATTTCGGAAGTGCGTTTAGTGGCCAGGTTTTTTCAGGTGAAAAATGAAGCAAGGAGGGCCAGCTAACAGAGACCCCTTGGTCGGTCAAAGATATGGTTGGAGCGGTGAGAAAAAGGGCAAGAGATAGATAGATAGAGCGAGAGAGAGAGAGAGAGAGAGAGAGAGAGAGTGATAACGAGAGAGCAAGGGACCTTCGAGGCTCTTACTCTAGAAAGCAAAAAAAACCTATTTTTATTTTAGAAATGATCCGACCGAAACTTTTGGCGCGAGCCCAGAAAGACCAAGTTCAAAAACCTCCTCTGAAAAGTCGCAAGAAATATTCTCCCATCCCAGCCCCATCCAATTGTTAATGCAATGAACTCCCAACTGGGCGGGTAGCCGAATGCCCGCAGTTCCGAAAATATGCCTCCGGCTCCTGGTGGGACTCCTCGCGAAGTTCTCCTCCTCCCACCTTTTTCTAATGATCCAAACTTTCGGCTACAAATAGGGCAAGCGTTTCTAAAGCGTTTTTCGGGCGTTTCAAAAGTTATAGATTTTACAAATCCCCTAAAAATGTAAAAACTATCGATTTTTCGACCAAAAATGTCATTTTTTCGACAAAGTTTCGACAAAAACTCTTGGAGGCTTGTTGTTTTGCCCTTAAACTACGCTGTTTTTTCCATTTTAATTGATTCAATTTTCCGAATCCAGGTTTTGAAATTCGATATTTTGGAGTTTGGCATTATGGAATTCGGCATTTTAAAATTCAGAATTTTGAACTTCGGTGGAATGATAATTTGGCGAATTTAGGCCCAAAAACGAGAATTCGACGAAATCGGCAAAGCGAAGAGGCAACGAAAACCCGCTGTTCCAAAAATATTCCTTCAGCCTCTACCCTCGAGAAGGCGCATCTTTGGATGGCCACCCCGTGGGGCCCACAGCGGGAGTTGAAAGATAAAAAGCTCCCTGAAAAGCTCCATGAAAAATGGCGAGAACGTTGCCGAGGTCCGAGGGGGTGAGAGAATATATTCAGTTATTCCCCGGGGCGACGACGACGACGGGTTGAATCTCTTCAGCTCGGCGGGGTCCCTCCTTTTAGCGGGCCCAAGCAGCTGTGGGTCGCAGAAAGCGGAAATTTCCGGAAATTGCCCCCGCTGACCGGGAGGGCCGGGAGGACGGTTCGGCACTTTTGAGCACTGACCAGAGGTTACGTGTGCCGGCGTGCGTGCGTGCGTAAACAACGTAGGAAAAATGGAATCAACCTGATCTGTTAAACCTTCAAAATTAACTTAAAAATGAGTTAGCAATATTTCAAAATAGCTTCCGTATCGATAAATTCCAACAGAAACAACAAAATTAAACAAATCCAGACGCCTGGACCTCCCGAATAGCAAATGCTTCAGCGCCCAAGCCCAAATTCCAATCGCAGCCATGCGGAAACGCGGCAGAAATTCCCGAAAAAGCCCCGGAATAACCCTCAGATATTTTTTGGGGCGAAAAAATAACGACAACACGACTCACACCCCAAGGAACCACTTTCAGAGACGGTGTTGTAAATAGAGGTCCACTCGGACAGCCAAATGGTAGGTAACAGAAATTTATCGTAAAAGCAACAACTTTAGCCGCGCCACGGGATAAGTTATGGAGAATAGTATCATATAAAAGCAACAACAGCACGAGGGCTGAGCGACGGGGCCAACAAAAAAGAATACCGCGAAACGGCGACGCCTTTGGCTTAATTATCATCTTCGGAGCGGCCCTCGTCGTCGCTGTCAAAGGTGCCGTCGGGCAGCCCGTAGAGGCGTACGATTGGGGCGTGCGGGTCCTTCATCAGCAGGTACTTGCCGGGCTTGCGCTTCATCAAGCTGGAAACGGGAAGGGTTTTTTTGGGCTGTAAAGCCAAGAAATCTATTCCGGTTTATTCAGCTGGATGTTAATTGCCAAAAACGGCCATTTTCCTCGTGGCGAATGCATATTGCGCTAATTCTCAATTTGCCGAATTTCTTTTCAAATCGAAAACGAACCCCTCGGGGAAATGAGGTCCGGCAAGTTCTCCAAATAAAATCAACAACTTATCCAAAACCCACTTGTCAATAATAACGCGCAGAATTCCCCAGCAGTTGTCAAAGTTGAGCGTGATGTTCTGGGCGAACTCCATGGGCCGCAGCTGCTGGGTGCCGAGAATGACGTGCTGGGCAGTGTTCTTCGGCGTAAGGCGCGAGACGTAGCCTTGATGGCGTCCGAGCCGGCGAGCACGGCCTAAATCACTAAATTGCTAAGAAAAGAGAAAGTCCTGTACCTGAACCGTCCATTTGACCAGCTTGCAGCCGTTGTTCTTGAGTTCGGTGGCGAGGACAGCTCCCTTTTGCCCGTCAAGTTTTGATCGCCAGTCGACACCGTTGGACTGAATAAAGAAAATTTCGAATTAATAAAAACGATCACAAACCTGAGTACTGTCCCATTCGTTGAAGGCCTTGATAGTCAGCGTCTGCACTTCCCCATTGACACGGACCTACATTCGAAAAAGTTAATGAAAAGCCTAAATAAAATTACCATAACACCATCATGCTCCGTGCGCACGACAAGCTCGATCGGCTTTCCGTCGGCTCCAGTGCCAAGCGAAAATTTGCGATATCTAAAAATAATTCTAATCAAAAGGACAGGCGGTACTTGTAGGCGCATGACGCATCATTCTGGTCGTTATCATCGTCGAAGGGGTACTCGGTGTGCTTCATCTTGTAGGTCTCGCCATCGCGACGGAGTACCTACGAAAACTATAATAAAATTAGAAATAGAAACCCGACCTGACGGCGAAAGTTCTGATTGATGTAGAGCGCTTCGGTGGCCCGATCCTTGGCATTGTCAAAAACTACACCAGCTTCGCAGTTTCCGATCGACAACTAATTACGAGGTTGAAATGTTGGTGTGGCTCGTAGTGTTGCTGGATTTTTTCATTGCTCGTGATCTATATATTTTTTTGTAAATCTAAATCTAAAAAATCACACTTTTAAGAAAAATAAGTTTATTTCACAGCTTCTGATCGAAATTTAATAACGCGGCGTAACTTAAATACATTAGAGATTTTAGACTTTTATTTTCTTCTAAGTTCCATTTTTGTGATTCGCAACGCAAGTTTTTTACAGTTTTGGTTTCCGACCAGGGGTCAATATTGTTTTAGCTGGTACCAGGGTTGAAAAGCCGCGAAGCGGTGTATGCTATTTGATTCCTAGCAAAGAGGGTCAGGGGGTTTGAACAAAAATTAATATTTAATGTCGAAAATAGGCGATTTTGATAAATTTGATGCGTGCAGTCATCTCTAGCCCATTACGCTCCTAATGACGTATCAAACATACCCCTAACTACTCTCCTTCTTGAGATACGACTGGAACAACCTGACGGAAGTTGCATGCAAAGTGGCACACACACACACACTATTTTTTTATATATAGTAGGATTCTAGGGATCCATGAGCGTCATTTTCTGCCAACTATCTCGTTTCCCCGTCAATTTATCTGCTAAATCATGCTTTTATATGGTGCTTCTTTCCAGCCACCCCCATGAGATGCCTGCCTGAATGAGGGCGTGCGAAGATTGTCGACATCGACCGCGCAGCGCACGAAATGGCATGACAGCCATCGACCGGGGTCGATCACGCCCGATCTAGGCGACAAGAAGCCGACGCACATTATTGTCGGCGCCGGCTCGGCGGGTTGTGTGCTAGCTAACAGGTAAAATTTTCACTAGCTACAACTATCTGATTTTGAAGACATGGATTGCGAGTCGAGACTAACCCTTCCTTTTTCAGGCTCAGCGAAGATGCTTCAAATCGTGTGCTTCTCATCGAGGCCGGACCCCGGGACCACTGGTGGGACTGGCGCATCCATCTGCCGGCCGCTCTCATGCACAACCTCAACCACAACCGCTACAACTGGTACTACCACACCGTCGCCCAAAAGCACCTGAACAACCGGACGTTCTACAACCCGCGCGGGCGTGTGTGGGGCGGCAGCTCGACGCTTAACGCAATGTGCTACGTGCGTGGCCACGCGCACGACTACGATCGATGGGAGAAGGAAGGGGCAGATGGATGGGCGTACAGAAATTGTCTGCCCTACTTCAAGAAAGCGGAGACGTATGCGGACGCGAAACCTGGCGATCCGTATCGTGGCACAGACGGCCCGTTGAAGGTGAAACGCGGTAATGCGGATCATGTGCTGCATCGGGCTTGGCTGGAAACTGGAAAGCTGCATCCTGTCGGTTACACAGATGATATGAATGGTTTCAAGCAAGAGGGGATCGCCAAGATGGACATGACGATTCATGATGGGTACCGGTGGAGCGCGTCCAGAGCCTACTTGTGGCCGATTCTAGGACGCACGAATTTACACGTCTCTTCTGGCATCACTTGTACAAAAGTGTTGACTAATCAGGTAAATTTCGGAATACTTCTCTGGTATGCGATATGCGTTTTATCAATACGAATAACGGACGTGTTTCCAACCAGATTTTTTTTCCGTGCTTAATCTTAAAACTATCAAATTTAGACCAAAATTTTTCAAAGATTTTGTGACTTCTCAAAATTAGTTTTGCATGTTTTGTTTGCTAGATTGATCAAAAGGGTAAGACTTTACTTTACCCCCCCTCCCGCCGACTGCCGAAGGGGCTCAAAGTTTTCGATGTTTTCGCTTATTTTGTCGGGATTTTTGCTACGCCATTCGATAGAGCCTGGAAAATACACTAAGCTCTTGAATTTGAGAAATAAGGTGACACCTTTTTATTGTCTCTTTCTAGGGTCGCGCCATCGGCATCGAATTCATCAGGCAACAACACTTTGCTGGCGCCGAGACGGTCAACGCTCATTCCCGCGAGAAGCTCTATTGTGAGGACTCTGTCATCCTCTCCGGCGGCGCCTTCAACTCGCCACAAATCCTTCTGCTGAGTGGAATCGGCCCCGGCGATCACTTGCAGAGTCTCGGCATTGATGTCATCCAGGATACGCCGGGCGTTGGCCGGAATTTACAGGTGAATTCGATGCCAAAATAGTTGTAATCAGATTTTAGGACCACTTGGAGACGTGCAACAAAAGTGCACCAAGCCGGTCACGCTGTACAACAAAAGCTCTTGCAAATTCCCGCACAACATGATCGCCATCGGAGCCGAGTGGTTTGCAAGGCGGACCGGGCTAGGGGCATCAAGCCATCTGGAGACTGGCGGGTTTGCGAGGAGCAGTGATGACCTCGCGCATCCGGATATTCAATTCCATTTCCTTCCCTCTACCGTTCACGATGATGGTCGCGGTGTCGGACAATGTCATGCTTATCAGGTAATGGTTTCAAAGCAATTTGTGGGAGTTTTTCGGATTCTGTATTTTTGATTTAGCCGAATTTCGCTTATGAAAACTCTGCGACCTTACCGGCGTAGCTAAGGGAAAAAGCGGCGAAAAGAACTTTGACCGTTCTTTTCAGGTTCATGTCGGTCGGATGCGTTCGAAATCAGTTGGAAGTGTGCTATTGCAAAACAAGGACCCACGACAGTAATTCGGCTTGTTTTAAGTTAACTTTTCTTTAGGCCTCCTATCATCGACCCGAACTACTTGCCGTTGATCAGGATCGCCGTGAATTCCGCCGCTGCATCCGGCTCTCGCGTGAACTTTTCGCCCTGCAACCTTTCGACGAGTTCCGCGGCGGAGAGCTGGCCCCAGGCAGTGACTGTGTTTCGGGTAACAAGCATCTACTAAAGCTATAGAATTTTTGTAGATGCCCAAATCGACAATTTCGTCAAGGCCTACGCGGCCTCTGCCTACCACCCGTCGTGCACCTGTAAGATGGGCCCTGAGAGCGACAAGATGAGCGTCGTCGACCCAAAATCGTTGAATGTGCATGGATTTGAGAACTTGAAGGTATGCGTAGTACGACAATAGGAATTATTTACTAGCATTTTAGGTAAAATTCCAAGGGAAAAGTGTTTTTTAAAAAGCTGGTTTTTTGGTTGTATAAACTGTATTTTTAATATTTCCGTAGAAATTGGTACATTTTTGACGTTTAGTAATAGAAAACCTCATTGTAATAGTTTACTTATACTAGAAAAAAACCTGTATTGATTCCTTTCAGGTAGTTGACGCCTCGATAATGCCTTCGGTGGCCAGCGGCAACCTCAACGCACCAATCATCATGATGGCCGAGAAAGCGGCCGATCAGATCCGCGGCCACGGCATGCTGCCCCCAAATGATGCACCTGTGTGGCACCACACGAAATAGTCTTTATTTACTTACCTCTGTTTTCTTGTTTTTGTTTAGGTGACTTATGGTAGCATTAGTCTTTGTTGTTTTCTCCTTAGAACTGCTAGGTGCTCAGAGCGAATGATGGGTTTATTGTATTTCTTAAGCGTGTCTCTTCTCCGTGTGACACCATTTCGACTGCTCCAAAATGAAATTTTTTCCCCGTATTTCATTTTTCTGTATAAATACTGTTGTGCAATATGTTCAGCATGGTTCGCCCGTTAATGCGGCATTTTACCGATATTTTATGAAAATATTTGATCCTCTTTTGTACACTTTTGCTAAATCGCGATTTAGAATGGCGTTACCCGTTTTCGAACTCGATAGCGTCTCTGACAATACCTCATCATGGGGACCTCGTCCTGTTGTTGAAGAGCATGACATGCCCTTCCAGCAATTCAACAAGGCAATTGTATAATTCGGCCTATTCATTTACTTTTCAGGCTGACCGCATCGGACGTGTCGCTGATTGGATAGGTGTTGATCGTTATTTCCGTCGTGGCGAACGGTAAAGGTTATTTTATGGGATCTAGGTTCATTTTTGTAGCTACAACGAGCGTGTCTACGGTTCGGCTGCCAATGCCGGCTCGAAATTCGATTATGTCCACGAAATGGACGAGAACAACTTCCAATTGGTAAGGATTCGGAATACTGCCTTATTAAATTTCGTTTTAGGTTGACTCGTCACGCCCGGCGCAACGCGCTCCTCAGCGCAACTTCCGCACTCGCCAGATGCACTTCAAGAAGATGCTCCAAAACCAGCAGAATCGTCGCGATACCGTCGAGCTGAACTGTTCGCAGAAGATGAAGCGTTCGATCGCAAAGTCAGAAGATTGAGAATAGTTTGAAGGAATTTTTTAGGGAGCACCAACCTGTTTACAAACAATGGCAGCGCAGAGAAGGACAAGCCCGTCAGGGTCTGGGTCCACGTGGTGGCCGTTATGGCAACAATCGCATGCCTTCGGTGCAAGTGCGCGGCGACTGGACGTGCTCGAGGAACTCGATTGCCCGCGTTTGGTCAAGCTCAGCCTGCGCTCCCTACACATCGACGAGCCGGCCGTCTATTTGATTGTCCTTGCGTGTTGTTTTGTCCCAATCTCTACCTTGCTGTTGCTCCAGTCCTATTTTATCTGTCGAAGGCGTGTAATGATTGGGCAATATCTATCACAAGACCTCATGAACGGTGGTAGAAGGGTGGTGCTTTTTTGTGGCTCGATGAGGGTGAAAGGTGTGCTTTTCTATCGATGACATTCAAATTGGAAATAATTACTGGGGTTTTCGCCACATGCATTTTCCGTTTAATGCAAGTTTTTTTTTAATTCTTGTGTTACGGAGAATGTTTGGAAAATTGGTTCAGGGCTTTAAGAACACGGAATTGGCGGCAAATTAATTTTTGTCGCAATCCCTGTTTCTTGATGTACCTATGATAGCCTTGTAGTCGTTAGGTGTTGTAGATACCTTTAGCGTCCTAAAATCGGTCGGTGATAGGTATTGCTGCTCAATTATATATTCCTTTAATTTGTCGAGATTTAATTGTCTCAATTGTCTCATTGTATTTCCCGATTTTGTCTTCCAGCCGACATCCACTGCAGGTAGAGGGATGTTTGTGGTTTTTTTATTCTTATTTTAGTTGAGAGAACCGTGAGGTCAGACGCTCTCGCCAGATATCACTCTACATCGTCTATGGGCGACATTTTACTCCACACCTTCGACGAGCATCGGTCAGCTGATGCAGGTAATTTATCGGCATTTTCGCGAAATTTGTGAAATAAAGATTATGCTGGTGTTTTTTTGTAATTGATCGCAGGCATTGTATTATTTTTGTGTGTTCTGAGGTAGAATCCGTCTGTTACTGGTGATTCTCGGAAAATTACAAGTTAGCTGGATTTTGTCCTTTTTATCACTCGATACGCCAAATGACGCTTAGTTACCTTATCCGGTGGACAAAATACCGTAACCAAACATTCTGCACTCGACTCCCTCTAAATAAATTTTTGGCGGTATTATTTTTCGAATTTTTCTCTGTTCTTGTGTTAGCAGCGAAACAAACCTCTGGGTTGTTTGCCAAGCATTTCGCTCGTCTTTTAACCTGCTAAAGCATTTGTTCCAGGATGACTTCGCCATTCGTCGATGCCATGGTTTGTGTGGTCGTCGTCGCGTGCAATGAGGGATTCCGAAGCAAGCTACCGCCCAAGTCACCATCGGATATTCGAGCAGTCCTCGAACGCGCGGGTATCACAACTTCCGTCGGCATTGTGGATGCCGTTATGCGCGAGAAGTTTACCGGCAATTCCGAGGTGAGTCGTTTTTTGTTATGTAGCCGGAAGCTTTGATTTTCTTGTCCCCCACCGAAATTCACCCTTTCATTTAGTCCTGGCAACTTCATTGGAACAACGCGCTTTCCTTGTTCACCAATTCGGAAGACGAGGAGATGACAGACCGCAACGCACACCCATTGCCCGATCTGCCACTTCAACTGCTCTACCTCGTATGCCGATTGACCGATTGCACCTCGCCGGTGAACGCTATGCGGTTGGCCGCCTGCATCCAGTGCCAAGATAGCTCGATCTCTACACAGGAGTCAAAGCTCAAGGCAGAGGCGACGGTACATTTCTTCAGTTTGGCAAATATTTCGGTAAGTATTTCGACCGCGGAGTTATTTATTGGGCCATATCGCTAACCTTCGTCACCTCTATTTTCTTTTTAGACAATCGTTGCCGTCATCAATCGTAGCCTCGAAGAACAAGAGGACCTTTTGTGAGAGCTGTCGAGGTTTCTAAAATTACTTGCTGGTCTCTATCCCTGTTGCTGATTTGGTTCTATTGTTATTTCGACGGCTGTGATTATTTTTGATGACCGATCCCGAATTTGTATGTGTTCTGTGCCCCACTATCTCGCTGTTTTCCGGGTTCGTTTTTACATCTTATGCGGATGATAAAGTTCAGCTGTGTAGATCTCTACTTAGACCTAGCGTCGATAATTGTTGTTTTTGAGGCAAACATGGGCTAATTGAGCGCTCCCATCAGCCACAGCCGCGCGTTGCTTCTCAACCCGCTCTATTTGTTCTTTCAGAAGTTAGGGGCGTTTCTCTGCAAGGTTAGAAGGCATGGAGGTGCGTCTTTTAAGCTATCAGACCGGGTTGGTAGTACGTTGTCCAGGTATATTTACCAGGTAGCTCGAAGAATTCTCGCCATTAATTTCTTCGGATACGCAGTTGCGGCAGTCGATGAGGCGGTCCTGCGGGTTGCCTATACATTACGACGGTTTTCTTTAGGGGCCAGCGTCAGGTAAAAGCGCATGGATCTCATACATTTATTTTGCCCAGCAGATACCTATTCACAAAACCATGAGTACGGGCCTGAAGTAGCTGTGCCAACATGGAGAAATGTGCCTTCAAAGGGTCAACGTCGACGAATCCCATCGAAGGTGAAGCCGATCCGTTGGTTTGGCGATTGTTTTCTCATATGCATTGTTTAACGGCCATGGTTCCTAAAAGGTTGCACCCTAACTTGTTTAGGGCAGTTAGCTCGGATCGGGTTCGGTTGGAAAACGGAACCGCCCTGTTTTCGAGGTATCAAATTTCAGCCCCTCATCTCCTTTGTGCCACTGGTCGACAGAGGTTTAGTTTGCGGAATATTGAGCTAGTCGCGCACTAGGATTTGGATGGGAGACGAATATTTTGAGCGGAAACCGTACTAAATCCTTGATTTAGAAGTGACGACATGGATTAGCCGGGCTATGGGTTACCTGATGGATTAGCTGCTGCGTGTGTTGCAGCGCGTCATTTAGCGAAAGTATTATCCGAATGCCCGTGTCACAAGTCTTCCTCAATGTTCCTGGCACTCTGCGTTGAACATCCCGCACGCAATCCACCACGTAAATCTGCACAATTGCTATGGGTTTTTTTTCAATGATTGGTGCGTGAATGATTTGATTCTCGTTGATCAAAGGACCTGAGTGGCAGCGGAGAGTGGAGCGCGATTGATGGCATCGATTAGTCTATTCAACATCACACCCATTTCGAACAAGTACTCGGCGCAATCCTCCTGAACTTATTCTTTCATGGTGAGCAACGGAAGCTTGCAGTGATGTTTTGGGAAATCACGTAAAGATGGAAACCTGGTCCGGTCGCTGTTCGTAGAGCAGAGTGCGAAATGCGATGACTTGCGTCTGTGCCCCCGTTGGTGTATTCTAAGAAAATACAAAACGCGAGATGGCAGTAGTGTGACGACGAAAAATACCTTAACGATGTATCGAATGAGTTGTTCGACAACGGCTAGTGATCCGAGGCAATCCGATTTTCGCCAATACATTTGATTAAAACGAATCCGCGGCACCCCACGCAACTGAAATAATATGAGTGGATTTAGATTTTGCTATAGGCTGAGGCTTAGTCTTGGTGATGACTTATCGTGAAACTCCACTCTCGGACCTCTTTATTTTTGGGCGCGCCGAGCTGTTTTTGACAAAATGTATGGGATATCGAGAAAGAAATGGGCCAAATTTCAAGCGGTCATCCAGTGTCTCATTTTGTTGATCTCAACAACTATCGAGATATACTTCTCTAGGGTTATCGATTGGCTTTTTAGGTATCGCATGCAAATCACTGTATGCACTTTTTTGCAATACCGCATGTGCAGAATTGAATCTACGATCTCAACCCTTCAAAGTCTCGCCGACAGAACTCTCGTACCAACCTCATAGCATAAAGGAAAAAGGGTGTACGAAAAATTCGAGAAATGAACGAACTTTTTACGAATCCGTCAAATTCGACGCTCACAGGATACCCGACCATGCCCATTACGGCTTGGCACAGCGAGGTCGAAAAAACTGTGCCAAGCCATGTTCGGGTCTGTCGCGAATGCCCTGTTACGTGCAAGAATTTTTGCCCCACCCTGTAGTGAATACCTTGTGAATGGCGTCGATATAAATGTCCAAGTAATCTGCTGGAGAATACTCGCCAGTCGGCCAGAGGCAAACCTGTAAAAAAAGGATTTCTTGGCTTCTTATGGAAAGAATTGGGGTCAAAACGGACAATGAGAAATTCGTGGTTAAATTTGACGAGGGTGTCTATGACGATATAGTCGATAGGAATGATATCATCGATAGGAATGAGTCTGCTGAGTCGCAATGTTTAAACCTGGCGTGGTCGTATCCATGGCAGAATCCAATTGTCGAGCTGGAGGTAGCTGAAAACACACTAATCTCTCTCACTCTCTCTCTCGCCCTCTCTCTCTCACTCTCTCTCTCTCTCTCTTTCGGCTCACTGTTTCTCATCTCGGACGTCCCGCGGGCGCCACGATACGCGTGCTCCAAAGCACGGCATAACAGCGATGTGGGATCGACGGACGAAGGACATTTCACTGAGCGCAGCGAGTACACAGCCCTAAAATCGGTTTTTCTCGTGGTCCGTTGGTTTTGGTCGAAGTTTTTGTTCGAAAGCGGGCCAGTATTGGTCATGAAATCGATCTCAAAAAATCAGTGCAACCATCGCCCGCCATAACTTCCCAAACAGGTTGTTTAAAGGTTTTCCGTGTCGACGAGGTTTCTAGGAACGGCTCATCGACCGCTTACGTAACGTAATCCTCTATTTTTGACGCCCCGGGGCATAATCAGCCCAGGTGTGGCATTTGGAGCGTTGAAGTCAGCGCAGGAGCGGTGCCGCCGTCTGGACTAATTATGCCCTGGCGCATCAAAAACCAGATGGTTACAGTCGCTTCGCGACTGCAACCATCTGGCCTTCGGGCTACCCTGCATGTCCCACTCCACCACATCCTTTCCCACCTCCATCATACCCCCGATAGCCGAAATCCCGTTCAAAAACTACCTAAATACCTTCCTGATGGCTTCAGATACCCCCCCCCATGACTGAAATCCCCTTCAAAAACTACCTAAATACTTTCCCGATGGCTTCAGATACCTCCCCTAGCCGAAATCCCCTTCAAAAACTACCTAAATACCTTCCTGATGGCTTCAGATACCCCCGATAGCCGAAATCCCCTTCAAAAGCTACCTAAATACCTTCCTGATGGCTTCAGATACCCCCGATAGCCGAAATCCCCTTCAAAAGCTACCTAAATACCTTCCTGATGGCTTCAGATACCCCCGATAGCCGAAATCCCCTTCAAAAGCTACCTAAATACCTTCCTGATGGCTTCAGATACCCCCGATAGCCGAAATCCCCTTCAAAAGCTACCTAAATACCTTCCTGATGGCTTCAGATACCTCCCCTAGCCGAAATCTCCTTAAAAAACAAAAATAACGACCGACCGGATGGAATGAGAGAAAAAAAGAAATGAAATCCCCGTGAAAATTTTCATCCACGAAACGCGCGCCACCTGGCTCGCTATCTCCAAAATCCCCCCAACCTCTGTCCCCCACCCATATTACTAAACTTATAAACTTATATTTATATTAACTTATAAAGGAAAAAACTTTCAAAGTCAATTTTAATAATTTAAACTAAAAGTTTTTCATAATTTTTTTATCAGTTTGGGGGTTTCTGACGGCGCTCTATCCGAATCCGAAGAGATCTAAGCTCTAGCTCTTTTCCCCTTCGAGTTGAATTCGGCTTCAGACGGACAGACGGACAGAGACCACAGCAAAATTATTATAGTTGATGGCAGATTATAGACGAGCCCTCTCCCAGAACCTCGTCGGCACGGGCCGTCCGAGCCCCTTTAAAAGGAGGGTAGTACCAAATAATGGGGGACCCATCGTTCCGGATACACGTTCTTATTGCTTCTCCAGTATACCACCGGATAAAACATCGAAAAATATTTTACACTTCTTCTATTGCAGTTTAAAGAAACTTAATGAACACTGGTTTTTAAATTAACTAAAATGGTCGGTTTTTGGAAGGTCACCAGTCGGACCACGCGTCTTTCTGTCAGAACTTCTCCTATTGGCGCTTAATGTATGCCATTCGATAGTAAGTTAAAGTTATTACTTGATTATACCGAAAAGTTTCACTTGTAAAAAAATAGGTGTAGATTAAGTTTTTCGGGCTGCCCATAAAGTACATCTTCGTATAATTTTCGACGCCCTATCCGATGGCAGTTATCAGTAAACAAGAGTAAATTTTCTAAAAATAAATGATTCCGCCCCATTAAGCCACTTTACGTAATTTCCCACCCGCAACGCCGTCTCGACCATAAATTCATTGCGTAGTGCGACCGGATGGCCGGGGAGAATTCCTGTGAATTTTTCAAGTATTCGCAGGCAACGATTCCGATCAAGTGCCGGTGTTGTCTCGAATCCAGAAATCACTTCGTTAAAGGGGGCGTCGCGATTAGGGGATGGCTTGGACAGTCCACATTCGAAACGATGCAACGCCACGGCCTTATCGACAGCCATCACGATTGTGAGGCAGTCATGAGCATCACCGTCCTCATCTGAATTAAACGTCATTCTTGATGTCACTATGGACCATCGGGACACCCTGTATACCGCCTGGCGCTCTCGCTCACCTCTCCTTTGAGCTATCTCGAAACAGATGCGGTCTAGGGAACACTGTAAAAGAATTTCACGGGATGCGGAATGCAAATACCAGAACTAATATTTGAGCGAACCGGTATTTGCCGCGAAGGAGAAATATGTGCGCGGGTAGAGAGGAAGAGGCAGAACAGAATACCTGAAAAGTAATATCTTTACGTGTACATTTGAACAAAACTGTACGCAATGCTGATTTCCAAGTTAACAGGCTACAATGCCGCCTGACTCCCCTTCACCGGGGTTTTTAACCTTACTTGGGGTCACGCCCAGAATTTGCGGCAATAAGGACCTAAGCAACGCGAAGCTCCATTCGTCAAGAAAATGTATGGGGCCATAACTTCGTAGCCTTATAACTTTAAAACTAAATGGAATCTTAAAAAAAGCGATTTCCAACTTTGTAGAATGGGAAAAGGCGATTCCAATGATACCAAGCACTAAGAAAACTGAATTCAAAAAGTATCGAAACGAAGGCGGTTTTTGTTGACGATTTTGTGAAAAGTGGTATTTCGGAGGGCTAACTGGCTGGGTTCTTTAGGATTTCCGGGGAAGTATTTCGGGGGAAACCAAATTTTTTCCTGGTTTTCCCGGTCGACCTAGTAATCAAATATAAAATGTTTTCACATTGTTTTTAGTAAATTTTAACTATATTTAAAGTAGAAAAACTGTTCAAAAAAAGTTAGAAAAATGTTTGAAAAAGTCGAAAATTTAGTCATTTTGGGTCTTCCCCCCCCCGCTAATCCTAAAGGTTCTATAGGATTTTTCGACCTAAAATTAAATTTTTTTAATTAAAATGTGGGTAGTTTTTATGCTCAGGACTAGTTAAAAATCATTTAGAAACGCATGCGCTATTTAGAAAAAAAATTAGGCTTGGGCCGAAAAAATTTGGTTTCCCCCCCCGGAAATACTTCCCCCCCCCCCGGAAATCCTAAAGAACCACTGGCTGTTTTTGGTATCATTCGAACCGTAAAATTCTACTCTGCAAATTTGATATTGGGTTTCCATTATTAAGTCTGTTTGAAAAAGTTATAAGAGCTTAAACTTTTTGGCGCCCGCTACGTTCCGCTCCTATCGACGCTTTTGCCCCTCTCGGCACATTGCCGTTTTTGGCCTGTTTGATTGGCCGTGGGGGCGCGCACGAGAGGGAGACAGGGAATGGGCGAGGCCACGCCCCCCCCAAAATGTATTAGAAACCTACGCGCCTGCTTGCCAGGGTAGCATTTACAAGGAACCGTGCCGCGGGGGTGTCCTTTTCAGGGTGTGGTTTTCCAGAGGGTGTATCGAGGGTGTACTAGGGTACCCTTTCCTGGCTGCACCCGTGAGCCCCCACGTGAAATTATTTGTTGAAAAAGACCACGATTTTCCGAGATGTACGATTGATAGTAACTACGGATCTTTAATCCGACATGAGGAACATGTCGAAGGGGGTTTACCAGGAAGATAGAAGGACTGACCTTTGAAGTGGTACGGAGCAATACCTTTGTCTCAAAAGGGAGGTGACCATTGACGAGGTGTTGTAGACGAGATGGCAATTTGGGATACGATATCATGATACGGTTGAGTGGAATGATAATGGTATCCTGAACTATGGTAGGGATAAAGAGATAGATCGAAATTCTTCACAAAAGCGTTACAGGAAGGCCCATATAATTGCGAAGACGTGCTGAGGCAGTTCGAGAGTGCTGACTACCGAAGATCCGCCAGCGGAGGATGGGTGGAGCAGATGCGATGGGTCACCCCCCCCGCCGCGCACCCCGTGAAAATAACACTTGGGGGTACATTGACTGGATGATGAAGTTTGTAGTTGTTTCCTCAGCGGTCAGCTACCCGTAACATACGTTCATTTGGATCTCGTTTGGACCAAATGCTTCAACATCCCTACCGGGAGCGTCTTAACAATCGCGAAGTTTACCACTGAAACATCTTACTAAAGGAACCGAATGTCGAAACTTACAACGAAAACACGGGTGCCACCTTTTTTTAAAAACACCGTTCTGTAACACTAACGGGGTAGAACCAAAGTACGTGATGGGCAACAGAAATTTATCGTAAAAGCAATAACTTTAGCCACGCCACGGGATAAGTTATGGGGGATAGGATATAAAAGCAACAACAACACGGGGCCGGAATGACGGGGTCAAGAAAAAAGAACACCGCGAAATGGCAACAGCTTTGGCTTAATTATCATCTTCGGAGCGGCCCTCGTCGCTGCCGTCGTCGCTCTCGAAGGTGCCGTCGGGCAGCCCATAGAGGCGTACGATTGGCGCGTGCGGGTCCTTCATCAGCAGGTACTTGCCGGGCTTGCGCTTCATCAAACTGGAAACGGGGATGGTTTATTTGGGCTGTCAAGCCAAGAAATCTATTCAGGTTTATTGAGTCGAATATTATTTACTGCCAAAACGGTCATTTTCATCGTTTCGAATACATAATGCGCTAAATTTTTAATTTGTCCAATTTCTTTTCAATCGAAAATGAACCTAGGGCGAAATGAGGTTTGGCAAAAGGATATTTGGTGAAAAAAACGTTCGCCAAATAAAATCAACAACTTATCCAAAACCCACTTGTCAATAATAACGCGCAGAATTCCCCAGCAGTTGTCAAAGTTGAGCGTGATGTTCTGGGCGAACTCCATGGGCCGCAGCTGCTGGGTGCCGAGAATGACGTGCTGGGCAGTGTTCTTCGGCGTAAGGCGCGAGACGTAGCCGAACTTGATGGCGTCAGAGCCGGCGAGCACGGCCTAAATAAAGAATTGCTCAGAAAAGAGCAAGTCCTGTACCTGAACCGTCCATTTGGCCAGCTTACAGCCGTTGTTCTTGAGTTCGGTGGCGAGGACAGCTCCCTTTTGCCCGTCAAGTTTTGATCGCCAGTCGACACCGTTGGACTGAATAAAGAAAATTTCAAATTAATAAAAATGATCACAAACCTGAGTACTGTCCCATTCGTTGAAGGCCTTGATAGTCAGCGTCTGCACCTCCCCATTGACACCGACCTAAATTCCAAAAAGTTAATGAAAAGCCTAAATAAAATTACCATAACACCATCATGCTCCGTGCGCACGACAAGCTCGATCGGCTTTCCGTCGGCTCCAGTGCCAAGCGAAAATTTGCGATATCTAAAACTAATTCTAATCAAAAGGACAGGCCGTACTTGTAGGCGCATGACGCATCATTCTGGTCGTTATCATCGTCGAAGGGGTACTCGGTGTGCTTCATCTTGTAGGTCTCGCCATCACGACGGAGTACCTACGAACACTACAATAAAATTAAAAATAGAAGCCCAACCTGACGGCGGAAGTTTTGATTGATGTAGAGCGCTTCGGTGGCCAGATCCTTGGCATTGTTTGCCGCAGCTGCGTCATTTGTGGGCGGATCGGGGCTCGTCTCCGAGACGGTCAGAGCATCCACGGGATTGCTGAAAGCAGAAAGTTGATTCTTTAGTTCCCCGAAACAACTGGTTTCCTTGGAACACAATTTTTCGGATAAAAATAAAGAATTTCTGTACTACTTTTTACCGTGCATAAATTTTCCAACATTTTACCAAGTTTAAAAAACATTTTTCCTCTTCAAAAAAACCGAATTTGAATAAAAAGTGACTGCACCCAAGACGCACCTAAAACCGCCGGTATCACGCCGATCGAAGAAGATCTTGTCGTCCACACGATGGGCGACGATATCCCAAGAGTAGACCGATCGAGGGGCCGTCATCAGCGTTGCGAGGATGATGTCGGTAGCAAAGACGTTGCCGACCTTCTCCATGGCCAGCTTTTCCATCACCGGGTCTTCAGTTGTGGTAACGTTGTAAAATGCGCCGCCGCAGCGAAGCAGTGGTGTCGGGTTTTTGACCGAGACACGATCGATCGCCTAAGAACCACGGTTAAAAGGGGTACACTGTAGCCCGAACACTGCCATGAATTTTACGGGGCAAGACGTTTTAGGGAAAGTGAAGTTTCAGGAATGGAAGTCTGGGGGAAATGAACTCATCGGGTTTGAAACATCTGAAAGAACCAAATTCACCTTCTCGTAGTAGTACAACGATCCATACTGGTGATCCCCGATATCCTGGGCGGTCGCAGCGATGCCGGGCAGGCTGAGCTTTGCCAAACGCGGGAAATCGAGCTCCTCGAGCACGTCCCAGTCGCCGCGCACTTGCACCGATGGCATGCGATCCTTCGGGCGGTTGTCTCCATAACGGCCACCACGTGGGCCCAGACCCTGACGAGCTTGTCCTCCTCTGCGTTGCCATTGTTTGTAAGCACGTTGATGCTCCCTAAAAAAATTTCCTTAAAGTTCTTTGCAATCTCCAGACTTTGCGATCGAACGCTTCATCTTCTGAGAACGGTTCAGCTCGACGGTATCGCGACGATCCTGCTGGTTTTGGAGCAACTTCTTGAAGTGCATCTGGCGAGTGCGGAAGTTGCGCTGAGGAGCGCGTTGCACCGGGCGTGACGAGTCAACCTAAAAGGAAATTCAAGGCAGTATTCCGAAACCCTACCAACTGGAAGTTGTTCTCGTCCATTTCGTGGACATAATCGAATTGCGAGCCGGCGTTGGCAGCCGAACCGTAGACACGCTCGTTGTAGCTACAAAAATGAAAATAGATCCGATAAATTAACCTTTACCGTTCGCCACGACGGAAATAACGATCAACACCTATCCAGTCAGCAACCCGACCGATACGATCAGCCTGAAAAGTAAATGAATAGGCCGAATTATACAATTACCTTGTTGAATTGCTGGAAGGGCATGTCATGCTCTTCAACAACAGGACGAGGTCCCCATGATGAGGTATTGTCAGAGACGCTATCGAGTTCGAAAACGGGTAACGCCATTCTAAATCGCGATTTAGCAAAAGTGTACAAAAGAGGATCAAATATTTTCATAAAATATCGGTAAAATGCCGCATTAACGGGCGAACCATGCTGAACATATTGCACAACAGTATTTATACAGAAAAAATGAAATACGGGGAATAAAATATCTTTTTGGAGCAGTCGAAACGGTATCACACAGAGAAGAGACACGCTTAAGAAATAGAATAAACCCATCATTGGCTCTGAGCACCTAACAGTTCTAAGGAGAAAACAACAAAAACTAATGCTACCATTAAGTCACCTAAAGAAAAACAAGAAAACAGAGGTAAGTAAATAAAGACTATTTCGTGTGGTGCCACACAGGTGCATCATTTGGGGGCAGCATGCCGTGGCCGCGGATCTGATCGGCTGCTTTCTCGGCCATCATGATGATTGGCGCGTTGAGGTTGCCGCTGGCCACCGAAGGCATTATCGAGGCGTCAACTACCTGAAAGGAATCAATACAGGTTTTTTCTAGTATAAGTAAACTATTACAATGAGGTTTTCTATTGCTAAACGTCAAAAATGTACCAATTTCTACTGAAATATTTATACGAGCTTTTTAAAAACCATTTTTCCCTTGGAATTTTACCTAAAATGCTAGTAAATAATTCCTAGTATCGTACTAGGCATACCTTCAAGTTCTCAAATCCATGCACATTCAACGATTTTGGGTCGACGACGCTCATCTTGTCGCTCTCAGGGCCCATCTTACAGGTGCACGACGGGTGGTAGGCAGAGGCCGCGTAGGCCTTGACGAAATTGTCGATTTGGGCATCTACAAAAGTTCTATAGCTTTAGTAGATGCTTGTTACCCGAAACACAGTCACTGCCTGGGGCCAGCTCTTCGCCGCGGAACTCGTCGAAAGGTTGCAGGGCGAAAAGTTCACGCGAGAGCCGGATGCAGCGGCGGAATTCACGGCGATCCTGATCAACGGAGAAGTAGTTCGGGTCGATGATAGGAGGCCTAAAGAAAAGTAAACTTAAAACAAGCCGAATTACCGTCGCGGGTCTTTGTTTTGCAATCGCACACTTCCAACTGATTGCGATCGCATCGGACCGACATGAACCTGAAAACCACGGTTAATGTTCTTTTCGCCGCTTTTTTTTTTCGCTGGCTACGCTGGTAAGGTCGCACAGTTTTTTGATTTAGCGAAATTCGGCTAAATCAAAAATACAGAATCCGAAAAACTCCCACAAATTGCTTTAAACCATTACCTGATAAGCATGACATTGTCCGACACCGCGACCATCATCGTGAACGGTAGAGGGAAGGAAATGGAATTGAATATCCGGATGCGCGACGTCATCACTGCTCCTCGCAAACCCGCCAGTCTCCAGATGGCTTGATGCCCCTAGCCCGGTCCGCCTTGCAAACCACTCGGCTCCGATGGCGATCATGTTATGCGGGAATTTCCAAGAGCTTTTGTTGTACAGTGTGACCGGCTTGGTGCACTTTTGCTGCACGTAGATCTCCAAATGGTCCTAAAATCTGATTACAACGATTTTGGCATCGAATTCACCTGTAAATTCTGCCCAACGCCAGGCGTATCCTGGACGACATCAATGCCGAGACTCTGCAAGTGATCACCGGGGCCGATTCCACTCAGCAGAAGGATTTGTGGCGAGTTGAAGGCGCCGCCGGAGAGGATGACAGAGTCTTCACAATAGAGCTTCTCGCGAGAATGAGCGTTGACCGTTTCGGCGCCAGCAAAGTTTTGTTGTCTGATGAATTCGATGCCGATGGCGCGACCCTAGAAAGAGACAATAAAAAGGTGACTTCAAGGGGGACCTTATTTCTTCTAGAAGTCCAGAGATGCCTAGTTAAGTAATAACAATTAGCTTAACAGCATTTTTGATTAATTTACTAAACAAAACGTGGAAGACCAATTTTGAGAAGTGACAAAATATTTGAAAAATTTTGGTCAAAATTTGCAGAGTTTTACGTTTAGGAACGGCAAAAAAGCCGTTTAGTACGTCCGTTATTCGTATCAGTGAAACGATCCTAAGGAAAAACAGGATTCCCGGTAATCGGATACAAGAGAAGTTTTGCCAAGTTTACCTGATTAGTCAACACTTTTGTACAAGTGATGCCGGAAGAGACGTGCAAATTCGGGCGCCCCAGAATCGGCCACAAGTAGGCTCTGGACGCGCTCCACCGGTACCCATCATGAATCGTCATGTCCATCTTGGCGATCCCCTCTTGCTTGAAGCCATTCATATCATCTGTGTAACCGACAGGATGCAGCTTCCCAGTTTCCAGCCAAGCCCGATGCAGCACATGATCCGCATTACCGCGTTTCACCTTCAACGGGCCGTCTGTGCCACGATACGGATCGCCAGGTTTCGCGTCCGCGTACGTCTCCGCTTTCTTGAAGTAAGGCAGACAATTTCTATACGCCCATCCATCTGCTCCTTCCTTCTCCCAACGATCGTAGTCGTGCGCGTGGCCACGCACGTAGCACATTGCGTTCAGCGTCGAGCTGCCGCCCCACACACGCCCGCGCGGGTTGTAGAACGTCCGGTTGTTGAGGTGCTTTTGGGCGACGGTGTGGTAGTACCAGTTGTAGCGGTTGTGGTTGAGGTTGTGCATGAGAGCGGCCGGCATATGGATGCGCCAGTCCCACCAGTGGTCCCGGGGTCCGGCCTCGATGAGAAGCACACGATTTGAAGCATCTTCGCTGAGCCTGAAAAAGGAAGGGTTAGTCTCGACTCGCAATCCATGTCTTCAAAATCAGATAGTTGTAGCTAGTGAAAATTTTACCTGTTAGCTAGCACACAACCCGCCGAGCCGGCGCCGACAATAATGTGCGTCGGCTTCTTGTCGCCTAGATCGGGCGTGATCGACCCCGGTCGATGGCTGTCCTGCCATTTCGTGCGCTGCGCCGTCGATGTCGACAATCTCCGCACGCCCTCATTCAGGCATCTCATGTGGGGGGCTGGAAAAAGGCACCATATAAAAGAATGATCTAGCAGATAAAATGACGGGGAAAAGATAGTTGGCAGAAGATGGCGCTTTGAAATCCCCTAGAATAACAGCTCGACCAATATTCACCCCCGGTCGGAACCCAAAACTATAAAAAAGATTGCATGAATGACAAGGATAGAATTCAGAAGAAAACAAAACTCTAAAACCCTCGAATGCATCAGCTGCACAAAAAGGTAACGCGCGTTAATTTTCGATGAGCAACTGGGAGATAAATTTAATTTTTTTTAAAGTGTGATTTTTTAGATTTACAAAAGAATACAGATCACGAGGAAAAAGAAAAAAATCAAGAACTACGAGCTACACCAATATTTCAACCTCGTAATTGGTTGTCGATCGGAAACCGCTAAATGAATTTTATTTATTGAAAACATATTTTACATTTGTTTTAGATGTTTTTTTGATTCTGGATTTATTAAAAGCAAAATTCCCTACCCGTCATCGCTGGAATGGCAACGCGCAGAAGAATGGAGTGAATTTGGCAGGGCACGCGACAGGGTGGATATCATCTTGCAGGTATGTCAACGAAATTGGTAATCTGTCAATGGGGAAGGAAGGAAGGAAGGAAGAGGGTAGGCGTTCCGTTGATGCAAGAATAGGTCTTTTTGTGCCGGGGGGATGTGTGGAGAGACCATAGGCGCGAGATCGTTGGGGGACGGGAGGGAGGTTGAATCGGGCGGTTGGACAAACTACACATCTGCTATCTTCATTTAGACCTGCGGATAAGGGCCACGATATCGAAGAAATTTTACATTTTTAGGTTATTTTTATGAAATCGCGAGGAATTCGTTAGAAAGAAGGGCTAAAAGTGGTTTCCTTTTATATTGCTGCAAAATGGGGCTTTCTAATATGAACTTTCCACTTATTATTTTTTTCAAAAAGAGTTACATTCTTATCGTTTATGCGTTCTTTTTATGTATTAGACCCCGAAATGACCCCATTCTTTTCTGAGAAAATTAGGTCGTTGTTCCTAATTTCGCATCTTTTTTTTGTCCCAAAAATGAGAAACTGGGCTCAAGAAAAGGCATTATCGGGTTGGAAGATGACTATGTACTATATATTTATTATTTTTTATATTACTAAAGCGGTATAATTTATAATCCGGCGATTAACCCTATTTTTATGTATTCAAAAAGGTGAAAATATAGATGCAACTTTCTAGATTTATGAAATCAGCACCTGCAAATGTCTGACCCAGAAATAGACGAGGTTTGCTTCGAGGTGAGTGTGAAAAAAAAGCTTCAAAAGCTCGTCCCGTAAATCAGAGACTTCAAATTGCCTAGGTCCCCCCTCAAACCGGGGATCGTCCGACGAGAAATGCGGCCGAGGTCTTCATCTTCATGCACCGCTGCTTCCGGGCCTCCAGGAACATTCGAGCCCACTGGTTTTTGGAGCATCTTAATAAAACGGTTGAAGTGCCGAGGAGTGATGCCAGGCCCTGTCTAGATGTTGGTTTCAAAGTAAAGCTATAAAACCTCATTTTAGGACACGAAAAACGACAAATACGCCAAGGAGATGGAGGTGCTGGGGGTGATCCCGGAGGGCGGAAACGCGGATGAAAACGTGGAAGGCGAAAAGTTTTTGGTAAGGTATTATTAATAAGCTTATTTTTTGCTCTTTTTATAGACGTTTATATAACGATTATTTAGATTACTATGAACACAAAAGTTACCTACATTTCGCGGTACTATCGCCATGTTTTTGTGTTGGACATTAGCCCGTCGACGCTCGTTGCGGTAAGTTCAAGGAAATAAGACTCAAGAGGGCTCAAGCTTAGCTTGGGCTTGACTTAGCCAGCGTTAGCTAGCTTTGATTTTAGATCTAAAGTTTAAAAGTTGAAGTCTAATTCAATTTCAGGACGATTGCGGCGGGGCCGTCGTGTACACAAAAGTATTAGAAAATCTACGCATGGCCCTGTACGCTGTGACAAAAAGCGTAAGTTTTTTTTGACGTTTATTTACCAAATAATCACTTTCAGTTCAAAATCCCGGGCACAAATCATGTATTTACGCCGCAAATCTACGTCACAATCTGCGTGTTCACGCCATTTTTATGTTTTGACCAGGATTTGGTGGGTTTTTATAGTCGATTTTCGTAGTTCTAATTAGAAATAAGGTTTTAGAAAGCTAAATTACAGTTTTTCTAAGACACTATGATAATTTTTACAACCATAAACTTTATAACAATTAAATAACGTTTATTTTTTAGGTCCTGACGCAAGGTATATTCCTGACGGAAAGTATGGTGGATCAGTTGTTGGATAAAGTCACGTTGCGATTTCGGAAGCTCGTCAAAGAGCTACACAAGTTTACGCAGCCGATTTTCGGGTCTTGGGCGACGAGGAGGCGTCAGAATCGGGTAAATGTTTACAAAAAAAAGCCATTGGCAAGCTAGCAGGGTTTCTTTAGGAACTTTTAAACATCCGGTGACGACATGTTTTTGTATAAAATCAATATTTGAGGAATTTAGAACAAAGGATTGCTATATTTTTTGGCTGAATTTTCATCAAAATTAACCGATTACGCCACGTTTTACAAATGGCGCAAAAAGTTGTGGCGCAATTTTTAACTTTCGACTTTTAAAGCCATATCCTTCACGGAACGCAACCAATTACAATACCTATTCAGGTCAAATACGACTCGACGTGCGAGCCGGATTTGACAGCAGAAGGCGATGGAGAGCTACGACCGCCGACAAAGGTATTTTTCGGAGTGTAGTGTAGCGTAGCGTAGCCAGTAAAGTATCGTACCCAACAAATTCTAGATAACCGCGCGTACAATCCTTGCAAAAATGACGAAAAAGATGAACAGCGCGGAACAGGATCAGCGTGATGCCATTGATGATGACTATCCGTTAGAGGGGACGATGAAGTATCGGCGGAAAATTTGGTAAGCTTCCGAATTACAGTACGCCTAGTAAACTACATACGCTACGCTAACCTTACGCTATGTTAAAATATGTCGCACAACGTAAAAGTACGTTACAATACGTCACGTACAGCACGTCATAACACAATACGATGGAATTAAATACGCTAAATACGCGATATCACGCTAAGTAAGTTATCCTACAGTACGCTACCGTCAGCTACGGCACACTACGATACAATACGTAGCGATCCCTACAATAAATTACGCTCGAGTGCGCGACGAAACAAGATAATACGCTCTGCTACAGTATGTGCAACCGCACGCTATAAAACGCTACGTGATCCATGGCTGCAGTGCGTTACTGTATGCTACAGTACGCTATGCTACCGTAAGCTACAGTACGCCAGGATGCCACAGAGAGACAGACAAGCTAAGTGATGCAACCCTACGGGACAATAAACGATACTGCGGCATACTTCAGTACGCTGGAATACGTTAAGATACACCACAGGGTGAGGCATATATATGGCAACACCCCCAGACCATACTAATTTGCCTGCTAGCGGAAAACTAATGATTTTTTCGGGGGTTTGGGTGTTTCCCATACAAGAACTTGTGTTTCTTTATGCAGGAGAATGCAGGTCTCTTTATGCAGGCGTTTGCAAGGATTGTACGCGCGTTTGCAAGGATTGTACGCCAAGAAAAGAATCCTTGCATTTCTTCAAAGAAGCAAAAACTGTTAGAAAAACAGTAATAAACAGCGCCGCAGGCAGAAAAATTTTTGTAACTAAAAATCATAAGGGTCCCCCCCTTATGAATTTTTCAGACCTCGACCGATTTCGGGGGGGGCCCAGGGCCCCCTGGGCCCCCCCCCCCTCCTACGGGCCTGCCCACCCCTCACCACCCATATGTTGACCACTAAAAATGAATTATCAAATGCCTGCCAACTGTATTGTCTTATTTAAGCAATTTTTTACATTTTACGCATCGGATTGAACCAATTCCGGTTGCTGAAACCAAGCAATTTAGCTATTAAAGATAAAAAAGGCTGTTTTACTTTTTTTACTATGAGTTTTGGGACCAGCCGAGAACAATTCTAAAATTTCTGCCTACTTAAAGGAAATTAGTTGTTTTAATTACCTTTATCTGTCAATACTAGGTGGTACACATATTTTTAGGGGTTATTCATGCCCAAAAAGACGTTTCTGAGCCATGCTGAAATTGGCTTCCAAGGGGTTCCGTGCCAGCACCACCCTTACGACACCCAGTTTTTGCTTCAGAACAAAAGTTTTTAGCGTTGCTGCGTTCTAATATTTTAAGAGTGGTTACAGGACACTCGTGGCTAGATTTCAGCAAATTATTGAAGCCCAGCCAGCTTTCTCCATTTTTTGAGAGACCCGAGAAAGTGTTGCCATATATATGCCTCACCCTGTATACTACGCTCCGCGCGACGCAACACTACGGGAATATCACCTTTCAGGAAATGCTCGCGAGAGTGCGGTGGCTGTGACGGCAGCTGCGATTACGTCTGTGACGGCTATGTCAAGCCGGAGTGGGCCCTGATCTTCATGCTCCGTCTAGGGCTGGTGGCCGTCCAGATGCTACCCGAAAATACACAGAGCAGTGCGTCATTTGGTGCCTATTGGAATACCCCAATCTTTGAGACATTGTCATCATCACTGATGCCGTTTGCGGAATGCCGGATGCGATTGCGCTTCAGCAGCTGTTGACGCAGCTCAGGAGTTATACGATATCCTGCTCCTTTATTCAGGTAAGCTCTTAAGCTTGACAGGCTGGCTTCGCGCCCAAGCCTACTGCGGAAGCTTAAGAAGCTGGCTGGGTTTATAGGCCAAGCTTAAACGACCTGTCTGCTTATTAGGCATGTCAAGCCAGCTTAAAACACACGCTTCATTCTTAAGCTGTCTTGATCATCTCCTTTCAGATCAACGGCGGCGCCTTCGCGGAACCGTCTTTCGGCCACGTCTCCTCCGCCGAGCTGTTCCACTTCCTGGCCATGGCCACGTTTGGAACATTTCTGCCAAATTGTACCTGTTGTCTAGGTAAGCCTAGTTCTAAGCTAAGCCAAACGAAAGCCATGCCTAAGCTAAGCCTAAGCCAAGCCTAAGGCAAGCCAACGCTCATGGTAAGCTACGCTTTTTTAGACGACCAAGACCCCGAGCTGCGTCGACTTGGACCAGCTTCAATCCAGAACTCAAATTCCCCAGCCCGACGAGTTTTGTCGCTGCGTCAGGATCGCGAAGAAGAGGAGGGAAAAGCCGGGAGGATGGCTTCTGGAGGGAGCGTTGGGAGGAGGCCATCGGAAGAGGTACGTCTAGAGGCGGTTGATCCCGTAGAAACGAAGCTTTTTATAAAAAAAACTGGTCTAAAACGATAGAACATCTTGCTAAAAATTCTTCGAATCGAGTTTCGGCCTACCAAGTACTTTTAAAATGGCAAGCTAGCAAAGATCCTTGAGGAATTTTTACGACGTTTTTTAGCTACCACCAGGAGTCTCAGCTGGAGCACAGCCGGGCCGGATGAACCCTTTCCACCGAGCGTTGCTGTGCTGGTGCTTCCAGAACGCGCTACAGGTAGAAGGAGAGCGAGAATGACAGAGAGAGAGATATAGAGAGAGAGAGAGAGAGAGAGAGAGAGATAGATGGAGAGGGATCGATGGCTATTTTCAACCTCAAAGTAGCGAGTTTTTTCAGGAAAACCAGCACATCCGTAACATGGCCAACAAGATCAACCCGGAATTCGCGAAACTCTATCAAGAGTAGGTTGATGCTCAGGGGCTGATGATCTTGTAATTTTAGAGACTCTCTTCGACATACCTTCCTTCGGCTATCTTATAACACGACACTGCCAGAATTACTGTACGTGCGACTACGGGAGGGGTATACGTTGAAGAGCACGAACCGGGAGGAGGATGGTGAGCAGGAGGGAGAGAGAGAGAAAGCGAGAGAGAGAGAGAGAGAGAGAGAGAGAGAGTCAGCGAGAAAGACAGAAAGGACACCTTCTACTTCAAAATTCCAGGTGCAATCCGAGTGACCCTCTCCCTCCCCTTCCGCCCATCCGTCTTCATCGACTACATGATTGTTGGTAGCTGCCGCCTGGATCGGAGCCAACGGTTTAAACTTAACGAATTTTAACGTTATTTAGCCTATGCTTAACTATAAGAAATTTTCTAGTGAAAATATCCTGGTCGAAATCGAGATTCTGGCGCCGTTCCATGTGATGAGGGACATTTTGACCGAGGATGGAGATTTTGTGGATATGACCCGGCAGAAGGGGATCAAGGTGTTTAGGAGGACGCTGGATAGGTAGGTCAACTTCTCTATCTTTCTTGTTATCTCTCTCTCTCTCTCTCTCTCTCCAATCATATTTTTCAGTCTAATCGAAGCCGATCGTCTCCTCCTCCACCTCCACTCCTTCAATGCTTCTCCCCAATACTACACGATTCCGTTCGGCGTCTCCTCACGCTACTCGCTCTTCCGGTTGATCGATCGTGGACGCAGATTTGTTGTCGAGATGCCGTACGTTTTCCAAAATGCACTTTAGTAGGCCAGGAATACGGTAGAAAACAGGGAAATCTGAAAATTGTGGCCCGATTGGACTGTTCTATAAGAATGCAAAATCTCGCAAGCACAGTAGTTTAGCCGGGAAATTACGGTAACCCACAACAAATGCTATTTTAGCCCGAAAGACCAAAGGACGGGCCGATTGTAGGTTTTGCTATTTCTAAAAAATCTTCCCCCTTGTTTTACCGTATGTGAAACAGCTACCGTATATGGCTGGTCCGTCCTAAAAATGACCAGATGGCCGTACCGACCGTACCGTACCGTACCGGCCGTACCGACCCCGTGTCTGACGGTAGTTGATCCCAAAAAAAATCAAGTATTTCTAGGCGAGGCGACCAGCACACGATGACGTTTGTAGAGTTCTGGAAGGTGCTTTGCAATTTGGATGAAGGAGTATGGTAGGTATATAAATGTCCTTTTTAGCTTTTCGTTTTTAGCAATTTTCGCTCTCTCTATCGCACATTCGCTCTCTCTCGCTCTCTCTCGCTTGCTCTACCTCGCTATCTCTATTTCTCTTTTTCTCTCTTCTCTCTCAAATTGTTTTATTTAAAAGAACGACCCTGCTAATTAGCGTTTTCAGGCAAAAATGGGTTCATTCCCACTGTGAGCGCCTACTCCTTCGCGTAGATGAGGTTCCGATCGATATTTTCCGCGAGAATCTGGCTAGCGAGGTCGGGTTTTTTACTCACAAGCCCTTTAACGTCGAGTAAAATCAATATCCAGAAAAACTTAATTGATTTAAAATGAATTAATTTTTCCAGATCACCTGCGAGGAAGCGAACAATCATTTGCACGAGCTCTTACGAGACGAGACGTCCTTCTGTCTGCTCCACCAATTGGCATATGTCAAATTTATTTATGGGTACGGTAGCCTGGGTTACTGTAGAAGGATTGGGTTTTAGGGATGATCCCGAGGTGCCAAAGTACTTCTACATGATTCGGATCTGCTCCGCGCCGCCGGCCGTCACGATCAAGATGGCGTTTTTGGGAGGCATAAGCAGTAGTGATCGGAGATTGGTGAGTCTACCTTGCTCTCTCTCTCTCTCTCTCTCTCTATCTCTCTCTCGCTCTGTCTCCACTTGCATTTTTAGATAGCAGACGACTTCCGGCGCAAATTAATCCAACTCCGTCTACGCCACACCTCAAAATCCAGCGATGCCAGCCACCCAGTGGTCAGTTTCTATTAAAAAAACATTCAAAATCGGAATAACCCTAAAAGCAACAAATAAAATTAAGGCATTAAATCCTAAACCTTCTAGGATGCGGATGCCTTGGTCGTCGTCCGTCGTCCGGTAGAGCGGATATTAGTCCGCTACCGCAACGTCCCTCTGAATCTGCGCACCATGGTTCGCCTGGGTGATGAAATCGATCGCGGCGAAGACGTGCGGAATTTGGTGCTCCACAATTCGTTGGCAAAATACTTGAATTGCCGGTGAGTGAATCGCGGAACTATAGGCTTGGTAGGCTTAGGCTTATGTCAGACTTCGGCTTAAGCTTAGGCGGAGGCTTAGGCTTAGGCTTAGGCTTCGTTCAGCCAGTTCTTAGGCTTAGGTTTAGGCTTTGGGCTTGAGCTTGGGTTTAGGCTTAGGCTTAGGCATGGGTTAAGCTTGGGCTTAGGCCTACTTTTGGGCTTAGGCTAGGCTTCGACTTAGGCTTGGGCTTAGCCAAGGATCAGCTTAACTCACTCCCTTTCAGCCGTCGAATCTGGAATCTACCCTCAATCTTCGAGAAAGACGTGATCCTCGGGAGCAGCCGTGATCACGCGACGTTTATGCTGCACACGATACTTTAGTGAGTTTTTAGGGATTACTGTAGTTTGGAAAATATCGTATTTTCTGCCAGATTACTGTAGTTTTTTAAACGTTCTTTGGTCGCTAAAAAACCATATTTTCAGTCGTCGCCTACGCGAGGGCTTCAACATTGCGTGGGCGGAGAACGGGATCGTTGGGTTGTGTAGGCAGGTATGATTTCATTAATGCTGTTTTGGCATTTTTCTATGCTTACGGTACTTATTGATTTTGTGATGATAAACGTGTATTTTTGTTAGGTTGTAAATGAGACTGGGTTCGCGCTCGAGCAGTACGTCTACTTCCCGCCCCAGGACCTCTATCTGCCCTTTAAGATGAATAGGAATCGGCTGCCGTCTACTTGGTGAGGATCTCTCTCTCTCTCACTTTTTCTCTCTCTCGCTCTCTACGCTCCCTGATCGCTGGATTTTTTCCGGATTTTTTGACATAGCACGGATTCTTTAGTAAAAGTAGCTGCCAGCAAGTTTTCCTATAGGCGAGCTAGCAGAGATTCTTTCGGGCTGTAATTCATCGCGGGATGCCATTTCCCGGGTCATCGTCTAGCCCCTTCCTTCTTATCTTCCTCAAAGATCTTGTCTCGCCCCGGACAATTTGCGGCCACATCTATCGGGTCATCTATGGGATCGAGGGAACGGCCTGCGAAATTTGTCCTCAATTGAAGCCGTTTGCAGGTCGAGAAAAATTGTTGAGTGAGAGATAGAGAGAGAGAGAGAGAGAGAGAGAGAGAGAGAGAGAGAGAGAAGTATGGCCTTTTGACCAGGGCGTGCCCAAAACAGCGTCATCGTCACCGCAGAATTCTGTTCAGCTAACCCAACCTCGACCCCTGCTTACGAAATGACCACGATAAAACCGGGGGCGTGGCGTAGAGATAAGAAATTATGACTAGACGTACGGTCTTCTTGAGTTCCTTGGAAAATGGGTGGAATTGAGGCGAAAATCGGCAAGTTGAAAAATAACCTAAACCCAAAATTTGGCCGTGTTTTTCCCAAAGGATCTCTGCTAGCTTGCTCAAAAATATTCCTAAGGAATTCCAGCTAGATGGCTCACCCAGACTTTCGCTTATGCTTAGCTTAGGCTTAGCTTCGGCCTGGCTTAAGTTTGGCTTAAGTTTGGCTCCGGATTGGCTGATGTGTAGCTTAGGCCGGGCTTCAACTTGGCTTAGGTATAGCTTGGGCTTAGCTTAGGCTTAGCTTAGGCTTGGCTTAGGTTAGGTCCAGCTCAGACTTGTTTTAGGCTTAGCTTAGGCTTAGCTTCGGCCTCGCTTAAGTTTAGCTTCGGATTGGCTTCTGCGTAGCTTAGCTTAAGCTTAGATCACCGACTAAATCTTAAGTGCCAGTATCGTTTCAGCCGCACCACCGAAAATGCGCAGGACAAGGAGGACTACGGTATCGTCTTCGAGCCGGACGCGCCTCCAAAGTCAAGGCGCCGAATCCAGGAGCCGGCCACCTATCAGGTGCCCCCAGCCCCGTAGTCAGGAATATGCTAATTTTTCAGTTGGTCGGCGAGTACTGGAGCGAGCCGATGAGCGATGACGATTACGTAAGTTTCCGTTTTATGCACGTCACAAACATTAGAAAATACAACCAGTACGGTACATTTCCGGTTCACGGTCACTTGGTGCATCAATGATAGCCTCAAAAATATTGTTTTTTACCGGCTTTTCCTGTAGACGAAGGTCAAAAAACCATTCTTTTCGGTCTTGTCGACTCTGACCTGGGTGAAACTCCGCCCCTTTTCAGGGCTCCGCCCACTTGCTCGAGCTCGCAAATTACATTCAGGATTTATCCAACCGCTCGATTTATTTCTGCAAATTTTGCTAGTATTCAAATTCCCGGAATTTTTGTCCAGGTTTCTTAAAAGCCTTATAAATATGTAAAAATACTTAGAAGACCGACACAAATTTCAAAAATTTGTTTCTTTTCCGTCTTAAAAGTCCAAAAAATAGTCTATCGATCGCTGGTTACCGGTTGATGTTGATTTTGGGCTTCAGGAGCAAGCTAGCAAAGCACTTTTGGGAATTGGTTACCTTGTTAGTTTCTGGGACTTGGCTTGCTTCAGGTTAGGGTTGAGTCAGAAGCTCATGGTCTTGTTAGGTCTTGGCTCTTAGGCATCGATTTTCAGGTGGGTCTTAGGCTAAACCACGCCGCCACGCCAGGTTAAAACACGATCCGGCTCCACGCCGTTTGTGTGAGTAATTGGCATTGATAAGGACGAATGGTCAGGTCACCCGTCTGGCCCGGGATTGGTCCTTTTCTGAAGGCAAGAGGAGATAAGTCCGCAAGCGGAAATGTTGAAAGGTATTGTCATTGTTTGGCTTCTGGTGGGCCGGATTTCCGGTTCTGCAAGTTTCTACTAGCTGCCGGTGTCCGGAACCCTGTGTCTTAATTATCAATCCACAATGGTCATCTGATCCAAAATGATCTCCGCTAAATCACCCAAAATTTCCCATTCCCAAATGATCTCCGCTAGCCTACCCCGAATTCCGTAACGGTACGATTTGGCAACACGTTAATAGGATCAAAAGGTACTCAGCTGGTTTAAGCCCATCCCGCAAAAAAAGTCGGTAGGTTACTATGTAAGACACTAGATGCGTGTTCGCCACTCTAGGTGTAGTTTTTGAACGGTTCCTCGATGATCTCGGCTAGATCACCCTAGATTCCCCAATTCCCAAATGATCTCGGCTAACCTACCCCCAATTCCGTAACTGTACGATTCACTGATCGTCGATAGGATCGATGCGTTGGCCTAGTTTTTGACGGTTCCTCAATGATCTCTGCTAGATCGCCCGAAATCCCCAATTCCTCAAAAATCCTTGCTAGCCTCCCCCCGGAACTGTACGATCCCAAAACGCGTCGATAGGAATAATGCGTACTCAGCTGGGTTAAGCGCATTTCGCAGAAAAAGTCGGTAGGTTACTAGGTAAGACAGTAGGTTCGAGTCAGTTTCTCGTTGATCTCTGCTAGATCGCCCAAAATTCCCAAATGATCTCCGGTAGTCTGCCCCCCAATTCCGTAACTGTACGATTTCACTTAACGTCGATAGGATCGATGCGTCGTTGTCATCGATGTGTATATGTGTGTGGGTGTGAGTGTGGGTGTGGATGGGCTGGGCAAGGCTGCGTGCCCGGGTCGGCCAGAGGGGAGGGCGGTGCTTTCGGGTGGCTGAAAGCTTTTCATACAGTGGCAATACAGAGGGGATGGACAGTCGATAGTCGATATGCCCATTCCCCTCTCTGCCCCGTTCGGCTCTTCGTGCCGGGACCCCCTTGTTAATATTCACCTCCCCCGGCTGCTTCTATTCTCTCCGCTTGCCCCCGCTGTATTATATTTGTCCAGGGCCCGTTCTGAACACCCGAAGCGTTCAATATTGCTACCTAGATTCAGATCCAAACCTAAGCCTAAGCAAAACGAAAACCGAGCCTGAGCGAAGCCTAAACCTAGGCTTAAGCTGTAGCCTAACCTTATCGCTAGCTAAGCGCGGTCCTAGACCAAAGCCTAAGCTAAAGCCTAAGCCCAAGCCCAAGCCTAAGCCGATGCCCAAGCCTATGCCTAAGACTAAGCAAAGCCTAAGCCTAAGCCTCTGCCTAAGGCTAAGCCAAGCCTAAACCTAAGCCTAACTCTAAGTATAAGCCTGAGCCCCACCTCAACCAGCCCGAAGCCTATATGCCAATTTCGATGCCCAAGCCTAAGCTAAGCTTAAAGCCAAACTTTCACGTTTTAAAGGGACCGTTAAAGCATGGTAAAGCGAAATCCACGGCAGGATCGGCCTTCCAAGTCCCTTTAAAGCAAGATAGGACCCGTGAGGGAGTGAGAGAGAGAGAGAAAGTGAGGGGGGAAAAGAAAGAGAAAGAGAGAGAGAGAGAGAGACAGAGCGAGAGAGAGACAGAGAGAGGGGTAGAGATGTACAGACGCAGCGATGCAACGCGAGCGCGCATCATCCGTGAATCCGCGTCCCCTTAAAGCCCAAACAACGCAATTTCTGAAGCTTGAATCTTATTTCTTTTCACGGAATCGTTTTAAAAGTTGTTCCCTTTTTTAGAATGCTTTTATTAGCAGTTTTCTGATTTTCTTAAAGTTCCGCAAGTCGCACACAATTTATGCCGGCCCCGATTAGATAATCGACTGCAAAAAGGGGTCAGATGCTCTTCGGTTTGTCCTGGAAAATTAGCCTAAACTGTTTTGCGGGGCTGATAACGGGGGCAGAGGGTCAGTTTTTCGTAACACCCTCCGGCCCGTGATTAGCTCATATTTACCGGAAAATTATCGCCTAATTTTGGGTCTGGCTGAAGTTAGAAAAAAGCCAATGGTCTCTGCTAGCTTGCCCTGAGTTTTGCGCTAAACTAAGCCTAGGCCGAAGCCGAAGCCTAACCATAGGCCAAACCCTAAGCCAAAGCCCAAAACTTAAGCCTAAATTGAAGCCTAAGTCTAAAACGAAGCCCAAGACCAAGCCTACGCCTAAGCCTAAGCCTGAACCTAAGCCAAAACCTAAGCGAAAACCTAAGCCTGTGCCTAAACCTGGGCCCAGCTATTCTTCAGCTTAAGCCCAAGCTCAGCCTAAGCCTAAAACGATGCCCAAGCCTAAGTTAAAGCTCAAGCTCCCTCATTAGCTCTTGCTCCCCATTTCCCAATTTTCCACCTGCCGCCCCGGGCGTCTCAGTGGGAAGCCCGGATCTCAGCTGACCAGTACATGCAGCCCAGATCTCTGCTTCCAGCTGAGACTCCCCCTGCGGACATTTTTAAAGTTGATCCCTTGCCCCGGTTACCGTAAGTCGAGCCTAAGTTACGATTCCGCTACGCTACGCTACCTTTTACGCTAATTCTAATAGTAAGCTACAGCATCCCTAACCGGATATTTATTCCGCTACGATACTCCAAACTACCTAGGTTACACTACCCTAGGCTACGCTACGATACTTTGAACATTGCAGTACGCTACGTTACGCTACGGTTTTAATACTACGTTAGGCAACTATTTGCGCTCTATACACTCAGCCATAGTTACGATATCTCAAAAATTACGTTAAGCTACTCTTTACGTCAGGCTTCCATGACGGTATTTCTTACATTTTCGTACGCTACACGACGCTACTCTTTACGCTATGCGTTACGTTACACGTCACGTTACATTACGCTGCGGTTATACTAGACTACGTTACATTACCCTTACACTATGCTACGATATGCTACCCTAATAAATACGATACGTTACGCTACGCTACCCAATTTTACGCTACGTTCCACTACCCCTTACACCAAGTGACCGCCCCCCGTCTCGGATTGGGGCCTTTAGGTGGAGCTCGGAATTTCTCAACCCCATAGATTCACACTGGCCGTTGAGATTCTCACCTCCACTTAAAGGCCCCGCCGGAAATGTACCGTACCTCCGTACAGAGGAATCAAATGGAATACATCGTTTTTATTGATTACGATATGTAAATCTAAACAGGAACGGCCGTCAAGCTCTCGCGACGACGATCTGGTATCCGCACTATTCACCCTGGACCAGCTGATCAAATGGTGTGACCATTGCCACAAGAATAATGGAGGAGCGGCCACGGTAAGGTTCCTAGGGAATCGCTGCTAGCTTGCCCCTTGGTGGATAATTTCTGGGCCTCAAAGGCACAGCAAATTTTGGAATTCGTTAGTCCGGAATTGTGAAAAAGTCTCAGTCTAATCAATAAAAAAAGACGTTATTGGATTTTTAAATGAAATTTTTCTACTCTGGGCCTGTTATTTTAAGGTTTAAAGCGTTAGCTGCCTAAGGGATCATTGCTGGTTGGCCACAGCCTGGTCCTTGGATCGGAGCTCGGAGCAGAGTTCGTCAAAGTTCTCTGCTAGATTCTACAAAGTAAACCCTTGCTGTAAGCGTTGTTTCCGGAATCCGATCAGTTAGACGAGAAAAGCGTGCCATTTTGACGCATTAACGCAGGGACAGTTCCTTACTCTGAAAGAATCGCTGCTGGCCAGCCTTCGACGATTCAAATACGCAGAGATTAAGAAAACTTTTTGAAAAAGTCCGCTCTTATTTTTTGTTCGATGGCGTAAGCCATGCGTAGGAAAATTTAGGTGGGACGATCCCTTTAAAAACACCGGAAAAACGGTACAATCGATCAGCAATCTTTAAAGTTGGCTAAAATGTCGGTACCCTTAACCCAATTCCAGGTGCACACAACTTCACGGGGCAAGGAACCTCCGGCCCAGATGTTATCCGGTTGCGTCGCGGTTGCAGTCTCTCCCTTCTCGCTTGGCGACCTGTTGGAGACAGCCGAGAAACGACTGTTATTAATGCCGCTATTTGAGGACGGTACGGTATCGGTAGCGCGAATTCCAGCGAAAACACCGACAGTCGAAACCCCGACAGCTAAAATGCCGACATTTAAATCCTGACATAATCCCGACAGCCAAAATCCCGGGAGCCAAAATCCCGAATTAGCCTCGACAGCCAGAATACCGACAGCCAAAATCCAGGGATATTCCCGACAGCTGAAATGCCGGCAGAAATCCCGACATCTTCTAGACGCTAGTTTGAATGCACGTCCTTCTAAACCGCTACTTTGCATTGCATGTCGAGATTTCGACCTGTCGGGATTCTGCCTCTCAGGATTTCGACTGTCGGCATTTTCACTTGTCGATATTTTTTGGTTGAGATTTCGGTTCTCGACATTGCCCCTGTTCCCTGTTAGCGCGTGTACGCAACTGCACAATTTCCATGGGTGCTCATAAATATTGATTTGAATGGGGGTTTCGGGAGCCATTCAGTGGTACGGACGGGGGGCAGGCTGGTTTATTTGCCCGGGGTATCAATGGCCGGTCAGACCGATCGGGGGGAGGGAATATGGCAGCACTTCCCGCTTCCCCCCAAATTGTTTATTATGTGGATAATCGAATTGGGGAGCGGATAGGGGGAACCCGATATGCCATTGGATTGTGATGGAAACTGGAACGCTACGGAAATAGAGACCGTAATCAAAGGGGTGAAAGACCAAAATGGTGCGGTTGTAAGCACAATACTAAGCTTGGACAAAACCTAAACCTTGGCCTAAGCCCAAACCTAAGCCAAGCCTAAGTCTAAGCCTAACCCAAGCCCAAGCTAGGTGTGCTCGAATGGGTTACCGTACCCCTCGCCCGTTCCCAAAATCCATATGTATGAATTGTGCAGGGCATCGGGTGTGGAAACACCGTTCCAAAATCGCCCATAAATTTGCCGCGGGCGTCCCTGTTCTCACGGTCGATTCAGGGCCTCGTTCGCGGCGCTGTCGTACAGCCGGGATGCAAATTAGGGTAGCGGGGAGGGGGGTGAAAAATACCGAAAAATTCTGAACGATTTGAAAAACTGGCAAAAATCGTGAAAAAAGTGGACAAATCGGGAAATTTAAAACTGAGATCAGCGGCACAAAAATCATTGAATTGCAAATGGACTTTGTAAGTGAGCTTCAACTGAATTAACGAAAGTATAGTTTTCTAAACATCCAAAAACCGAAGAACGATACTTCAGATGCACCGTTAAATTTTGTAAAATCGGCAATTGTAAATTTGCAAGTTCCGGGAATAAGCGCAGTTTTGCACAACATAAATTTTCAGCAAAATTTCCTTCAGATTACCCGGGGGCTCCGCAACGTGATGAAAATCGTATGCAGTTGCTACTCGACGCTACTCTCGCTGAATTAAAAGGTGCGAATTTAAAATATAAAAACATACGATTCGAGAATCTATCTGTTTTATCGTTTTTAGCTGCTATTATTATTTACTATTCCCAGGTAATCATAGTATTTTTAGAATTCACTGACTGCTACATCGACGTAGAGGATTCAGAACTATGGGATCGGGTGATGGATGTGGTGAGAAAATTACAAAACATGGCTTTCTCTCTCTCTCTCGCTCTCTCTCTCGCTCTCTCGCACGCTCTCTTTCTGTCTCTCTCCGTCTCGTTCACTCTTGCTCTCTCGCTCTCTCTCTCTCTCCCGCTCTCTCTCGCTCTCTTTCTCTCTCTCTCTCGCTCTCTCCCTCTCTATTTCTCTCCACTCCAACTTCCAATTTTTCTAGCCTGATAAAGAGAAGCGGGTCAGCAAATCCCGGATCTATTTGCATCGTCTCAACACTTGGACCATGATCGCTATCGTAAGTAGTATCACATATTTTTATACTTATTTCAAAGATCCTTATACAAATTTTACACCCCCTTTCAGCTAGCGCCAATGTCTGCCGAGGTCCTAAATCTCCAGGGCGGACTTCCGCTTCTTTTCTGCCTCTGCGACGAGCCAACACTGGCCTATAGGCTCACGACGCGCCACGAGAAGGTAATTGTCATTTTTGTGGTTGTAAAGGGGCCCCGCAAGACAAAATTTCCGTTTTTTTTGCCTTGCCGGCCCCTTTAAAGCGCTGAATTTTAGCCAAAAATGGACGTGGAAGACCTGCGATCGCTTGATGCGCCCTGGATGAGTTGGCAGGACGAGAAAGGCATGCAAAATAATGCTTTACAAAAGGTATAAAATTTTTTTCCAGCCTTCAACCCGCCCACCCATTTCGTGTGGCCGACGCGGTGTTCCGAGTTGCAGAAGGGACTTTACAAGTGGGTTTTGTGGCGTACTGTAGATACGGTATAGTACGATACACTACGTCCCAACAACATACTGTAACGTACGCGAGTGTACGATATGTTCCGCATTGCGTAAAGTCCGGACTGTAACATACCCCTTGTACCATCGAGTAGCGTAGCGTAACGTAGCGTACTAAGTACCTTAATTTTTCTTTTTATAAAATAACGCTCTGTCCTGTGGCTATCGTATTGGACGTAAAGTACCGTACCATCGCGTACTCTTCATTTCATAAACTTTTTAGGCCCACTGGCTTTGCCAAATACGCAACATCGGTCCGAAATGAGGCTTGCGGAAGAGCGATGCTAACGGCTATGTATCAGGCCATTAACAAAGGTATCACGTTTGGAGGAGAGAGAGAGTGAGAGAAAGATAGAGAGAAAGAGAGAGAAAGAGAGAGAGAGAGAGATATTTTTCCAGGCTTCCCGGTGGCTCAAAGCACCGTAATGTTCGTGATCGACAACATTTGCGACTACATGAAGCGCGAGGTACCGAAGGTGACCGACGCGCTCGAGAAGTTCTGCGGGCATGTGAGTTGGAGGAGCAGCCGGAAATTTGGCTGCCTAAGCCCAAGCTAAGCTTAAGCTTCTACCTAATTTTTAGATACAAAACCTCCCGCCAGAGCTTCGGGTTCGGCTTCCGGAAAGCTGCTATCTGGGGTCCGACTTCGAGACGTTGTTCGCGAATGCGGTTGCCATCAACTTCAAAGTAAGTAAAAGATGTTTCTCTATCTATTTCTCTCGCTCTCTAGCTCTCTCGCTCTCTCTCGCTACCCCCTCAATTTCCAGCCAATCCCCTCCACCCCCGGCTACTACATCTACCAGCGCAAGGGCCGCGACCGTAAAGCCACCACTCAAAGTGACAGATCCCCGTTGCCATTTACATCGATAGAAGCGGCTAGTGTTGGTCAGTTTTATAAATTTTTACTAACATACAGTACGCCGTCAGATATCTTAGATACCGTAATACCATCGTATTTAGGTGGCGATCGTACCCCAGACGAATCGGAGCACTCGTCATTAATGCGTGCCGGCTCGGCCCCACCAATCCGCCGTCGAATCCTGAAAAAATACGCCGACATCCCGCTGTTCGTCTTCTTCAACTGCACCATCGAGTTTCCGGATCGTGAGTTTTCATACTTTGTGGTTCTGTCACTGATTACGGCATGAAAATTGGCTTTTGGGCCGCCTTGCAGGCAGTTCCGGTATGTCTTAATGGATTACAGCATCGAAATAGCCTTTAAAGTCACTTAAAAGTTGCCAAAAAGAACGAAAAATTAATTCCAGGCACGATGAGCTCATTCCCAGTCCAACATCTCCCCTATTGCGTCCAAGAATTGATTGACAACTGCCCCGAAAAGCCCACCGAACCGTTCGAGCTGAAAGACGTCAGGGTCAGGGTGGAAATGTACGTTCTCTCATGGCCCATCGAAGATGAGGCAGACCCCGGCAGGGTGAGCACCAACTTCCTTGAGCATCACCTGCCTGTTTGTGTAGATATCCACCTCGGAAGAGCGCGAGAAGAGCTACGCGAAGCGCCGAATGTTGGCCTTCCGCGACTCCCTGCCTGCTGCTATTCAGGAGGTCATCAAGAAGCTGCTGAAGAATGTGGAGCGGCTTATTGAGATGGAGGTAAGGATGAGTGAGCTTGAGCTCAGCGAATACCAAGCTAAGCTCGGCTAAGCCTCAACCAAAGCTAAGCCAAGGCCAAGCCAAATCTGAGCTAAGCCGAAGCTAAGTCTAGCTAGTCCTAAGCTAAACCTAAGCTAAGCCTAAGCTAAGCCTAAGTTAAGCGAAGCTAAGCCTAAGACTAAGCGTAAGCAGGTCTAAGCCATGATAAAGCTGAGCCTAACCCCACCCATTCTAGATGGTCCTCATCGAGGCCCGAAAACAAGAAGTAACCCTGGAGCAACTTCGCCGAATCTCGGCCTTCATCAGCAAGGAGTACGTTGAATACGCCGATGCCGGAGGCGCGGACCGACGTCTCGACCAGCGAAACAAACCCCTGCAACTGGTCATCAACCTGCCGGATACCGTCAAAAAGCTGAAATCCCGGCTGGACGGGATTACCGTGGAGAATTGTGTGCTGAAGAAGGTGGGGGATGAGATGTTCTACTGTATGCCGTTCGACGAGACGGAGAAGCGGACGAGGAATGAGAGTCGAAGGGCGTCGGTGAGTGCTTTAAAGGGGTTGGCAAGGCATTGGAAAATTTTTAAAGGATCGGGCAAGCCAAAATTTTCCGGAAATTTGCCAAAAGACGTCTTCTGAGGGTCCTGGAAACCAAATACGATCATTTTGCAGGGGCAGGGAAGCTATAGATAACTGGAATTTTTTTAATTTGACGTTTTAAAGGGACAGGGAAGTCAAGAAACCTTCGAATTCTGCCGTTTTGCATATTTAAGGGGGTTTGAACATTGGAAAATCTCAAAATTTCCATAATTGGAATTTTACAATGAACCAGGTAGCCGAGATTTAAGGCTTAAAAGTCATCGCAGAGCAAAAACGACCTGGGATTTTACATTTTAAAGGCACTGGGAAGACAGGTGAGCTTCCAGTTTCGCCAAATTTGGGTTCTAAAGTGGCCCGGAAGTGAAAAATAGCATAAAAATCATGAATTTCACCACTTTTGGTATTCTAAGGAAAAAGCTCGTATTCAAATCAAATCTAGTGTTTTGCGTGGGAAATGAGACCCTTTCAAGGGCCACTGAAGGCAAAAATTCCATAAAATCTACTTTTTAGATGTCAAAGAGTCGGCAAGTTTCCGGGGAAGCCGGGCTAGGTGCTCAGGTGTCACCGCTCAGGGAAAGGTAAGCAGATCTCTCTCTCTCTCTCTCTCTCTTTCTCTCTCTACAGTCACTATGTTTTCAGAAAACCCAGTTCGAGCACGGCCCTCTACTGCGACGGCCGTCCCGTGGAGCGTTCGGAAGCGTTCGAGGACTTCTGGCTAATTCTCACAGTGTCGGAGGAGAATCTGCTCTTCCAATTGTGTCGTCGTCAGACAGACCGGCACGATCGCCTCTTTAGTCTTATATGGAGGAAAGTGAAACAGACCGTTCGTGTTCTCAATCAGGAGATGCTGCTCATGCAGGTAGGCAGAGAGAGGGAGGGAGAGAGAGCGGGAGAGAGGGAGAGCGAGAGAGAAAGAGCGAAAGAGAGAACAGACAGATAGATAAAATTATTTTTCTAGACCCTCCAAACCCGAAAGGTCGACCTCCTGCTCCTTGCGCCACCCGAGTCCGATCGATTCGTTGGTACGAAGGGATACGGTAGGTTTTCAAAGTCAATTTTTGGGTTATTGGCAAACTAGCAAAAACCTTTGAGGAGTTTTAACACCTTTCGCTGGCAACCTAGTTCTTAGGGATTTTCCGCCAACAGAGGCAGGCTAGAAGTGATCTTTGAGGAATTTACGCTATTCTATCTCTCTAGGCAGGCTAGCAGAAATTTTTGAGGCTATTGGAAGCGCTCTGCAAGCCTTGGGCAAGCGAGCAGGGATTCTTTGCCATTTTTGGCCAATTTAATGACCTACAGGGCGGTGTTGCAGAGATTATTGCGAATACTGATTCTCATCCTATCTAGTCTTGGCCGTCTAGCCGATATTCTTAGGGATTTTTAGCCGGCGCTGAGCCGGGCAGGCTAGCTTAGATTCTTAAGACTCCCTAGGGCAAGCTAGCAGAGATCACTGAGGAATTTTAGCTCTAAAAATTGAATTTGCAGCCTCTGACGATGATTTCGATGTCGATCCCTCCAGCCATCTGCCAATCAAACAAGACGCCCGTTTCCACTATGCCCCTGGCTACTTTGCATGCGAGGTGCAATTCGAGCACTGGTTCACGCTCCACCCCCGAGTCCGACAGAGCAGGATGACGAACATGTCCGGGATGGGGAGCCTGAGCATGAACTCTGGGGTGGAGGCGCTGAAGCGCGAGCTCGAGCCGTTCAAAGTGGCCAACTCGAACTTGACGAATGTTTATATATTGAGGTTAGAGAGAGAGTGTGAGAGAGAGAGAGAGAGCGAGAGAGAGCAATTAATCTTTTAGCGCCCCCGATGAAAATGTGCTCTACATGATTCTTCACGTCAATCGGGGCAGCGTCTCGCACACGGTGAAAAATGCGCCAAAACCCTGGAAAAGGTAGGATGGGGCTTAGGCTTAAGATATCTCATTCCAGGGAGGCCTACACCAAACTCGAGCAGCAGAACGCGTTGCTGCTGACAATCCACGGGGTCCGAGAACCACGCCAGGAGTACATCCTCGAATTCATCGACAAGATGCAGAAGCGGCTGGACAATACGACGCTTCACCATCTGTCGACGATGTTGGAGAAGAATGCGCATTCGCGGCTCGAGGCGGCTGATGTTCAGTTTATTCAGAAGGACTGTCGGAGTCCGTCGACGCTGATTTATTTCGGGATTCCGAATTGTTTGGCCGGATATTTGCAGGTGGGTGAGGGTTTTAAAGGGATTGTGAACCAGAGAGAGGTAGAAAGAGAGAGATGGCACAGCGAGAGAGAGACGGACATAGGGTGCGAGAGAGAGAGAGCAATGATCGAGCGAGAGAGATCGAGAGTGAGAAAAAGAGAGAGAGGGAGAGAGGGAGAGAGAGAGAGAGAGAGAGAGAGAGAGAGAGAGAGAGAGAGAGAGAGAGAGAGAGAGAGAAAGCGGGGGAAGGGCAGATGGAAAAGAGCGAGAGAGCCTGCGAAAAAGAGAGAACTAGAGACAAAAGGTTGAATACAACAGACTTTCCTAAAGGATCTCTGCTAGCTATCCAAAGCCCTAATTATGTGAAAGAAGCATCAGTATTCAAAGAATTTTCTCTCTCTCTCTCTCTCTCTCACTCTCTCTCTATTCCCAACCTTTCCAGGCCATCTACATCTACATGCATCAGCAGTTGATCACCCTCGATATCCACCCAGCCCGTTGCAAAGACGAATCGGGCACCAACGCCGAGCATACCTCGTTCCGAAGCCTTCCACCCCCAAACAACTATATCCCCAACGACTACCAGCCTCGATTTTCGCTTTTTGTCCGACCGATCAAGGAAGGAAATAAGACAAACGGTATGTAGATTTGGGTGCTGGTTCGTTAGCGGGGGGGGGGACGAACCCCCGCTAACGAACCAGAACCTAAATTGGTCCCCTGGCCTCCTATTAATGCGTATTCTAGGAATCGCTTGCCTCGAAATGCGATTTGTCAACGAACGTCGAGAAATTGTCGAACTATCAAATGGAAGACTGGATAAAAATACGCACACCACCTTTATGAGGCCGGATGATCCAGTTTCCGAGCAGATCGAGCACTACAAAAGCCTGCTCAGCTTCAGAAGGGTGGAGGAGCCGGGGCAGAGAGAGGGTGAGTAGATGTAGATAGAGAGAGAGAGAGAGAGAGAGAGAGAGAGAGAGAGAAATAAAGTTTTTTCTCCAGATACCTGCGCCTACCTTGAAGTGGCCGCCTGGCAGGCTGGAGATGTTGGATTCGCCGTGTTGAAGAATAAGCTGGAACAGTGCTTGAGAATGGCGGGTTTTAGAGCAGTTTGAAAGCTCAGGCCGATGCTCAGACATCGCTCATGCTGAGGCGTAGGCTTAGACTTATGCTCAGGATTAGACTCATGCTCAGACGTAGTCTGGGCTCAGGCTCAGCCACATGCTTAGGATTATGCTCATGCGTATGGTCCGGCTCAGCTTAGGTTTAGCTTAAAATTAGCATAGATCTATGCTCAGGCTGATGCTCAAGCTTATTTTAGGTTAGAAATATTTTAATTTTTCAACATTCAGGCTCTCTGTGATGTCTTAACAGAATATGGGCTCCTGAACGACGTCGTCGTGGGGTTGGAGCAGAACCTGCCGATGAGTCCGCCGACGGCGAGTTTGGTGACGCCTGGCCAAAGTGAGTAGCGATAGAGAGAGGGAGAACGAGAGAGAGAGAGAGAGAGATAGAGAGAGAGAGACCTATTCGTTTCAGGGTCCCATCGTCCCTCCCTCATCCGCCAGCGTTCTTCCAGCGAGGCCCAGACCCCAAATACAAGCAAAATTCTCACCCCGATGTCCTCCCAAAAACACATGCTATCCACGATTGATCAGAAGCAAGTAGGTGCACTCCAGAATACCGTAGTATTCAAACGATTACGATATCAAAATCCGTAAATTCTAGCAGCTCCACTTCACCTTCGACGCCAAGCCGAACACGTCGTTCGGGTCGGAGCTGGACAAGTTGAGCAAGGACGAGATTTTGTGAGTTTTTGGTTTGGTGTTTTGGCACGGTCTCTCGCTCCCTCTCTCTCTCTCTCTCTCTGTCTCTCTCTCTCTCTCGCAAAGGATGCCTTGAACTTCCTGAACTCTTCCAGGCGCGAGGAGCTCATCTCCGACGACTTCCTCCGGTGTGCCGAAAGCTACTGGTCGATGATCATCGACTGGGCCAAGGTGCAGACGCCGTCGCTGCTCAAGGCCGAGGTCGAATTCGACGCGCCGGATACGCACAAAAGGGTAAGTAGCTAACTAGCTTTTTGGCCATTAAAGGGTCAAACAAGGCAAGATTATAGCTCCGGAAGCCTCGAAATCAGTAGTTCACCCCCTTCTTCCAGGTACTCTCCCAAGACACCGTCCTCCAAGAACAAACCCGACGTACCATACCTCTCCAAGAGCGCCTGATGACCATCCTGGAGTCGGTGCCGATGAGGGAGCAACTCCAGGATAGAGTCCTAGTCGCAAGGAGGCGATTTGATGGAAAGTACGAGGTTGTACGCACGAATCCGGTTGCAAAATCGGCGGATTTATTGGTAAGCTAGAAAGTTAAGAAAATTATGAATTTTAACCGCAAAATCGATAATTTTAAGTGGCGAAAAGAAAGCCTAAGGATTCTTAAGCAAGATAAGGTAAAAACCCAACTTTTACAGTATGACTTTGGCTACGACTACGATCCAGAACTGGCTACACCACCTGAATTTTTGATTATTGCTCAAGTGAAGGAGGTAGGTGAAAAATGGCTGTCTCCTCACTGTCTCTCTGTCCCTCTCTCTATCTCTGATCACACCTTCTCGCTCTCTCTCTCTCTCTCTCTGTCTCTCGCTCTCTCTCACGCTCTCCCTTTTCAGGTGGCCGAAGAGACAATGCGTTACGGTATGGGTCCAGTCGGAGACCCGCCAGAAGTCTTAAAAAATGTGGCCCGCGATGGGGCCCGAGAAATGTTCGCCCCTTACCTACCATCTTCAAGGGATTCAGGTATAGCATCAGGTCGAGTTTTAGAATCCAGCCTTAGTTGGCGGCTTCGATCGCTCGTTCAGCGGGGATGAGCGGAGCGCGTTCGTCCCGAGGCGAAGACTGTTTTATGGGATTGTCAGGCAGGAGAAGGTGAGCACGAGCTTTTAAAGTATCGGAGAAGATGGAGGAAAAAAATTTGAATCGGATCCAATTTCAGAAAATAGCCGCGGCTTACCGTACCCCAAAAAAATCGTATTTAGACTCAAGATTTTTTGCAAGCTACAGGCCTCCTGTATTTTTCGCGAAAACCCTGTCCATTTTCCCAAATTTTACGAGGGCGATCCTGATCAGAATTTTACGCGCTATCGAATGAGCAGCATCTTAGAAGCCGAAAACTTTCAGTTGACCTGCTTCTTGTACAACTTCAAGCCCGACCTGGGTCGCCAGATCGTGCAGCAGATCACGCGCTTTGTGCATTGGCACAACGGGAAGATGCGGTTGGTCAAGGAGATCGGCATGCACAAGATGGGATATCAACATCTGGGAGAGTCGGACAAGGTATCGTAGCGTATCGTAACGTGACCGTAGCGTTACGTAGGGTTTTTTTAGCGTAGCTATTCATACCTTAGCGTGGACAATTAGGGTGTATCGTAGCCCTATCGCGACTTAGTGTGCAGCATCGTATCGTAACGTATGGTGACGTAGCGTAACATCGCGTATCTTCGCTTAGCTATCGTACCGCATCAGAGGACAGCATCGTATCGCATCCTGGCATTGTATGGTTGCGTAACGTAGCGCCGCCCTAGCGCAGCTAGCGACGTATTGTAGCGTACTGTGTCGTATCGTATCGTATAAAACTGTATCGAGTCGTACGATACCGTACTCTCTCTGACTCTATCGTACCCTATTTCAGAACTCTGACAACCCATTCTTCGAGCAACTATGGAGACAACCCGATGAGGTGCTGGCCGATGAGCTTCCGGAGGTGGCCCGGGAACGAAGACAGGGCCGAAATGTATCTGTAGGTTTTTCGGGACTTTAAAGGGACGGTGACAGCAGGGCTCTTGGCTTGAGGCTTCCATAATGTCTATTTTTTTCAGTTCCACTCCCGTACTCCGTCCGTAATCCGGATGCACTATGCCGACACTCTCGATAGGGTCTACCGACACGCCCGGACGGCATTCCTGGTCCGGAAATATTTCGGCTGCGTGTGGAAGGATCAGCTCTATCAGTTTATCATGGTTAGTGGAGGATTTTTGAGGTTTTGTCGGGGGTTTTTCTAGATGGTTTGATGTTTTTTCGGGATTGCTCGCAATTTTAGTTATTTTCCAGCTAGTTTCGGCATTTTCTCTATTTTTCGAGCAAAATGAAATTCGATCCGCCGTTTGACGATTTTAGAGTGTTTTTCGGGATTTTTCGATTTGTCGGTATTTTTCGAAAGATCTTGTGCCATATCCCTGGTTGTGTCGGGATATTTCGGTGTTTTCCAGCTACGAGGAGATGTGTGGAGTCGCGTCGAGGCCGACTACGCCCTACACCAAACACACAAACAGTGTCTGGAAACCGCGGCGTCGAATAGTGCATTGAAAGTGCCGGTAAGCCAAGACTAAGCCAAGCCTGAACAAGCCTGAGCCAAGCCTAAGCTAAACCTAAGCCAAGCCTAAGCAAAGCCTAAGCCAAGCTCAAGGCAAGCCTAAGCCAAGCTCAAGGCAAGCCTAAGCCAAGCTCAAGGCAAGCCTAAGCCAAGCTCAAAGCAAGCCTAAGCCAAGCTCAAGGCAAGCCTAAGCCAAGCTCAAGGCAAGCCTAAACCAAGCTTAAGCCAAGCCTAAGCTAAGCCTAAGCCTTTTGATTACTTTCAGGAAGAGAACCTGCTGCAGCTGATCGACGCGTCGAGGATGATCCACTTTGTCTTGACCCCAATTCTGCTCTTCCCAGGATGGCGCAAGAAGGTGGCCCTCATCCGGGCGAACGGCGAGTTGGAGCTGGTCGATAGCGATGAGGAATTGGTGGGTTTTTAAGAAGATTTCTCTCTCACTCACTCTCCCTCGCGCTCTCTCTCTCTCGCGCTCTCTCTCTCTCTCTGTATCTCTCCTTTCAGTTCCGCTCTTCGATGCCGCACTCGGCTTCAAACCGTTCAGTGGGAATGGGCGAGCGGAAAGCCTCCGGCTTATCCCTGGCTCATGAAGAGACCGGAAGTCGAAATCGGAGCTTTACTCTTAGGTTTGTTTTCAGCATTAAAATTGTAGAAATATTTACATGCTAATTTTTAGGGTGTAGCAATTAAAAAATCCAATCATATACATTAAAGGGCTGCCGACGGCATGTGTCGATCCCCCCTCATCAACAAATTGGCAAGTAGCCAACAGGGTAGAGAGCGCGCCCAGGGGAGAGGCGCAGAGACATTTTATTTTCCGCGCGTAACCGATTGACTATGCCGTCGGCATCCCTTTAAGATTGGTTAAATTCATTCACCCTCACTAAAACGGGATTATAAAAATTAGCAACTTCTACCGTAATCAGGGCCTAATTTACGTAAATTGGTAAAACAGAAAAATGCCGACAGCCAAACTGCCGACAAGCCAAGATCCCGACAACTAAGACAGCTAAATTCCTTGCTTAATAGGAAGTGAAGTACAAACAAGCTTCCAGAATGTGTCGGGATTTTAGCTGTCGGTATTTTGGTTGCCGGGATTTTTGCTGTCGGACTTTTGGACTGTCGGCATTTTGGCTCGAATTCATATAAATCTCATTTTTCTTTCAACTTCTCGCGATTTTTCGGCTTTCCATCAGGTGTAGTTTGGTGGCTTTCGTAGTCGGTACGTCTGTTCTACAAAATACCGACAGGTTCTAAAGGGACCGGCAAGACAATTTTATCATTTTGCGATTTTTGGGCATCGAATTCGAAATTTTAGGTATTAAATTTTTTCACATGTCGAATTCCATTTTCGTGGATTCCCGGCCCCTTTAAAACCCGGAAAAATGCTCACTACGGTATTTTTTTGCTTTTCGTAAACGTGCATTTCGTGATTTCCATTTTAAAGCGGTCGTATGCGACATCAGCAACGAGTCCGGAGTAGCACGATGAGGTTTGGACTGGCAGGCAAAATCGAGCAACACACACATATGCAAATATCCGAATGCGCGCTACCGTATCCCACACAAGAAAGTGGGCGTGGCCGGGGTACTGTAGGCGCCGATTGGAGCGTTTTGGAGTTTCTAGAAAACCAGTAATTTTGTTTTATTTCTTCTAGACCTGAAATTCTTGACACCGATAATTTTGAAAAATAGGAATAGCATATTTTCAACAAAAATTAAGGTTCTTTTGCATTATCGGGGGGGGGGGGTTGCCTCTAAAATTGCCTATTAAAATTCCATTAAAGATTTTAATGATGTTTTTACTGAACTTTAACTTTCTTTGAAGCGAAAAATCTCTTGAAAATTCAATTGCAAAAATTCAAATTCTGTTCAAAAATCGGTTATGTTTGGTCGAAAAATCGATTTTTTTAATTTTTAACCAAAAAATTTGTAAGTTGTTTGCGTTTAGGCCTTCTAAAAAACAGCTTAGAAACACTTCCTCTATTTATATTACAAAATTTGGATCCTAAGAAAAAAGTTGTTCTCCCCCGCTAATGCAAAAGCTCCTGAAAAACGGCGGTTCATTAAAAAAATTTCTTGAAAAAGTACCTTAACGCGCTACAGTACCCTTGCCTCGCCCACCCCGCCTGCATGCAAATCGCTTTCCCGCAAAATGCCGGCATCATGGAATGGCTCTGCTGCTCGGCGCACCAACGGCTTTTCCCCGGTTTCACCCCCCGATTTCCGCTTTTCCGGGTCGCCCCTTTTCTTTTCTGTTCTCTATCGCTTTCTAACTAACAAATATTTTCTTTTTTTTAGACTTTCCCCTAGTCACCCCAGAAATATGCTAATTATCCCTTAAAAATTGCCTTTTAGCGCATCCGCCTATTCGAACCACGACTTGGAGGCGTTGGCTTTACCGTCCGACCTGCCGGAACCGTGGAATATTAAGGTATTTAAATAGTAATTTTTATCTTCTAGTTAGATAATTTTTATATATTTAATTAATTAAATTACATATTTGGTCTTGACATTAGAAATTTATCTTTTTATTTCTAAAGCTAAAAATCATTTTTTCAGATCCTCTACCTACTCGTCGCCGAGTACAGCGAGTACCTCAAGAAAATCCACGGGCTGGAGGCGATTTCTATCACGAATCCGTGTACCGTGTAAGCTATAGGATACGGTAGCCTTGAAAATTTTTTTAGCACGGCACAGAGGAGGGCACATCGGCTACAGTATGACAAGAAGTGCACTTATCCACCAGAGGTGAGGAGGGGCTGCTTTAAAGGGATAAGCTTAAGCCAAGCCTACGCTAAGCTGAAGCAAGCCTAAGCCAAACCTAAGCTAAAGCTAAACTAAGCCGAAGCTAAGCCTAAGCTAAGCCTAAGCTAAGACTAACCTAAGCCGAATCTAAGCCTAAGCTAAGCCTAAGCTAAGCCTAAGCTAAACCTAAGCTAAGCCTAACCTAAGCCGAATCTAAGCCTAAGGTAAGCCTAACCTAAGCCTAACCTAAGCCGAATCTAAGCCTGAGCTAAGCTAAGCCTAACCTAAGCCGAATCTAAGCCTAAGCTAAGCCTAAGCTAAGACTAACCTAAGCCGAATCTAAGCCTAAGCTAAGCCTAAGCTAAGCCTAACCTAAGCCGAATCTAAGCCTAAGCTAAGCCTAAGCTAAGCCTAAGCTAAGCCTAACCTAAGCCGAATCTAAGCCTAAGCTAAGCCTAACCTAAGCCTAACCTAAGCCGAATCTAAGCCTGAGCTAAGCTAAGCCTAACCTAAGCCGAATCTAAGCCTAAGCTAAGCCTAAGCTAAGACTAACCTAAGCCGAATCTAAGCCTAAGCTAAGCCTAAGCTAAGCCTAACCTAAGCCGAATCTAAGCCTAAGCTAAGCCTAAGCTAAGCCTAAGCTAAGCCTAACCTAAGCCGAGTCTAAGCCTAAGCTAAGCCTAAGCTAAGCCTAAACTAAGCCCAAGCCTAAGCCTAATCCAAGCTTTTCAGCCGCTATCAACCCACTATTTTCCAGGTCTGGCTATACAAAGCCACCCCAGAAGGCCTCATCCTCCTCCACCTCCACTTCCAAAGCCCCTACTTCGTGCTGGAGATGCACACCTGGGAGGCGACGGCCGTCCTGTTCAAGGCGTTGGTATGTTTTTGGGTCCTAGGAAGTTCTAAAAATATTTTTTAATTTTTGAGGATCGGTAAACGCGGAAAATATGGCCACACCCCCGCTAAGAGTCCAGTACCATTTTTTCAGCGGTATTTTACAGTACTTTCCACAGCCTTGACATTGACATTTATTGGGCCCAAAAATGGCGTCTAAAATGAGATCGTTTCCATTATCCACAAATATCGTCCAGTCGGGACGGGCTACTGCTTCGCGATGAGGGAGCGCTAAATTTGTGTTTAAATTAAAAAATATATTTTTTGATTGAATTTAATGATAAAATTAATAAAACTAACCCCGTTGGGAATATCCGCTTTTGGCACTGCAGGGGCGGTTTTTGCGGCCAGCGTCTTGGCCCGGTGACGGAGTGCTCGGGCCCTAGGTGCTGGATAGAGCCCGTCCGCCTCGTAAAGGCCGTTTCTAAAGGGACTGGGAAGGCAAAAAGTTTGAAAGAAACGCTGCTACCTGGCCCCCGGAATTCCACAAAGATCTCTGCTAGCATGCCATTGGCCTCTTTATCGATATTCCTCAAGGTTCCCTGCTAGCTTTCCTTAGTCCACGTTTTCATCCAAATCCCGCAAGATTATCTGCTAGCTGACTGGACTCGAATTTATGATACGTTTGTAGTGAAGTTTCCTCAAAAATCTTTGCTAGCCTGCCCAGCCTTCCCTGTCCCTTGATTCCAACCCGTAATACCTTACCTATAACCTCCAGGCTGCTGGTAGGGCTCTGGTTGCTGGTTGTAGCTGGGCGGCTAAAAAGAATGACGTATAATATCAGGTTAATTTAGGCTTAGCTTAGGCTTAGCTTAGGCTTGGCTTAGGTTTGGCTTAGGCTTGGCTTAGGCTTGGCTTAGGCTGAGCTTAGGCTGAGCTTGGGCTTAGGCTTCGGCTTCGGCTTCTTCTCTTTACCGGTGGAGGAGGTGGCTGATTGTAAGTCGGGGCCGGCTCGTAGCTGGGCGGCTAAAAAATTAGATTAATGTAAATTTAGAGGTAACTGAGAAGCAGCATATTTTCCATATTTTCCTAATTTCCATAACGAACCGGTGGTGGGGGAGGTGGAGGCTGAGGGGCAGGCTCGTAGCTCGGCGGCGGTGGAGGTGGGGGATTGTAGGTAGGTGCCGGCTCGTAGCTGGGTGGCTGGAAGAAGGTAGAATTTTTGGCTCATTATGAAGCCCGTAATTTACATAATTGGCATAATCTCAATTTTTGTAATTCGAGTTGCTGCCTTCATAGCCCCTTTAAACCCCAAAAATTACTCACTGGGGGTGGTGGCGGTGGTGGCATGGCGTCCGATTGATACGCATTGACGGGCATCTGATACCTCGGCATCCCGTATCCGGGTCTTCTGTAGCCCGGTCGTGCGTATCCTGGCTTTGCGTATCTTGGTCTCGAGTAGCTAGGTTGGGAATAGCCTTCTTCCATCATCATGCTCATCCTAAAAAAATAATTTTTGGTATTTTTCTTTTTTTGGTATTTTCCATTCCTCAAAAATCTCTGCTAGCTTGCCCACAATTTTTTAAAGGATCTCTGCTAGTTTGCCCTGAAATTCCTCCAATAATTTCTGCTAGATGGCCATGAATTCTCAAGGAATCTCTGCCAGTTTGTCCTGTATTTTAGCAAAGAATCGTTGCATTCTTTCTCAAATTTCTCAAAGAATCTCCGCTAGCCCTCCCCTGCTTACGTCAAAGAACCTCTGCTAGCTTGCTTTTCCCAAAGAATCGCTGCTCGCTTGCCCAGGTTTCGAATGTCAATTTTTGACTCACGGTGGTGCGTAGGAATCATCTTCCGGCATCACCATGGCTCCAGGTGGTGGGGCATCGACGTACGGGCCCATTGGCTCGGGGTACATTTCATTGTAGGGTTGTCCCATACTGTATCCATCCCCTCCGGGACCCATCGGAGGGCCCATTCCGCCGCCTCCGCCTCTGAAATTTGCAAAAATTTGGTGAAACTCCGCTTAAAAATTTCTGCCAGATTGCCCTCCTTTTCGGTGAATTTTGAGATGTCTTGAGGAGCTCTTTTACGAGGGAGATAGAGGGAGAGAAGGAGAGAGAGGGAGAGAGAGGGAGAGAGAGGTAGGGAGAGTGAGCGCGAGAGAGAGAGAGAGAGAGAGAGAGAGAGAGAGAGAGAGAGGAATCTTATTTTTCTTTCAAACCCCCCTCCCCTCGAACCAAGCTAAACCTCAAACTCCATTCCAAAACTTGTTTACGTTCAAGGTCCACAAATCGGACTATTTTTTAGTTTGCCATCTTCCAAAACCCACGAACCGAACATCTCTTGCCAAGCCCCACGTTTGCAAATTGGAACAGAAAGAAGGCAAAGCGAAATTGGGAAACCGGTTTCCGCCGCCCAAGGTCTAGCCGCTTTTCACTTTTACTGCCCGGCGACGCTTGATGAGAGATGGATTTGCGGGATTGGCCCGAGTACTTGGGCGCATGGAAGAAATTCGGGTTTAAAGGGATGGCGACAGGGAGAGTGGCCAGTTAGCAGGGGTTTTTGGGGAATTTTTTAGGCGGTGAAGCCCGTTTGGGGGCAAACTAGCGGAGATTCATTTGGAATTCTTGATTTGCACTGCTAAAGGGGTGGTTAAGGATTTGAATTTGGCGCTAAAGGGAAATCCATCACTCTCTCTTCCTCTTACTTTCACTCTCTCCTTCTCTCGCTATCTCTCTCTCTCTCGCTTTCTCTCGCTCTCTCTCCCTCTCTCTCCCTATCTCTCTCTCGCTCGCTTGCTCTTCTTAATTTTACGGAGATCTAGCTTAAGAATTTTTCGTTGTCAAAGGGTGCAAAATGTGATCCCCAAAATAAAACGAAAATTGAGATAACTGAGAAAAATTTTCTTTTTAAATTTTTTAAAGGTGATCTCGGTTTAAAATATTATCGTTAAAATATGCAAAAAATCCTACCCGCAACACGGTCCACCTCCTCCACCTCCAGTCAACCCCGCCAGCAAATTCCACAGGAATCCATTAGCCGCCGAGAATATTCCGAATACCACCAAACCACGTAGTAGCCACATCTCCACCAGAAAGTAGCCCTCCTTGGCTTCTCCTGGCCCTTTTAAAGCTTTTCCTCAACCTCGAAAATTTCTCTCAAATTCCATGGGATCCACCAAATTTCGTGAGTCATCGCCAACGAGGACAATGGCATGGATTTGGGGGTCCTGGATGGATTTAGCATCTCGGGATACTCGTAAAAGGTTTTTCGGGAAAAGTATTGGTGATAAGTTCCCATTGTTGCTAGCTGTTGCTCCGGCTCTCTCTCTCTCTCTCTCTCTCTCTCTCTCTCTCTCTCCTGGGGGAGAAGTTCGCCCAAATTCGCCTCGGCTTTTCCCCCCTCTCCGCCCCTTTTCCATTTTCAATCAGGATCAGGAAAACAAGTATGTTTTTCTGAGAGGAAAACTTGTTTAGAAAAAATAAGAATAATTATAGAGAGACAGAGGGAGAAAACCAGGGCGAGAAAGAGAGAGAAGAGAACGAGAGACAGAGAGACAGAGAGAGAGAGAGAGAGCGAGAGAGTGAGAGCCAGAGAGAGAGAAAGAGAGAAAGCAAAGCGAGATAATTAGCAAAATTGAACATTTTGTTTAGTTTCTCTTGTATTCTTTTTTTATGTAGACAATTGTGTACTGTAGTCTTATCAATTCCTTCATTTAATGTGCCGACCAATAGCTCGCCGTATCGATCATTCTTTATCCCATCGCAACGGCACGAAACTCCGTACACAGCCGCGTAACGAGGCGGTTGGTATCGGACGGCGGGCCCGGAAAAATAGGTGGCACTAGAAAATCCCGAAAATCAAGGCCAAACGGTGTCTGCGTCACGGTTTAGCAAATGGGGCGCGATGGAAAAGGGTCGAAAATCACACAAAAAGCGGCAAATTTTTTAGGAAAAAAGGATGAGCTGGGAAGTCAGAAATCCATGGTAATCGTACTGCAAAAAATCTGAAAAGTTTTAGAAGAGCCTAGGAATTTGTCAATCCATCGAAATTCCCCTATACGATTGCCTAAAACTCGTTTTAAAGGAACTGGGAAGCCAGAAATCCACAGGAATCGTTCGGAATTTAGGAATCACATATATTTTAAAGATATAAAGCTCGTGAAAATGGCAAGAAAATGGCAGTGTTTGTAGAAAAATTACTATAAAAAGATCGGCGGTCTGCTTGGGTTTAGCTTAGGCTTAGCTTAGGCTTAGCTTAGGCTTAGCTTAGGCTTAGCTTAGGCTTAGCTTAGGCTTAGCTTAGGCTTACATCCCGCATCTCCTATATCAAATCACAATCTCTGAATCTGCGCAAATCTATAATACCCCGAAATCGGGGCCGAACCCCTTGAAAATGTTGCCTGGGGTGGGGCGGCGGGACCCTGGCTGTATCCAGTGGGGGCCGGGGGACTGTAAGACTGGGGAGTACTGTAGCCGGATTGGCTACCGTAGTCGGATTGACCGCTAAAAGACGCGCCGCCGGGGGCACTGTAGACGGGGTTCAAGACAGGGTGGGCGACGTTCTGCTCGACTTGGGCAAGGGGTGCCCATCCTTCGGCTGGCTGGGCATCTCCGAACCATCCCTGGATCGTCTGTCCGGAGGAGCCACCGTATCCGCCCGTCTGTCCATAGCTTTGCCCGTAGCTTTGCATCTGCTGGCCGTAACCGCTGAAAAAAATGGATTTTATTTTTGAAATTTTCAATTCTGAATTTTGTCATTCAGAATCGTCAAATTATTTTTGAAAATTTTTTAATGAGAACTCGGCATCTTACAGTACCAGCAAACGGTTAAAAAAATTTTAATTTAAATTTTGGAAACCTTGGAAAAACCAAAATCAAGTTTTCCGTTTTTCATTTTTTCAATTTTTCATTTTGTTTCATTTTTTTTCCTAGTCATTCCCCATCGCGTTTCTCTAGTTTTAAACTTATCAAAATCTCAGAAAATCCAGATTTGAAGGTTTAGAAAAAACTACAGTACCCTTGCGGATTTTATCAATTCTTGAAAACGCACCTGATCATAGCTGTCGCCGTTCCAACTAACAACACGAACGCGAAAAGTTGCATGCTTTTGTAGATCGGATACGTAAGGAGTAGCGGACCGGAAATTGGGATGTTTTGGCCGGTTTGGCTGGCCTTTTGTAGCCTTGGCTGGACGACCTTGGCTGGGTGGGTGGGCCGGCCGGGCCAGGCTTTTTTGCGCGCCCGCTGGGACGCTTTTTGACACCCGATAAACTGACGAAAACAAGGCTTTTAAAATCCAGGATTTTATCTATTTCCACGATTTTTAAAGCTTGAAAAATGCCTTTTACAGGAGGATGTCCCGCAATCGGCCCGAGATCACTCTGCCGAGCTGTCCAACTCGGTCTCCCGGCTCCTCTCCGGCCTCCACTTCCACTCGTTCACCTACGATTTCCATCTGCGCATGCTGGCCAACTTTTTGAGCGGCCGGGATACGGTAATTGGAGCGAGACTTAGCCTGAAAAGCTTCTTTTAGGAACTCTTCAAAAGCGGCTACGACACCAACGCGTTTTTGGCCGATTTCCTGCAATATTATGGGTGTCGGCCGGCCTACGCCCAGAATTGTGTCTACGAGGGTGAGTTTCAGGGTATTCTAAAAGATATGTTAGCAACATAGTAGTAAGTATTTTAATAGAGTTTTTAGTAAATTTAATCATATTTAAAAAAGAAAACTATGCAGTTGACTTCGAAAAAGTAAAATATTTTGAAATTTTGGCAAAAATTGGCGATTTTTCATCGAAAATTCGATATTATTATTATTGCATTTTTTAGAATGAAACGCTCTAAATATAAAATTCGAGGTCTAGGAAAGGAAGAAACTATAGAAACGGTCGCTTCATTTATAGAAATAGGTGGATTCTAAGGAAAAATAATGAAATTTTGGTAGTTACTCCCTCGCTGCGCCGTCAGTTTTCTGAAAATAGGTATAAATAAGTAAATAATTTAAAACGTTGGAAATATGATGAAAACATAAATACGCACGCCAATTTCCAGAACGCCTCGCCTACAAATTGGGTCATAGCATCCGCGGGCAACGCGCCTGGGGCAACATTGTCGACAGCCACCACGAGCAAGGCTGGAAAGCCCTGAAACTGAAGCAAAATGTAATTTTTTTTCATTTTCTTTTCTTAGTTTTTAACTTCATATAACTATTTTTACCTTTGTTTAGCCCCACGAAGCCGTGCCGCAAACGGAATACGTGCTCGTCTCCTCGGCCTGCCAAGAAGACCTATCCCCGCAAAGTCTCGTCGTCCGCGCTCTGCTCTACGACATCGAGCAGGCCAAATTCAACTCGCACAGCCTGTTCGTCATCGTCTATCTCATCCAGATCGTTCCGCCCAATGGTAAGTAGTTTATTAAGCTTCTTAACGACCTAGAAAAGTATAAAAAAAGTCGGTTATTTGAGGAAAATCGTTCGGTTCGAGGTTTTCTGATCGTAAAAGAACAGTCTTTGTACCTTTTCGCCAGTTTTATCCTCCAATAAAAGACTATTAAAACACTTTCTATCACGCTAATAAGCCTATCCAGATTTGTAAGCAAAATCGATTCCCATCACTTTTGCCAAGAGAATTTAGTAAACCATAAAAAGCTAATTCTCGTTTTCTAGAGCCAATCAAGCACCTCACCCTGGCCGCCCTCCAAAAAGCCACCCGAATGAGGCACGAGTCGGCGCCATCAAACCCGGGAGCCATTCCGGTACCCTCATTACGCGTCGACCCGCTCGACGGCGAGATGGTGGTGGTCGCCACGCCGATGGCCGAACGTCTTCCGATACCGGCGTTCGCTGAAAAGTGGGTTTTACTCAAAAGGTTTACAAATCCAAACCCGTTTTTAGAGACGACGATACGCGCCGACGATTTTCAAGTGGTGGCGTTTTGTCTGCCACGCCGTCCATCGACATCCCATTGTTAAAGCAGAGCAATGGTAAGGAAAGAAAAAGAAAAATTTCTTCCAGACCCTTGAAAAACTTTCAAGCGTCTAGAAACCTATAGAAAACTTGTAATTATAAAGGAGAATTCAGTTTTTATAATTTTAGCTAGATTTTAGCAAATAAATTCTACGCAAAACCTTCAGAAACCGACTCCTACGTGGAGCCAAAAACGCTCATGTTCCCGCATTCACCCCGGAATCCGGGGCGCGAGGTCGACAAAAACGATGAAAACAAAGACCCGGCCGAGTTGGTCGACGATGAGGACGACGATGACAAGACGATAGAAGACGATGAGACAAAATCGGAAACCGAGCGGGTAAATAATGCTTTTTCAAACGATTTTATTTATTACGATGTATTTAAAACGAAAAATTCTAGGAAACCGAAATCAACGACAAACCCTCGAGACGCCATCGTCACCAAGAAGCCACCGGGGATATCCCCGAGGAACATTTCGCCTTCTACGTCACTTTCGTCAGTGAGAAACAGAAGGTGTTGCAGCGGGTTGGTTATTGCTCTTAAATAGCTTTACAAAGTTTTGCAATTAAGCTATAATTAATAAAATAGCACAAAAATCTATATTTTCAAAATAAACTTACGTTACGTTTAGTGCATCGAAGATTCGATGGACAAGTTCAAGGCCGTGCTCCAGGAAATCATCGAGAACACCGAGCGGCAATGCCGCGTGGAGGAGATCTGGGTTAATGTAAGTATAAATACCTGGAAAAGAAATGTTGATTTTTTTAGATCGTGCAACTCCCACCTCGTACCGGCGTCGAGCAGAAGAAGGCCATCATGAACCTGTTGAACTGGACGCGGGATTGGAAGTAAGGAACTAAAAGCGAAACCCAGACGGCCGCACCTTTCTTGTTTGGAGAAATTTCAACGGACAAAAGAAACGACCGCAAAAATTTGATTAGAAAATATTGAAAAGACGATTTTCGACAAAAATCTCAAATTTAAACATTTTCGAAGTTTTCATATTTTTTTGTAATTTTTTAGATCCTCGATTTTGCGAAACTTTGTAGTCGGTTATCACCTATAAACGACGTGTTTTAAAATAAAATCAAAAAGCCCACCTTTTCAGCCGGCTCGCCGACCACTGGAAGCCGATGGACTACGCGAAGCACGACACCTCCGTCCCCGAAGAGCTTGACTTGATGTGCTCGCTCGTCAAGAGCATCAAGTTGGCTGACCGGTTCGTTTGAACCTCACTAAAAAGTCCTCCTCCTCAGAATTCCCTACTTCAACGAACTACTGGCCGACGTGGACCACGCCCGTCTTTGTCGACATCTACTGTGCCGCTATGGACCCCAGCAATGCAAGCTGTTCATCTACAAGACGTCGTACAAGAAGGTGGGTTTCTAGAACTATTTTGACCAAAAAAATCGATTTTAAGGTCATCGTCGTCATCAACCCGAACTTTATCGACCAAATGTTCCTTGTTAAGTTTATCGCGCCGGGGCGCACGCCGGAAGTTGAGGTGGGTCGAGAAAATCATCTGAATAACCAAAAAAGTTTTTTGCACTGTCTTTACTATTCGTACACATAAAAACTGCAAGAATGAATTTTCATTAAAAATAACACTTTCGATTTTTGGTTCAAAATTTTTAATTTTTAATATTTTTCTGCGTTTTCCAAATCGTCTTCAACTTACAATTTCGCTAAATTTTACTAAAAAGACTTGTAATATAGCTATATATTAGGGCTTTATTTAATGGGACTTATAGGAAAAATGGTTCGCCCTTTAGAAACGCAACCCTAATGGCAGACAAGTTGAAAGCTTAAATAAAATAAAAATATCCAGGTCCTCTTCAAAGAAGTCCGAACCGACAATCGCAGTACGCTCAACTGCAACTACGTGGATCGGGCTGTAGATGAGATTCTGCACGTGTGCATGACGTTCATCTGGAGCGAGAAGGCGCAGTCGACGAGCGGCCCGGCGACGGTGTGGAATCGAATGCGTAGCGGGTTGAACATGTCGCATTTCTTTGACAGCGACTAAATAGCTTTTAAGTTAATTTCCTCAATTTTATGGTATATTAATCAATCCAACTGCTATTATCCTACCTCTCAATAGATGCCCAAGTCAGCTTCCAATGTCTAAACTGTAATGCCTTTGTCAAATCGACGGGTTCGAATACTGTTATTCATTCTAACTTTTAATCTACACTCGCCAAGCAAAACCTGTGACACATTGCCTTCCAAATTATATGGGTAAATTGTGATGCAATAAATGTTTCTGAAAACAATTTGTCGTCTGAAAGCATGCAATGCATTTGCACCGTCAAAGAAAGATCAACGTTTATTCAAGGAAATTGATGAGATAACAAGACCCGGTATCGTCATCTCTCAAAAAAACTATACAACCGGAATCGTATCAAAATCAACAAGGTAGGGAGCGACTGCTGCAAGGTCGCTGAGACCATTTTTCAGGGGCAAACAACGGGTTGTCGAAAGTATGATAAGTTAAATGGAGGGGATGGCGGATATTTCGAAAAGAATGGGCGTAAAATAAATACGTACGAATCCGGGTACAGGCCTGTTGCATGAAGCTATTGAGGTGGCGGTGGGGGAATGGGCGGACGGGCTGAAGGCGGCGGGGGCGGCGGAATTGGAGTGTTCGACTGCGGTGGCGGGGGAGGCGGAAACCGTCCCGGAGGTCCACCTAAAGAAAGACAGGTTATTTCTGACAAGTCAAGCCTCAACCCTAGCGCGTAAAAACGAACCCATCGTGTTTGGCATCGCTGTGTAGCCGAATCCACCGGGCGGCGGTGGCGGCATCCTTGGCGGTCCTGGCGGCATCGGGGGCATCGGTGGCATTCCCATTGGCATACCTGAAATGGATTTTCCTGAGAACGCCGAACCGCATAAGTCGAGATAGACCTTATCGAAACCTTCATTGTATATATTTTCTATTTAGAAGAATTTCATTTTCAGAAAACTTCTTTTGTCGAACTTTTTAGCTGACGAAAGTGTTATACTAACTTCCACAAATCGAGATTTCGACAAGAGAAATTTAAGAAGGTGAGATTTTGAAAGATAAACTTCGAAATCCAAATTATCGCCAAAGCTTCAACCTCTGAACTTCAAAACGAACCTCTTGAGGGCGGCGGGGGAGGCGGCGTCGGGCCGACACCAGGTGTGTGCGGTGGAGGCGGTGGCATCGCGCCCCAGCCAGGCGGCGGGGGAGGCGGAACTGAAAAGAAATCGTTGATTCGATGAATGCCTTTGAGCAAATGTGGAAACTTCGAATTATTGTACATTTTCATAAAAAGTCTTTCTAATCGTTTTTCGTTGAAATATAGCCGAATTTGATTTGAAACGTTATTAGAATGTTGACTATTACGACTAGAAATGTATAGACTTGTAGAAAAAACGGTTTCCCAAAACTTGGCGAAATCAGCAAATCCCAAAAATAACCAATACCAACCAGATCCAGGTGGAGGCGGAGGGCGCGGCGTCATTCCCGGCGTCGGGGGCATCGGAGGAGGTGGCGGCGGCATGGGCGTCGGTGTGGCGTGTGGAGGCAGGCCGAATGGTGGAAACGGTGCCGGCATGGGCGGCATAACGCCACCAAGTGGAGGGAAGGCCATCATCGGCGGCCCCGGCTTTGGTCCAGGCGCGTCGGCAAAGTTCTGAAAAAACCATTACTTCGAAATATAGCGAAAAAGTACCTGGTTCGGCCTGTCGGACACGAACATTGGCTTCTGTTGGGCCAGCATACGTTCTGCGGCGGTTCCGTGTCGCTCTCCCTTTGCGTCCTTCTTGAAAGCATAGGAAACGGTAATCGAGCTACAAATCGATTTTTGCAAAAATGAGAAATGTAAATTTACCGATTGCACAAGAATTGGCCGTTCATCGCCTCGAGAGCAGCGTCGGAAGCTTCGAAGGAAGCAAAATTGACGAACGCAAAGCCCTTGCTGTTCCCAGACTCGCCATCTCGCATAATTTTCGGAACTTGGAGGATGACACCGAAGGCGCTGAACGTGTCGAAAAGAAGCTTCTCGTCGACCTGGAAATTGCTGTTAAAACGAAATTATCATTTTCTAGGAATTTAAAATCAATGCTTACCTCAGGATCCAAATTTCCGACGAAAATGTTGGCGCCCACATCCATATTCTTTTCGTGAGCTGAAGCCTTGTTGACCTTGATCGGCTTTCCGTAGAGCTTGATCATGTTGAGGATTTTGATCGCATAGTCGGCATCCTCTTCGCCCATGAACTCGACGAAGCCAAATCTAAAAAAAGCAATCATAAAAGTAAAAAAAGTAGAGCAAAAGTACCAAAAACTAATTAATAAAGTAAAAAAAGGATAGCTTACCCCTGATGATTTCCCGTTACACGATCCTTTGGCATATTTACGGCAACAACAGGGCCAGCTTGCACGAACAGCTCCCACAATATCGAATCAGTCACCTTCTCGTCCAAGCCGCCGACGTAGACCGTCGCATCTAAATCAGAATGTTCAAAATCTCATAATTGGAGCAATCCTAGAAAAAAAATAGAAAACTTGCCTTGATTCCGCTCGACTATCGGCCCGGACGACATCCCGAACCCGTTGCAGCTGAGGTAGTGTCGATTCGGCTCGTTTACCTATAATTTTATTGTTATCGGATTCCGAACCACAGATCTGAGAACAATGAAGAGATTAGCACAGTAAAGGCGGGATGTAATTTTAGCATGACACAAAGTTGCAATTTTCCATACAGTCGTACCCCGACGAATGGACCGGATTGGAAAGCGATAAGTTATATAATACATATGCACAAAGACAGACAAAGGCATCTAGCCAGAGAGAAACGTAACCAAGAAATACACACAGAATGGGATGAAGATCATTATGTGAGATACAGACGGTGATAGTCATTGCCCCCGAAACCGGCATTGCATTTGGGGCACTTCCGACGGCGAGTCTCGTACCGGGTCTTGATGCACTTCATACAGAACACGTGGAAGCACTTGGTCAGCAGCGCATCCTTCGGATTCGTCTTGCACGACGGGCACGTCAGCTGCTCCTTCATCTCCCGGATCTCCTCGAGTAAGACGCCCTCCGGGTTCCCGTCGTGCTGCTCGTACTTTTTGGCCCGCTCCAGCCGCTTCTTCAGCACGTCCAGCTCCTCCTGCATCCGGCGCGCCGACTGGGCCGTCTTTTCGTAAGCCCCGGTCTTGGCCTGCAGCTGGTTCATGTTGGTCTTGATCTGCAGACTGAGGGTTTGCACACGCGTTTTCTCGTCGTTCAGCTTTTGGACGGCATCCATGTGCTTGGCCTGGAGCAGCAAGAATTGGCGGTGGACTTTCTCATACTGCTCATCCTTGGCCTGCAATATCTCGGGGCAAAGACCGCTGGCGCTTTTCAGGTTCTGGACTTCCTGAGCTTGCGCGGTCACCATATTGCTCAGGGCTTTCTCCTTTTCGACCAGCAAGACCTGCTCGGCCCTGAGTTTCGTCTCTACTTGGGTGGCCATGATCCGGTCGGTGAGCATTTTTAGGTTTTGCTCCTCCTTCTCTTTCATCTGCTGGATGAGCCTCATATTTTGCTCCTGCAGATCCTCGAGAGCCGCGCCCGTGTTATCCATGTCGGCCATCAAGGTCTGCTCATCAGCCTTTACGTGCTCATAGTCCGCCCTCAAACGTTCATTCTGGGCCTCCAGATCCGTCAACTTCCGCTCATAGTCCTCGGCATAGACTTTCGTCTTTTCCTCCCAGTCCTTAGAAGCAATGGCGCGGACCGTTTCGACGAGCCGCCGATTCTCCAGACGTAGCTTGAACTCGTCTTGGACGACTGCGTACATGTCACGGTCTTCGTTCTCCATCAGGAATTGACCACGCAGCTTTACCAGCGTTTGTTGTAGCCGATTGACATATTCCCGAAGCGCATCGGTATTCCCGGGGGTGGGCACGAGTTTGTCGACGTCCTCGTATAACCCGCCCTTCTTCAGATCTTTGATCTCGGATTGGACTTTTGAGATCTCGTCCCTCAGGCGGTCAGCATACTCCTGGAGCTCAGGCACACCATCCGGAATGGGCATCGCCTCCAGTGGCAACGACCCATCCTCCTCACGGTTGATCCGAATTATCACGCATTGGTCCTGGAACTTTTTCTCGGCTTCCAATTGCCGAATAGTGTCTTGCACGTTGGCCACCGCTTCCTTCCACTTCTTTTTGTACTTTGCGGACTCCTGCTTGTAGTTGTGGACTTGACGCTGCAGCGACTTTGTCAACACTTTGAGATCATGCTGGCTTGGCGTTTGCGAATCCCTCTCGGCCAGCTTTTGCTCCAAGTCCAAGCGCAGCATTTCGTAATCGTTTTGCCATCGACACAGCTCGCTTTCTTGGGCAGTGATCTGCTGGCGCAACCGAAAGATCACATTTTTGTCCTCCTTGTCCGATTCGACGACGGCCTGCGTCTGGTTCTTTTCCATAAGAACCCGCAACTCGTTGCTGATATCGAGATCGTGCAGATTTTTCTCATAGAGGCTGTAGAGGACGGAATAGTGCGCCTTTAGTTGCTGATATTCCTTGGACTCCATTATGAGGTTAGTGTTAACGACTTCGGTCAGGCTCGCCGCTTGCAGCTGCTCATTCTCGGAGGCCAGCTTGCTGACCCGTTCACTCAGCTCCTTGATCTCCTCTAGCCGATTTGCCGCCAGTTCACGTTGGATGATCAACTCAGCACTCGCGTCGTCCATGTCGCGCAAGCCTTCACCAGAGCGAGGGGTCTTGGCACTTTCTGCGAGCGGTGTAGAAGCGGACGCCGACTTGCCCTCCTTGACAACAGCAGCAAGCCGATACTCCAGTTTGGCTTCTCGCGTCCAGGCCTTCGTCAGCTCGAACTGCTTGTCCTCTAGCTGTTGCAGCAGTTCTTGGATTTTAGTGTCCTTCAGATTTGCCTCGTCTAGCAGTTTCCGCATGGCCAACGCGTTTTCCCTGGACTTTTGCTCGACAGTATCAATCTCCCGCGTCAGCTTCGCATTCATGGATGTCAAGCGCGAGAGCTCCTCCGCTCCTTTAATCGCATCAACAAGCGAAACGGCTGCGGTCTTTCGCCTTTCCTCTTCGCTTCCGAAGGCTTGTGTCAAGTTTTTCGAGAACGAATGATACTGATCGGCTAACGACTGGAACTTTTGCATCACGGTCTGCACCAAATTCAGCGTGGCATTGACTCTCCGATCGCACAGCGCGTCTGCTTCCTCACCATCCTTCTCCACGAGTTCAGACAGGAAGTAACGACTGACATCCACTTCCTCGATATCCATCTCCTCCTTCTTCGGCTCATCCTCGCCGTACCTCGCGATCAACGAACGGAGCTCGTCATCCAATTGATTCCAGCAGCGGTTCAACGTGCACATTATTGCGTCGTCACGGTCTTGTCGCAGATGGAGGGTCTCATTTTTTCGCTGTTCATCGACCAGTAACCGGTTTTTCAGCATTAGGCGTTCGGCCAGCTTGGTGAGCTGCGCACGTTCCACCACGACGTTAATATCGTTCACGCCATGTATCCCAGGCAAGTGGATGGGGTCGAAGACGACTCGCCGTTTCTTGCTTGACGTCGACCCGTCCTCCTCTCCCGGCGAATTCGGGTCCGACCCCTCGCTATCATATGAGGTCCCTTCACCGCCATTGGCGCCCCGCTTTGGCATCGGTGGAGGCTGAAAGCAATCGAAGATTAGCATGTCAAGGCGCCGTCACTGCAAGTATTAGAAAAGCCGATCAAACATATTTGCTGTCTCACAAAAATACGTAGAGAATTTATTAGTGGCCTACGCAAAAAAAGGCAAAACCCTAAGATATCACAGGACAGAAAACAATGCACTTTCAAATGGCGAAACATCAACGAAATGTGAATAGTTATCACCCGACACCCTCCAGAAAATGAGAACAATATTGCGAGACATTACAACCCAACAATAAAGGAAAAGAAAACAAATGGATGAATCTTGGTTTACAGCTCTTCTTTGACGTACTTCGACTTGAGATCCTCAATTTTCTTGATGAACTCGCTCTTCTCGGTGCATCCCTTGCAGACCTACAAAACAACAGTGTCAGAAATTAAATAAAAGGTACCTCTCCCCAGTCGTTGAGGATATTTTTCAGCTCCTTGACGCGCATCTTCTTCAGGTCAATCGTCTTCCAGTCGATGGGCTTGTCAAACTTCAGCTCGCAAATTTGGGCATCTTTCGTTTTCAGCTTCTCGCAAACCTTCGCCGGTGGCATGGACCAGGAAAGCGGCTTTGTTACCTAAATTGAAAGTTATTCCCAGGTTCTGGTTCGTTAGCGGGGGGGACATTTTTGCTAATAGCTTCTCTTATCTTACAATATACGATTTTGAGCTGTATATAAAACTCTCAATATATTTCTTTGATACTCTATCGAATAACGTTAACAGGATCTCGAAAATCACGAAAAATAGCTTATCAAAAAGTCCCCAAAAATAAACTAATATTGAAAAAACCACGACATTAACCCTCCCCCGCTAACGAACCAGGGCCAATCCCCAGCTAGAACCGCGATTAAAAAAGCCAATTGTCAAAAAAAAGCACTCACATCATTCATAATCGACGTCGCGGATTCGGGGAGGGCCCCAATGTAGAAGCAGAACTTGTTCTCCTTTTGTCTCGTTTCGGCACAATGCTCTCGTGTAATCCGCCCAATCACATCCATCTACTCGAAATGATTAATGATTCGTAAAAACACCAACGTTGCTCTTGTCAGCCTCAGGAACCTTCGTCAAGATGTCGCCCAAGACCTTCACACATACCTGAAAAGCATATTTTACTGTTTTCCAAGGTTGTGCATACCTCGCATTCATCGGCAGCCTTTGCCGCATAGGCGATGGAGATCAGGAAGAAGAGGCAGGCTAAGGGACGCACCATCCTCTTTCTGGAAAATCTATTTTCATAGAGCAATTTGGCAGCCAACAATCAGAGTTCGAAAACGGCGTTTGACCACCATGAAATAGCCGGGAAAGATGGCAAAAAGAAGTATATAGTTTTCGAAATTTCGCGATCACATAGCGCTGTTAGTAAATAGAGCCACTCATAGTCTGTTCACAAACACTTTATCACGCGAGATCTATAACCAGCAATGGGGCACCAAGTGAGATAATCGGAAATACGAAAAACATATTCAAAATGAGAGATGGACGTATACTTGCAATTGACTGAGCAGCCTTATGCTGACCAGGCAATGGAACGGGGCTTATCCAGACAGAGCAGATGGAGGGGATGGTGGGTGGGCCGCGTTTTAGCTAGCCACGGGTGGAGGGGGCAATTGGGTCGAGGCCTGCTGCGGGTCACCGGAAGGAGCCGGGGCGGTTTCTTCCTTCGGCGTGTACTTCTTTGCTAGCCCCTCGACATAGGAAGGCTCGGGGGAGAATTCGAGGAACCTATACGAGTTATCCGGCTGTAATTGTAGCTTACTTTTCGAAAAAGAGATAGTCGTCTCCGTATTCAAGATATTCGGCGCGGGTCAGAAAACCTCCGGGTAGTGCGTCTTGCCGGGCCTAAACGATCAGATGTGTGTACGGCCATAAAGAGCTAAAACAATTTCAGTTAACAAGGAGCAGTTTTCGATGCGTCCGGAGTTTTGCTATGTAGGGCCAAAAAAGAAAAAATAGATCCCTTCCGAGCAAATTTTCTCCAAGCCCGTAACTTTTTAAAAGATGAGATCGGCTCATAATTTCAAGCTCTACCGCAAAATTACAACATCACCCAAAAACACCCCATGGTAAGTTCAAAATATAAGCTTACGAGCGAGGCTCCTGCTTCCCAAGCCGCGGTTATCGGGTTCTCTGGTCGTTCAACGACCACTTCATCAACATAGGTTGGCAGTAACGAGCGCAGTTCTGCAGTTCTAAAAAGATCGTGATGATAACCAAGTGTTCATTACAATCGCGCAGTAAAATTCGGGAACAACGTCGAGCCGCCGACGACGTGACATCGGAAACGGTACGGCTCATCGGAAACGATCGGCTTTTTCTTGCTTTGAAGCATAGCCGACATCAGCTTTGTCGCTGCTTGGTTAAACGTCGGCTGCATACGATCTATTGAAGCCGAAATACCATCAGCCAATCCGAGTTGATTGATACCGATGTAATTTGGCCTATGAAAAATGTATCATCAATACAAAAAAGAACCTGAACAGAGCTTCTGGCAGCGAAAATCGTTCAGCGTTCAGGTTGATGCGTTGTGGTTCAGGGCCCCTGGAAAATCATTCGTAAAGATGCAATACCAAAAGGTTCACCTCGTCTGCATACGCAGCACGCCTCGTTTCAATTCTTGAAAATCCGGTAACACGTATTCGCGGCGAATCGTATTTCCGCTATTTTTCAGCCTAAATCAAAACACTGGAATACCTTAAAAATCGTTACTTTGCCAAGCGCATATCCGCGTTATAGTCGAGACTAACAAAACACGAATCCTCCTTGCATTCATTAATGACATAAGTGTCTTCTCGCATCTATAAATAAGATAATAACGGTAAAAGCTGGCAACTCACATCCAAATCCCGGTATGAAATCCATTCTTTGAGCTGGTTCGTCAAAAGTTTGCCGCCAATGTCAAGCCTGAAAATTTTCGAATTCAGCAGGAACCCAACCTCAAAATTCCACTTCGCAAAAGGTCCCGTTGATGTAGCGGAACAAGATGAGTGGCAGAATGCCCGCAGTCGAGGATGAAGTTAGGAGGATCAGGCAATGATCTCGCGATCCACCGAGCAGCTGCAACAACGTTAGACAAAAAAATCGGTAGTTACCGGAACTTTTGTGGACCGCTGCGAAGCCGAAATGTTCGAACAGAAGCTCGCCACTATAATCCTTGAACGCAGGGACGAGGTAGAGCGGGTCAGTCAAAGCTATTCTTGTCTCGGCGGGATCGATCGCACGAAACGTATGCTCCCAGATACGCCGCTGTACATCCCAGTTAACTACAACAGATAACGTTTTAATAAAGACATTATACCCAGATATCCTTTGTCCAGCGGAACAGAAAAAAACAACGCAGATCGATCCTCTAGTTCTTCTAATTCGTCGGCTACATAAACCCGTTTCCGCTCCGACCGCGATTTGAAAATGGCATTTGGGACGATTCTAAGCGACTGTTCGACTCAATCCAAGCAATTTACCGGCAATCCTCATCAGCAAACCCATATTTGATAGAATGACCACCGTTGTCTACAACTAGCGTTCGCATTCAGCTGAAACTCTGTAAGTACGCCCCCAGCTTTTCTGTACGATAGATCACTGCGATGCATTTATCGTTAGCTTGCAAATAACACAAGATGTGCTTGAAAATTTATTTTAAAGGTGAAGATGGCCATAAAGCAAGGATAAAAATGGACCGGGAATTCTCCAAATTATTGTTTCACTTAAAAAGATATCATTCGGGCAACAAGTTTAGGCATCTTCATTCGTCTCTTCTTCTCCAGCTGCGTCAGAAGTCCACAACGTCAGATTGTCACGGAGGAGCTGCATGATCAAGGTCGAGTCCTTGTACGAGTCTTCGTTGAGGGTGTCAAGCTCGGCAATGGCCTCATCGAAGGCCTGCTTGGCGAGCTGGCAGGCGCGGTCTGGGGCATTCAGGATCTCGTAGAAGAAGACCGAGAAGTTCAGGGCAAGTCCCAGCCGGATCGGATGCGTGGGCTGCATCTTGTCCTTGGCAATGTCGAGGGCCTCCTGGTAGGCGTTCTGCGACTTGTCGACAACGGCGGAGCGGGCCTCTCCTTGGGCAACTTCGGCGAGGTATCGGTAGTAATCTCCCTTCATCTTGAGGTAGAAGACCTTCGATTCTGGTGATGAGGCCTTGGCGACAAGGTGCTTGTCGAGGAGGTTGAGGACTGTGGTGCAGATATCGCTCAGCTCCTTCTCGATGGTCTCGCGGTAAGCTTTCGCCAACTGAGAGCGTTTCTCGGAATGGTCGGCATTCTTCTGTTCGATGGAGGAAATCACTCGCCACGAAGAACGGCGGGCTCCGACGACGTTCTTGTAGGCAACAGACAGAAGATTCCGCTCCTCGTTGGACAGTTCGTCTCCCTGCTCGGTGACCTTCTGCATAGCATCGGCCATATCATCGTAACGCTCGGCCTGTTCGGCCAATTTAGCCTTCTGCACAAGCTCGTCACGGGACATCTAAAACTAAGTTAGATCAAGTTGAATGGGCTTCCGGTTCCAGAAATGGGTATGGCATTGAACCAAAAATAAAATTCAGAGCAAAATTTGTTAGACGCAATGTTTATTTCATGTATGACACGTTAAGACAATAACTTATAGCCACAAAATGTTTAAATTAATATTCTTCTTGTCCATCTCCACCTTCGTTCGAGTCAACGGCGACCTCTTCGTAATCCTTCTCCAGGGCAGCCAGATCTTCACGTGCTTCGCTGAACTCGCCCTCCTCCATGCCCTCGCCGACATACCTGAAATGAGCGATTTAAGAGGGACGGCAACGAATTCTTACCAGTGCACGAAGGCGCGCTTCGCGTACATCAAGTCGAACTTGTGGTCAAGGCGGGCCCAAGCCTCGGCGATGGCGGTAGTGTTGGACAGCATGCAGACGGCGCGTGGGACCTTGGCGATGTCGCCGCCGGGAACAACGGTCGGTGGTTGGTAGTTGATGCCAACCTATAGGAGAGTTCGAGTAACGATCATAATAAGTACCTTGAAGCCGGTAGGGCACCAGTCGACGAACTGGATCGTGCGCTTGGTCTTGATCGACGCGATCGAGGCATTGACGTCCTTGGGCACGACATCTCCGCGGTACAGGAGGCAGACGGCCATGTACTTTCCGTGGCGAGGATCGCACTTGACCATCTGGTTGGCAGGCTCGAAGCACATGTTCGTGATGTCTTGAACCGAGAGAGCCTCGTGGTAGGCCTACAAAATAAGTTCAATTTTGGAAAAAGCCAAACTACCTTCTCGGCGGAGATGAGCGGCGAATAGGTGGCCAGAGGGAAGTGAATACGGGGGTAAGGCACGAGATTGGTTTGGAACTCCGTGAGATCAACGTTCAGGGCGCCATCGAAGCGCAGGGAAGCCGTAATGGAGGAGACAACCTAAACTAAAATTTCTATCAAGTAAAACCACGGTACCTGAGAGATAATTCGGTTGAGGTTGGTGTAGCTTGGGCGCTCAACGTCCAGGTTACGCCTGCAGATGTCGTAGATGGCCTCGTTATCGACCATGAAGGCGCAATCGGAATGCTCGAGGGTTGTGTGCGTCGTCAGAATGCTGTTGTAGGGCTCAACAACGGCAGTCGAGACTTGGGGTGCGGGGTAGATCGAGAATTCGAGTTTGCTTTTCTTTCCATAGTCAACAGACAATCGTTCCATAAGAAGGGAAGTGAAGCCGGATCCGGTTCCTAAGCAAATAATTAAAACTTATGCGCCAAAATTTACCTCCTCCGAAGGAGTGGAAGATAAGGAAGCCCTGGAGTCCAGTGCAGTTATCGGCGAGCCGGCGAACGCGATCCATCACCAGGTCGATGATCTCCTTGCCAATGGTGTAGTGTCCACGGGCATAGTTGTTGGCGGCGTCTTCCTTGCCGGTGATCATCTGCTCGGGGTGGAAGAGCTGCTTGTAGGTGCCCGTTCGGATCTCGTCAACGACGGTGGGCTCCAGATCGACCATGATGGCCCGGGGGACGTAGCGTCCAGTACCGGTCTCGCTGAAGAAGGTCGTGAAGGAGTCGTCAGACTTCTGGTCGGACGGCATCTTGCCATCGGGCTAAAAAAAGAAATTAGTAAAGGCAACAAGTTTGTAAAAAGAAAACAAACGGTTCTCAAATTTTACCTGAATGCCGTGCTCCAGACAGTAGAGCTCCCAGCAGGCATTTCCGATCTGGACTCCGGCCTGACCGACGTGGATGGAGATGACTTCACGCATTTTCTGGAAAAGTAAAAGTAATAAAATATGTAGGAGAAACAAAGATACACCGGTAAAATGGAATCGAGAGAAATTGAGGAGAAATGCGGAAAATTCGAATCGAAAACGCTCTCGAGAAAAGTCGACAGGGCGCGCGTTACGGTGGGAGGGTCACTGGATAAAATAGCGTAAGGTGGAGCGCCGCGTACACACGTTTCCAATTCCAAAAAATCGCTAATTTTGGGACCGAATTTTGCTCATGCTCCGCAAATAAAACGAATTTTTTGAGCAACTAGAAATACTGACTAAATTTTCGGGGGTTTTTTTCTGAAAAATCTGAAACTGAATTTTCGGATTCTGAAAAATTAGGTAATTTTTGGACGCTATAACGCGAGGGAGAGCTGCTAGAGCGGGAAGGATTTGATTTGCATCATCTGGGCAACTTAAGCGGGCGGGTAAATCGGGTTTTCAAATTAAAAAAAAAGGGAATTTTTCGAGCTGATGATGCAGGGCCGAGCCGTTACAGCACAGAATTTGATAAGTGCAACAATAGGGGGACTTTTGGGGGTTGGTACTCGGGTCAAATATGCATGGGCGGGGGGGGGGGGGTTGAGATGCTGCTGGGTGGGGCCACACCATGACGGCCGCCGGGGGCCCTTCGCCCCGCATTCGTACCGGCCTTTTTTGGCGCCCATGGGCTGCGTGGCGGCTCGGGGTGCGTTTTGGCGCCACAGGGCCGGCGGGCTGCCACGCCCGATCGATACGCGGGACTATTTGGGGGCTAAGTCGGGGTGGAGGGGACGGGGAGGGGAGCGCGTTCGAGCAGAAAGGCGAGTGAAGGCCGGCCAGCCCCCGCTAGGTCGGGGTATCAGGGGTAGAGGAGGCAGAGGGCAGGGGTAGAGGAGGCAGAGGGAGAGCGGTCCGGGTGAGAGGCAGCAGCATCCCCGCTCCCCTGGTTGGGCCGACCCCTAGGAGATGAGGGGGAGAGCCTTTGGGGGGTGGTTGTGAAATAGGCCCGGTCCCTCCCGCAGAAGGAATGAGGAGCGGGGGGCCCGGTCGGTCGCGCGCGCGCGGGCTGCCTTTTGAATGCCCGCCGAAAGGAGGGGGGAGGACGAGGGGATGAGGTGCGCGGGCCAATTTGAAAGTTTGTGAGAAGCGGCAGCGCACCAGCGAGCCCTGTGGATGAAAACAACGGCAGATGGGCCCGGGGTCAAGGGATCGGAACACTAATATCGGGATGGGGATTCGTAAACACGGGGTTGGAAAGTGGCGGGAAGTTTTTCTGGATGGTATCCTGGTGGCGGGGGTTTGAAAGTGGATGTGATGAAAGTGCGAATTGGGTCAGCGAGGAAAAAGGAGAAGGTCAGAGGTTTGCAGATCGATACGGAAGTTGGCAATGTAGATATCGGAAAGCGTTGGTGTTTTGAAGGATCTTTACAAAGGCTAGTGACTATTTTTGTAGCGCAGGTGGGGGTGGGGATCAAAAATAGCACCATTTTGCAAGATTAGTACGGATTTCGGGGTTGGGAATGTTGATATTGCTATCGGAAAAGATTGGTTTTTTGAATGCTTTTAACCGACTGCAAGCCTAAGTTTGGAACTAACACAAGACGATTCCAGTGATTGAAATTTAAGATTTTGCTTCGGTTTGTTTCTAGGGTGCCTATAGAGCGGTACCTGCGTTAGGGGACCTTTCTACTAAATTTTAGATTTCGAACGCTTAAAAAACATCTATTGACCGTGAGGCGCCACTTTTAGTTTATCGATTCCAGCAAGACTTACATATCACCGATTACGGAAGGGCCATAGATGCGCGTGTGGCGGGTATAAATAATTGGCGCGCGAGTGGCTGCAGCGGGTAACCGAAGGAGGGGGCCCAAAGCACAATTGTTCACGAAAAATAACTGCCCTCTCCGGGCGGGGCTAAATGCATAATTCAGACCGGGGGTTTGGTGGGTTGCCCGGGGGACCGGGGCGAATGAGCCGGGGCTGCATGGAGGGAGGCATCGAGCGAGGGGCGAGGTAGAGAGCGATAGAAGTGGAGACGTAGAGATGGAGAGACAGAGCTCGGGTGACCGCTGATGAGAATGGGAGGCCGGGGGTTGAGTCAGAGCCGCCGGGGGCACATCCGAGACAATTTCGAAAGCCCCAAAATGGGGGGAGCAGCCGAGGGCCGGGGTAGCCGGCGTTTTTGGCTACCACGGAGCCGCGTGACAAAACAACGCCCAAATTTGAGCGTGTATGTGTGTCTGCAGCGCGCGCGTTGTGTGTTTTTCGGGCACCGTGGTGCAGGACGGTTTTTGGATGTTGGCAAATGGGGGTTGCGAAAGAGAAACGCGAGGACTGGGGCTGATTTGGAGGATTAAAAAGGCCAAAGCGCGATTGAGGACTGCCATTGAGGCCAGGTGTGACCTGACGGCTTGGAACGTCGGCAGACGCCGTGCGAGTCATTCCCTTATCGGGGACCGCCTCCTTTTTTCTCCGTTTCTCGCCTAATAAAACGGGTGTGTGTCAGCGTTTGCCCCAGTTGCCGAAAATGTGCAAGGTTTTTTTGGCCCGCGCGCGGGCTTTTGAATCGATGTTGCGAAAATTAAGTAATTTAGCGATTTTTCGGGGTTTTTGACGGCGAATAGAAACAGTAAAGACATAGGGTATCGATCTACAAGACGATGAAATGGCTAGTAAGTAAGCAAATCGAGCCTGGTTTTATTTTTTGACCGGAAGTCGCTAAATTCGAAGTTCGACCCAGCCCACGGTCGCCAGATTTTTCGGTATTTACGATGTTTCCCGGTTTTTTTTTTGATGAAATCCAACCGAGTTTTAGAAATACACTTGAAACAAGCTATAATCAGAACCTAAATGTCTTACGTATGGCAAAGCTAGACATCGAGAACTTGAAAATATTGTTGAAATTTAATAACCCCACTCGCTGGTAAGTATCATCCAACCTCATTACTAGCGGTTAGTTGCAACAAATGCGTTGCGTGAGTGAGTACAAGTGCAGGTGTGGGTTAAGCGGAGTGTGTGTTTGTCTGTCTGTGTGCGGTTTGTCTGTCCACGCGTCCACTGTGCGGGCTCTCGATTTGTGTGTACAGTGTGCTACATGGGGTGAGGCTTTAGAAGAGGCGCCGCCACCGCCGCACACACATCAACAAAGCTTTATTCGCTTGAGGGCATTTCGGCCCGGGGGTGCGTGTTATAAAGGCTGGCTGCTCATCATTACGCCCGATTGGTCGGCGGATTAGTGGGCTGCGGTTGGGATCGTTGTTGCTGGAGGGCTTGTAGCTCTTTCTCGATGGCTTCGGCTGGGTTTCGGAGGGTTGGGAATTTGACCTGGAGATGCGGTTGTTAGATTTCGTCCCTTCAAGGCGGCGCGCGTTGCGTATCGTGAGTTTGGGAAAAGTACGTTTCCGGCTCGCGACACGCAACGTACGGGTGCGCGTTGCGTGTTTTCTGCGTTACCTTGTCCCTATTCAGCCGATCCCTCCGCTTCGAGGGATCCTCGGTGGTCACAAAGTACGTCATCTGGAGCCCTTTTCCCTAGAAAATTTTTCTGTAATGATGTTTTTCTTAAAAACGGAACCTTCATCTCCACGAGTCCGCGATTCTCAATGGTATACCCGCCGAGCTGCTCGAGCACGTCTTTCGATGACTGCGAGCAGTTGATGCGAAGCGCTGAAAATAGAGCCAATTTTTCCCGTACCTGCCAAGCCAGTAATGGTCCAAAAACCCACGGATTCCGTTACTTTCCATCCGGGACGCGGTGTTTACGGTATCCCCGAAGAGGCAGTAGCGCGGCATTTTTAGGCCGACAACCTATAAATATTGTAAATATAAATTGAGCATTCAGATGAAATGAATGTTGAAGAACCAACCCCAGCCACGCAGGGTCCCGAATGGATTCCGATTCGTAGGTTCACTTTCTCACCGGGGCGATGTCGAATTTCGAAGGTCTAAATTAGGGTCGGGTGCTAGATTTGATTGGGAAATAGCCAAAATGACGATAGAGAAAATGCCGACAAGCCAAGAGGTCGACAGGCCAAAATGCCGACAGCCAAATTTCAGACAGCCATAATACCGACACCCAAGCGCCAGGAATTGAAGGTTTTCTGCCTTAATTTGGATATATGCGTATCGGCATTTTGTCGATTTCGAGTCGTATCCTCTTTTTGATCGTATATACCTTGACGGCCCTGAGCAGCGCCAGCGCCATGGACGCCACTTCTCCAGCGTGATGCTGACCATTCGGGATCGGGAGACCGGAGGCGACCATGTAGGCATCGGCGATGGTTTCGACCTGGGGTTAAAGGTACACTAAAATCTCGTTCAAAAAGTACGGTCGTGGTAGGAAATTTGGGCTCTCTGCCGCAGCGGACCCAGCCCCTTCTTATCGCCTCTCCCCTTCCCCCCTTCCCGTCTCTCCCTTGGCCTAGTGGTCCAAGGCGCTGCCCCGAGCTGGCAGTCATGGTTCGGTTTTGCTCCGCGGCGAGCGCCTACCGTAACCCTGTTTGCTATCCTGCGGACGGTTACCGGCCGGTAACCAAACCAACGAGACTTTAGTGTACCTTTAAGGGGGCGTTAAAGGGAATGGTAAGTAGGCTTAGAATTAGGCTTTGCCTAGAACAAGGCTTGGGCTTAGGCTTAGAATTATGCTTATGCTCAGGCTTAGGCTTAGGCATCGAGGCTAGGGTCTTAAAGACCGTCAGAACGATGAAATATCGTTGAGAGCAAGAAATTTGCGCACCGGGCGGGGGTCGAACCCGCGATGGTTCGCTCCACAGTCCGACGCGCTAGCCACTATACCACAGGGCAAAGCGAGGAAGGGAGTCAGAGGCGCCCCAAACCCCAGAGGGTCTTTGCCCAATACGGGACACCACTAATGACGACCCTCTCTGCGCGTTCTTGGGGGCAGCACCCTTGGGGTGACAGTGCGCGTTCCATCGTTCTGGTAGTCTTTAAGATCTTAAAAGTCATACCTTGTAAACATCAAATCGCTCGATGACCTGATCGAAGCAAGTGTAGAGGTCGTTGAGGAATTGGACAATCTAGAATTATTTTTTAAAGATTTTCCAACTCTTAAAATTCTCCGAATACTCAATGATCTCTCTGCGAGGCCGCCCTACCTCTATCGGCTTAGACGCGGCCGACAAGTCCGTAAATCCAACGCAATCCGAGAAGTAGACCGTCACAGACGAGAAAGATTCGGCCTGCACGGCTGTCCCGTTTTTAAGATTGTCAGCGACAACGCTATGGAATAAAAATTCATAAAATACAAATCCAGAATTACGGTGGTAACATCATCCTCAACAGTTGTTCCGTCTTTTTCTTCTCGGCGGCCAGCTCGGCGTTCCGTTCGTTGATGTCTTTTTCCTAAAAGTTGCGCATAGCACTTGGGTTACGGTAGCTTACCAGCTTGGCCGTGTACTTTTCGATCATCTCCACCATCGAGTCCATGATGCTCTTTTTCCTGGAAATATTTATTTTAGGGTATAAGGCAAGCATCAGCCAAGCGAAGCCAAGGCTAAGTCTAAGCCAAGCCTAAGCCAAGCCTAAGCCAAGCCGAGGCTAAGCCTAAGTTAAGCCTAACAAGGGAAGGGCACACGCACAGGTTGGAATTTCGTCAAACGCTCGCGGCTACCCCCGGGTAATCGACTATGGAGAACACGATGCCGCTGTCCGATTTTCCTGCCGAGGCTTGTGGACAGAGATACAGCACTTCCGGAAAATTATGATTTACATGCGAAAAATTAGAATCCGGGGAAGGTTTATTAGGCTCTCCCATCAGTATGGGATCACCGGTTAAATGGCCGATTGGTAAGCAACTCGCTTGATAGGATACTGACGCGGGTACGGATCCGCTCGTGACATACCACATGTCATACCTCTAGCATTCAAAGAAAAACTTTTTCGAAAACTTTTGTTTTTCCAATCATTCGAGCATCCATCGGCTGTCAAACTATCAAAAAATTATGGGGAAAATTTTTGCCCTAGCCAAGCGTGACGCTCTAGTTTGGTTTACAACACCTTATCCGGTTTAAGGGCCCTGGTCAAGTTACCATCCTAATTAATCACATCCTAATTAATCACATGAAAATCACATTCGGCATGTAAATCATAATTTTCCGGAAGTGCTGTATCTCTGTCCACAAGCCTCGGCAGGAAAATCGGACAGCGGCATCGTGTTCTCCATAGTCGATTACCCGGGGGTAGCCGCGAGCGTTTGACGAAATTCCAACCTGTGCGTGTGCCCTTCCCTTGTAAGGGAAGCCTAAGCTAAGGCTAACTAAGCCTAAGCCAAGCCAAGCTAAGTCAAGCCAAACCAAGCTGAGCCAAGCCAAGGCAAGTTAAGCCAAGCCAAGCCAAGCCAAGCCAAGACAAGCCAACCCAAGCCAAACCAAGCTCCAAGTAGCAGCTGGTAAGCCAATCCCAGGTCTCACATTTCTTTTTTACACGTCATTTTCGGCTTCCTAAACCTCGTTGGGATTTTTGTACAGGTTTTTCCAGGTCACATTTCCAAAGTTTGTAGTTCAGCAACTTTTTTCGAGTCCAGATTGCATGTTCTCCCCTGCCACATTTCTTTGAAGATGCTGAAATTGGTCTCCACCCTGCCGTTATCACCCCCTCCCCCTCGACTAAATGACCCATTTGGACCACCGGGGCTGATGAAGCAAGGGTGATGCTGACCCCCCTCCAGATTTTCATACACCCGCCCGGCTAGTTGGCGGCCACCACCCGGCCAGTGATGGGCCGGCTTCTGAGGCTTCTGACTCTGGTCTCGATTTTATTCACCGGGATTCTCGCTGAGAGCTTGGTTCTTCAGAATGCTAACGGGAAGCATATCGATGTTTATGGTGGGTGGTGGCTTGGCTCGGGCTTAGGCTTAAGCATAAGTTAGGCTTAGGCCTCGGCTCAGGCTTAGCCTAGGCTAGGCTTAGCGTTAGCTTAGGCTGTGTTTGGGCTTACTTGATTAGGCTTGTTAGGCTTGCGAGACATCGATGCTCAAAAATTGAGCTTAAAACCGGACTTTATTCCATTATGACCTCATTTTCGGACGTTTTTTCAGGTTTCTAAGCTTGGACCTTGAAAAACTCGGTTTAAAATTAGCCTTTAAGCATTTTTAGCGCTATTTTTTGTAAGGTATCCTTTCCAGTGTGGACTTGCACTAACGGTACAGTTCGTGAGGTGATCATCGCCGCCCTAGAGGCCCATGTCGACGTCGACTCGCTGTATCGAACGATTTGGGGCGAACTGGGAACCCGGGACCCTACAAGGTAAGCTTTTCAAATCTGCCCCCTTTTCCGTCTTCCCGGAAAACTGGAATCTTAACTAAGCTTGTAGGTCAAATTTCCGTCATGCCCGAAACACTTTTTTTACTGTTGGCTTTTCAGCCAATTCGTCGTCTACATCCAAAAATACCTGCGCATCACGGCCAATCTGCTGCCCGGCGCTACTGGGGGCGGCACCCGGGATTTGTGTCTAGTCCAGGTTCGTTTTGTTTCTCTAGTTTTTTAGGGGCATCTCAAAACCAAGATGGCGGGCCCATTTCCAGGCAACCAAGCAGAATATCGCCGTCATCGTTGCCCGGGTGAAGGCGCCGGATAAATGATGGGCGAGAGGAAGGAGAGACACTGAGAGAGGCGAGGGAGAGGGAGAGATCGTTAATTGGATGCCAACGGATGGATGTGCCACATCGGTCCCAGCAAAAAACAGGGATTCCCTCCCCCGAAAACGGCTCCAGAGTTATGCAAATAAGTGATTGTTAGGGATCGGCGAATAAATTGGGGATTTGGAATGTTAGAATATGGCTCTTATGTAATTTCTCTCTCCCACCCTCTCTCTCTCTCTCGCTCTCTCTCTCTCTTTCACTCTCTCATTTTCTCTCGTTCTCGCTCTCTATTGCACTCTCTGGAACGACATCTCTAATTCTATAGCTCTCTTCTTCCTCTCGCATGCTCCCTCTTGCTCTCTCTGGCTTTCTCTCTCTCCCTCTCTCTCTGGGTTGATCTCTCTCTCTCGCTCTCTCTCTGTCTATCTGTCTCTCTCTTTCTTTCTTTCTTTCTTTCTTTCTTTCTCTCTTTCTGTCTGTCTCTCTCTCCCAACTAATTTTAAAAACACAATTTTTCACCATTTTAAAGGTACCTTGAAGTCACGCCTCCATACAGCGTATTTACACATTAATGAAACCCACATCCCAGAAGTCAACACCCTCAGCTTCTTCTTGTATTGCGTAGCCGTCGGGCGGGAGAGCGGATCCTCCGCCCAACCGGCGCTCACCATCTCGCGCACCATTTGTGGAGCTTCCTGAAAAGGGCAACTAGCGGGGATTCTTGAGGAATGGGACACTGCAGTGATTCTTCCGGAAACGAAAAACAACTTGTTATTAAGACACACCTTAATCGTGGCCATGTCCGGGCGGAACGGCTTCTTGTCCCCGCCATTATCGTGATTTTTCAGCCGGGATACGATGTCTAAAATAATGTACAATTGGGTGGGCTTTTGACGTGACGCGCCCGCGACGCGTCGTCTGTACCTGACGAAGACAGCGGCTCGTCGCCCCAAGGCCCGGCACGTCCGAAGATCTCGTAGAGGATGATGGCCAACGAGTAGATGTCGGCCTAAAACTGTGCGGAATTGAGAGTTTGGGGGGGTTGGCGGTTGCGCTGTTGAACTCTCTCTATCTCGCTCTTTCGCTCTCTCTGTCTCTCTGTCTCTCTCTCTGCCTCTATCTTTTCACTCTCTGGCTCGATATCTCTCATTCTTCGCTCTCCCCCCTCTCTCTTCTCTCTCGCTCTCTCTCTCTCTCTCTCTCTCTCTCTCTCTCTCTCTTTCAACCGCCAGCTGATCATCCACACCTTGGCCAACAACAGCGAGGAGTACTGCGATAAGTTGGTGCTCCAGCGCAGTAGTTCGGGGGCAGTCCAGAGTTGGCCTGACGAGATGGTATCCTGTCAGAATTTTCTCGAAAACCTACTTTGATCCCAGGCTTCATTATCTTCTTCATTGTCCCGAAGCTGGCGAAGCCCAAACGAAGACAGTTTCACCATCCAGCGAGAGTCTGAAAATAGACTAGGCTTAATTTTAGGCTTCGGCTTAGGCTTAGGCTTAGCTAACGATTTGGCTTCGGCTTAAGCGTAGCTTAGACTTAGGCTTACTCTTAGCCTAGCTCAAGCTTATGCTTAGCTTAGGCTTAGGCTTAGGCATAGGCGTACTTTAGGCTAAGGCTTAGGCTTAGATTAGGCTTAGGCTTAGGCTTGGCTTAGGCTTTGGTTAGGCACTGGCTTCGCTTAGGCTCAGCTTAGGTTTACTCACCAATCAAGCAATTCGTCGACTTCAGCCTCCCGTGGCACCCCAACGCCGAGCTGTGCAAGAATTCGAGACCCTAGACAATATAAACTTGGCTACGGCAATTTCCGATTACCGTCACGATATCCTTGCTCATCTGGTAGAAGAAGGCCGGCTCAAGCTGTAGCTGATCACTGTCCAGGATTTCCTGAAATGTTAGATGTTTACAGAAATTTCTGCTCGTGGCTTTGGTTCCTCAAAGAATCTCTGCTAGCTCCCCCACCTTCAAAGAGCCCCTGTTGGCCATCTCGGTGACGATGAACACGTTCGGCGTGTGCAACATCAACCCTTTCATCGCCAGCAGATTCTCGTGGGAGCATTCTTGGATCTTAACACAAATAAATGTTTATCTTAAAATATATCAAGCTAAGCAAATTCTTAGGCAACTTTTAGCCTTCCACCTGAATGATCTCCTTCCGAATCTCCCTGGTCAGCTCGACGTCATCCTTCCACACCCTTTTCAGCCCGACCAGCGACCCTTCGTGCATTCCCACCGCGAAACCGTCAATCTGAATGGGGGTTGGAAAAGGATCTCTGCTAGCTTGCCTATCCAATCCTCGGAGAATCCCTGCTACTCGACCCTTTCTTTCCGCAAAAACGCTGCTAGCTTGTCAATAGTTTCCGAAAGGATCTCTGCTGCTATTCCCCTTGATTTTTCCAAGTATATTTGCTATGGGGTCTATCCGAGTTCCTCAAAGAATCTTTGCTAGTTTGCCTTCTAGTTCCTCAAATGAACTCTGCTAGTCAGTAGGACGATAGCAAAGAATCACTGCTAGCTTGCTTTCAATTCCGCAAAGAATCGCTGCTTGCCTATCCACAATGTTCTCAAAGAACCCATGCTAGTGCCCTTTAATACCAAAATTTCGGTCGTTTTGACCCCAAATTTCTCAAAAAAATCTCAGCTAGGTGGCTTCCAATTCCTCCAAGGATCTCTGCAAGATTGCCTCCAGTTTCCTTCGTACTTCTACTTACATTGCTCCACCTCGCATCCAGCGGATCCTCATGTTCCTTGATTGGTCCGGCATCCAAAATCTCGCCAAAAACATCCATCGGAGCGGGTCCCACCACGCTGCCCTGTTTTTCAAGTTTTGCTCCGCTCTATGATTTGTTCTACCGGATGCGACATTTTAGAATCCCGACGGAATCCTCCTTGCCCTCCCGGGCCTCCGGAACCATATTCACCGATCAGGAAGTGGCTGCCCTTCGCGTCGTGCTGAAGGGTTAAAGGGATTGCGAAGTGATAGTGGAATGTAGATGCTCAAAATGCCGACAATTTTGACGAGTTAGAATTCCGACGACCAAAATTTGAAAAGCGGAAAACCCGACAACCAAAACGCCGATAACCTAATGCAGAGATTAAAAATGCCGACATCAAAAATGCAAAATGCCGACAGTCTGAATGCCGACATCCGAAATGCCGCCACGAAACGTTTGAAATCGATTTCTTCCGGCATGAAATCGCCTTCTGGCTGTCGGCGTTTTGGCTTGTCGGCGTTTTCACTTGTCGGCATTTTGAATTTCGGCTTGCCGGCGTTCTAACACTTCGATATTTTTGTTTGTCGGCATTTTTCTATTTGTCGGCATTAACTTCGCTATTTTAGCACGCGTACTCACGCAGAAAATCGACAATAAATCAATGCATACCCCGACAAACGAATCCTTAAAATCGTGAATCGAGCGCAAGCTACGAGTGGAAAGGATGTTGACGTGGCGCTTCAGGATGATGTCCTTCCGGTCGATGAGGAAGGCCAGGGAGTGGAGACGGCGCTCGAAACGGTAGCGGCTAAAAGGAGACAAGTCGAAAATGCCGACACCATATCGCAAATACCGACTTTGAAGCTATGGTACCCAAAATACCTACCGATACAGTAAGGCGGCAATCGTGATCAGGACGCAGATGAAGGCGACGGCCCCGCAGATGACGATGATGAACCAACGGTCGCGGGGCTAAAGAAGGTCATCGTTATTGCTCTCTATCTCTTTCTGTCTCTCTCTTCTCTCTCTCTCTCTCTCTCACACACCTGCATGCACAGCTCATCGTGAAAACCGCAGGCCGGAATATCGAGGGGGGCCTGACCGGCAATCCAAGAAGGCGTCAGGGAGAAGTTCGCGAAAGCGGTAGCAGCCTAAGTGGTAGAACATCCGTAAGAGCGTGCGTTTTGGTAAAAGCCGCTGCTAGTTCGCCAACGAGGCAGCTAGCAGATCTACCCGTAACTGACCAGCGCCGTGTCGTTGTCCGCTTTGACGCTGATCCCGCCGATCGGCCAAATGCCCCATTGATTGGCGCCGTCAGTTGGCTAAATAATGGGTTTCAAAACTCCTTCAATCACTTCTGCTAGCTAGCTAAGCTCATGAAGCTCAGGAAGCTAAAACAAGGTGTTGAAAAGAAGATTATTACAATGGTGTAGTTGGCAATGCTGTAGATGTTCAGGGCGCCGGTGGCGAACCCGGAGAAGTCGATGTAGTCCCGGGCGCCGGTGATGCCTAAATTGAGCCTATCGTGAAAGCGAAGTCAAAGCTAAAACAAAGCCAAGCCTAAGCAAAGCCCAAGCTAGGCCGAAGCTACCTAAGCTAAGCCTAAGCTAATCATAAACTAAGCGCACGAAGCCTACTTTTGAAACTTCGATCAACCAAGTATTGAACAGTAGCCGCTCCACTTCTGATGTCGGTTCCACTATCGATAAGCTCGGCGGCCACCAGGCTCCAGAGCTTTATCCCATCATAAATGCGGGAAAATCTATCCCAGTAGGTGTTGTTCTGAAAATATTAACTCTCTCTCTCTCTCTCTCTCTCTCTCTCTCTCTCTCCTTCTCTCCCCCTCTCTCCTACCCCAGTTCCCGAATATTGGCTCTCCATCCACTGTTCTGCCTCCATCCTCGTCTCTGCCCATCCCTCATTTGCATATCCTGGCGCGGCGCCATCAGAGAGAAACAGGACGTTTCTAGGTGTACTTCGGAAACCCACAAATTTTTGATTACCGTAACATCAAATCGAGATCGCTCTTCGAAACATTGTAGCCATCAACTAAAAACTTATCGATTTTTGCTATTTTAAAGAAACTTTCACGGCCAAATTGCTGTCAAAGAATGGGTTCCTTGTACCTTTAAAGCAAAAATCATTCTGTTTTTTTCGTTATCTTGGGCTAATTTAGCTAAATGTTGCCCTGGCCACCGTATCCCCAACCCCGGAAACCCCCACTGACAATTCTCATTTCCCATCATCACCGCCACGTCCGGCTGATCGATCCACGCGCGCACCAAGTTGTACTGTAGGTAGCAGAGCAGGAAATAGTCTCCAGTCGCGTGCTTGCCTAATGGAATTGGACTTCCCAAACAACTGGGATGTGAAAATACCCTCCTGGACGAGCGTCAGCAGGAAGTGACGGCACGTCTGCCCGGTCGGGTCGATTGCGACAAAAACTGGAACAACTTACAAAGCTCTGAATTAAACTCACTTCGAGCCGCTTGTAGGTCCTGAACAATTTTTGCCGAGATCTTGGCCGTCGAGGTGGTGAGGTCATAGCGTGATTCGAGGAGTTGACTAACGCCACATCCGGTTAAAGCCGCTTAAAAAAGGAAATGTAGTTTATCGCTAGTTATATTTAACGTTTATTTTACGACCGTATTACTGTATGTTATTTCAGAAAATTAACTACGTGAATAAACTAATAAACCTACTTCCCAACAGCGTGCGCACATTCGAGTAGAACTGGTCCAACGACAACGGCCCGATCATCCCCACGTTTTTCCAGCCGAATTTTTGTAGTAACAGGCAGAGGGCAGAGCCAGGCAGGCTGAAAAAGGCGGGCTAGCAGGGATATTTCGGGAATTCTTCGAAAATGTAGAACATCTCACACTCCGAGAACCAAAAAAATACCTTGGCGACATGCTGAAAAATAGGGCGGTGGTGGGAAAGCCCCGTAGAAGTTGTTGGTCATATTCGCAGATCTGGGATTGAGATTTATCTCTCTCGCTCGCTCTCTCTCACTCTCTCTCTCTCTCGCATTCTCTGTCTGGCTTCCGCTCTCTCGCTCTCTCTCTCTCTGTGTCTCTTTCTCTCTTTAGCTCTCGCTCTCTCGCTCTCGTGCACGCTCTCTCACTCTCGCTTGCTCTCTCTATCTCTCTCTCTCTCTCGCGCTCTCTCTGACCCACATCTCCAAACGTCAATTTATCGTAGTAGGCCGTAGCCGACACCTCGATGCTGCAGCTCTTCGACACGCCGAGTACCAAGGAGAGCTAAAGAAAAACTAGCATTTTCGCTGGAGCTGACCTCAGCCGTCTTGGCGGCCGATGCGGCGGCGGCCACCGGATTTCCATTTTGGTTGTTGACAAGGGTCGTTTTTAAAGGGTTGAAATATTGCAGCGAGTCGGAGATGGTGGAACTGGAAAAACGAAAAAACTGAAAAGCCTTTAGGTCAGAATTTTGCGATATTAGCGCGAGAGAGGGAGAGAGAGCGAGTAAGAGTGAGAGAGAGAAAGAGAGAGCGACAGAGACAGCAAAATTTTTTATACTTGTCAACATCAGTGAGGTTAGCCGACGCAATGTCCCCAATCTCGGCTGAAGCCAGCTGGATGGCCGCAAGAACGTAGCGAAGGCCTGAAAAATTATATGGATTTTTTGAATTTGAATTTCTCTTGTATAATTATGATCATTGTATGTTATAGCACGGCGCTGCGTTAAGGTATGAACATACTTACAAAGGCGTTCAGAAATTTGACGGACGTGGCTATTTCCACAAATACCTACCTAGATCATCGCAATCTTTCTTCAGACAATTGCTGGCCCCGAGGACGGCGACTGGAATATGGTAAAATTGTCTTTTGGAGAAGCTACAGTAAGACCTGTAAGCGGGATTGCAATCGTGGTATCCCCAACGGCAATCGATTTCACTGCCGCCCCAGACGGTGCTACCATTAATGCGCCGACCAGCAACATCGGTAGATTCGTTAAAACGCCCATTTTTGAGGGTCGGGATCGAGGCCTGGAAGTGGTTAAGAGAGACTTCAATTCTAAAAAAAAACGCTGGAAATGGCAGTAAAAAATCCTAAATAAAATTGGTAAAAATTATATTTAAACCACTTTGCAAAAATTCTAAGACCTAGGAAAAATGAGGAATTTAGAAGGAATCGAAAACTCATAATTTAGCGAATTACCGCGCCACAGATGTTAGAAATTTGAAAAAGGTGAAAGTGAATGTCGGGATTTTTGCTGTCGCTATTTTGGCTGTCGGTATTTTCCCCTTAATGACGTTTCGAGGCAAGTAAATTTAAATTTAGGACACCCAAAAGATAAAAATTTCAGCTATTCTCAAAAGCACCCAACTACCGTACCCGATCGCCAGATGAGCGCGGTGAACGCCGGGCACCTGTTTACACCCCAAATCCAGCGCCCGGGCGTCAACGGAAATTGGGCCTTTTTTGGGCAACACCCCGAGCACGAGGATATAATTACAGGAAACTAGGGCCGAGGCTGTCAGACTCCGGGCTACGGTAACCCACCCCTCTTCCGAACTTTTCTAATAATCACTCGCGGCGAGACCCACTTTTTGTGGTGCCCGCCGAAAATTCGGGATATCCTCGGAAGTCAGAAAAATCGAGGGCACCTCCGGCTACATCGAGACCCGATGGGCTGGCTCTCCATTGTTATCAGGTCAGCCGGTGTAATTTGCTTTCTCCCGAATCTTTAATTTTCATGGTTTTCTATTTTCTAAATATAGCATTTTCTAAAGCTAGATGATACAGTAGCTTAAATTTAAAGGTACACTAAAATTTCGTTCAAAAAGTTCGGTCGCGGTAGGAAATTTGGGCTCTCTGCCGCAGCAACTCAGCAGCCCCTTCTTGTCGCCTCTCCCCTTCCCCCCTTCCCGTCTCTCCCCCAGCTGGCAGTCAGGGTTCGGTTTTGCTCCGCGGCGAGCGCCTACCGTAACCCGGTTTGCTATCCCGCGGTCGGTTACCGACCGGTAACCAAACCAACGAAACTTTAGTGTACCTTTAATGATCTCGATCGAAGGCCAGCAAAAATAAAAAAATTCTAGAATTAGAATTTCCGGCTTTTCCAGCTCAGTTGAATCTAAAATCTACGTCATTTACAATGTCTAGGCTTAAAAATATTTTTCTGGAGCGTGTGGTAGCCTAAATTTGAGTTTTTTTATCGAAAACAAGCACAAAAACATCAAAAATTCCAGAATTTATCGCCTTGAAACGTAATTTCCTCGGCTTTTTTGAATCACGTGTCAATTCGAGTAGACTATCGTAGATTAAAACTCAAGGTCAATTTTTTAAAGATTTCTGACAAAATCTAGTAGGAAAATTGAAAAATTCTGGTTTGCCTTGCTGTCCCGTCGGCTTTAGCCTAGCCTACAGTACCCCGACTCCGCGCCAAACTGAAAACTGAGCTTTAGCGTGAAGATAAAAATGAGTCTCTGCTAGAATCTCTGCTAGCTTGCCAGGCATGATCGCTCAATTGCTTACTTCCGGTTTTCGCGCCGACTACGATACACCAGATGACCCAAGGGTGTTTTTTTACTAGCTTGCGGCCTCGAGAATTCCTAAAGAAACCCTGCTAGCTTACCCATAGCCTTGCAACCAAACCTCTTGCTCAACCCGAATAAATTTGAGCTTCAGCCTCTGGCTCCTCCATCTCGCTTTTGGCCTCTCCTTCGAGGTGCTGCCGCAATGCCGAGAAGCTGTCAAATATTCGTATGGGCAGGTGTCAGGGTAAGGAGCGACTGATTACGGTATTTATACCCGGGTTGCTTATTCCACATCGAAATTCTGTTTCTAGCTCCGAATACTACGGTTACGAGATCCCGATCGACTTGAAGCTCAGCACCACCGATACGTCGCTGAACATTTGCGCGGATTTGGTGATGCGGCATAGGTTTGGAAAGTTCACTCTGTATTTCTCTCTCTTCTCGCTCCTGTTACCTGAGTCTCTCGCGCGCTCGCTCTCACTCTCTCTCTCTCCCTCTCTCGCTCTCTCTATTTCTCTACCTCTCTCACTCTCTCTCTCTCTCTCTCTCTCTCTCTCGCTCTCCCTCACTAGCCCTTTCTAGATACGCCTGGCGCCAAGGAAAAATCTTCGACACCGGCGAATTCTTGCCCTCCTACTGTGCCCCGAACTGTATCCACTTCTTGACGGCACGTAAGTTTTCGAAGTTTTTCCCGGGTATTTTTTTCGGTATTTCCGGTCTGTCGGTATTTTGGTATTCCGGTCCCTCTTTATCACTCAAATCATTTATTTTCTCTAGCGGATACGGTATGCGGCGTACGAAAACCGGCACAAAAGTGGGGCGTCGACATCGGCGACTTGCCGAGGTTGCCGGGTGGGGCGCCGACCAACTGCGAGAATTTGAACTTCCCGGTCGGGATGAACAGCTACAAACAGGTGGGTCAGGGAGTGAGAGAGAGGTGAGAGAAAGCGAGAGAGAGAGAGAGAGAGTACAGTGTGAGAGAGAGAGTAAAAAAAAGGAGTATTTTAGCGTGCCGTGATCAACACACAAGGTCGTTTACCCAACGCTACGGTCGAATATTTGGCCCAGTTTCCGTGGAAGGGAATACAGGTTTAAAATAAATTTACGGTAGGTATGCAAATTCTAGATCAACGACGAATATGATGATGACAACACCGGGCTCTGGGACGCGCTCACCAGGTTGTTGGAGATGGTGCCGACGATAGAGGAGGTGAGAGAGAGATAGGAAGATAGAGCAAAAGAGCGAAAGCTAGTTTTTCGCTTTAAAAAATTTTTCCAGCTCTACCTTCTCGGCACCAACCAGAAGCTCGACGCGAAGCAGACGGCCTTCTTGGACGTGCTCGCCAATAGGACTTGGAAAATTGTAAGTCAAGCCTAAGATAAGCTTCATCTAATCCCAGGCTAAGCCTAAGCCTAAGCTAAGCCCAAGCTAAGCCTAAGCTAAGCCTAAGCTAAGCCTAAGCTAAGCCCAAGCTAAGCCTAAGCCCTAGCCTGAATCTAACTCTTCTTCTACTTCAGATCAGCAACGAGGGGTTCCCCTGGCCGAAGACCCTCGACTTCAAGACGACTCAGCTGAAGGTACGGGACTTGACTTGGAACACACAAAGTATAATTTTTTGGGCCAATTTCCGGCTCGGATTCTGACGGATTTGGCCAAAAATGGGGTGGAAATGGGGCCAAACATGAACTTTTAAGATTCGATCTGGCTCGGCAGGAAATGAGACATTTTTTGGGGAGGAATGGTAGCGAGCAGTAATCATTTCGAAAAAATGACAAATGTAAAAAGGAGTGATCATTGAGGTTAGGGCGGGCTAGCAAGGATTCTTTAGGAATTTGTGGTAAGTTCCTGCGATTTATAGGCCGTCCGCATCTTCGACACGAAGCTAAAAGTGGTCCCGACTTGGATCAAGTCGGCCAAGGGGCTACAGTACCTCCAGATAGACAATGGAGGGACGGAACTTGGAGAGCTGGGGACCATTGCTGATTTGCCGGTCCTCGAGCACTTGATTCTGACCAGGTTGGTTAGACCTCAGATTCTAAAAGGAACTTGAATGCCTAAAACAACGATTTTTTAGGTAAACTAGCAGGGATCCTTCAGGATCTGAGATCCGGCAGGCTAACTAGCAAAAATCGTAGAGCCATCAGAGACTGCAGTCAGCTAGCAGAAATCTTTGTGGAAATTGAGCCGTCAAGAGGCTAGCAGAGAATTTTAGGGAATCAGATTCCTGGGGCAAGCTAGCAGAGATCTAGCAAATTCCGGCATGGCAAGCTAGCAGGGACCATTTAACCTTTCCAGATGCGGCATGACCTCAGTGAACAATAGCCTGGTCACCTCCCCGAAACTGATCTCCCTCGATCTGACATGCAACACAATTACCGAGATTCCGGATGGGTTCTTTGACGCCATGCCTGGTTTGTGGCGCCTTAGAGGCTCACTTTCTCTCTCTCTCTCTCTCTCTCTCTCTCTCTCTCTCTATTTCTATCTATCGCTTTCTTTACCTGACTCTCTCTCTCTGCCTCTCTCTGCCTCTATCTGTCTCTCTCTCTGTCTCTCTCTCTCTCTCTCTCTCTTTTCTCTCAATCTCTCTCTCTCTCTCTTTCTCACTAACACTATTTGTAGGTGTTCAATTCCTCAGCTTACTCGGCAATCCGATCACCAGCTTCACCCAGCGTCTGATGAAGCCACTTACCAATTTGAAGCATCTGGATATTGGGAGGTAGGTTGGAGTCTAGGCTTCGGCTTAGGCTAAGGCTTGGCCTGAGCTTAGGCTTCGGCTTAGGCTTCAGCTTAGGCACAGGCTTAAGCTAAGGCTTAGGCTAGCTTAGGCTTGGCCTGGGCTTAGGCTTATGTTTCTTTATTACAGGCAAACCCTCTACTCTGGCAGCAAGCTCGGCGCCAACTTCTACCTGAATCGAGTAGGGCGGCGAGTTCTGTGCACGACATACAAGGCTTCAGAACCGGTAGGAAATAAAAACTCTTGCTCTCTCTCCTCTCAGTCACTCTTCCTCTCTAAACCCAATTTTTAGAAACTCTCCTCTTTTCCTCCGGACCTCCTGCCCAACCCGTCCAAACTGGTCTCACTCGAGATCGTGGGCCAGGATCAGATCCAGTTGGCCCCAGACTATTTCGCCGGATTTCCGAGTTTACAAGTGGGTTTTAGAGGCAAAGTCGACAACCAAAATACCGAAATAAGAAAATGACAATAGCTATAATGCCGACACCTCGAATGCCGACGTGAAAAACACTTTGCACTCCTTTTCCACGAGATTTAGCCGTTCCCTTGTCGGCATTTGGCTGGTCGAAATGTTAGTCTGGAATCATTTGGAGGCATTAATAGGCATCAAGAAGCCGTATTTCGACAACAAAACACATGAAAGTTTCAGATGCTGAACCTGCACGGCGTCAACTTGAGCACGATGGTCGGGTTAGGCTTGGAGAAAATCGCCGGGCTGAATTATGTTAGAGCCAGCGCGCTGCCGTTTAAGAGTAAGCTGATGAGAGTGAGAGAGTGAGAGAGAGAAAGATAGGGAGAGACAGAAAGAGAGAGAGGGAAAGAGAAGTCTAAATGCTTGCGAATTTCTAGCCGTTGACTGGTTCCCCGAAGAGGTCATCACGAATCTGAATAACCTTCAACATCTCTTTTTGCAGGATTCGAACGTGAGAGAAATTTTTTAGTGTTTGGATGCGCTTTAGGTGGTGGAGTTGAACGCGCCACTGGTGGCCTTGGCCAAGACGTCGCCGTTTTTCTGTGGAGAGCTGAAGTACGATATAGACTCTTATCGGATGACGAAGTTGAGCACCTGTGCGCTGAGTGAGTTTTTAGCGAGAGAGAGAGAGAGAGAGAGAGAGGGAGAGAGAGAGGGAGAGAGAGGGAGAGAGAGAGGGAGAGAGAGAGAGTGAGAGAGGGAGAGAGAGTGCGATAGGTAATTCCCCTTTTTCCAGGCATCCTTGGCCAAGTCCTGAGCGCTGAGGGCGTCTCCCCGAACTGCACCCAATCAGCCGACACCCTCATCTCCGAAGCGAAACAGCTGATCGCCACCAAATTCGAGTAGGGCTCGATTATTTGTGGACCCCTGGAAGACGTCTACTTTAGACTCGCCGCACGCACCGTCAACTGCACCTTTCATTGAATAAAGTTGTTAACAAAATGTGACTGAGGGGAGCAAATTTCAAGAAAATTGATCCAGACCCGAAAGAGGGAGCAAGAGAGAGCGAGAGAGAGAGCGAGAGAGTGAGAGAATGAGAGAAAGCGGGAGAGAGCGAGAGAAAGCGAGAGAGAGAGAGGGGAGAAAGAGAGAGAGGGAGAGAGAGAGTGGTAGAGAGCATTTTCTCAACTATAACGTGTCTTGTTGATATATTTGTTTTCCTACTTGTTTCCTTTCTCTAAAAACAAGTTTCCAGCATGCAGCAAATGCGAGCGGAACGCGCGTCTCGCCCTGTCAAAGCTGACTGCTTTTCTCTTTACCTTCTCTTTCATTTTTTTACTTTTCTACCCTCCGAATTCCGAGATAGAAACAAGACCTATAAAAGGAAAGAATCCAGCCAATCTGGGGGTGGACCTCTCTAAAAAATGCTGGCCACGCTTTGCTACTATTTTCTCCTGGTATTACTGTATCTACGACACGCCAATGCTCAAACGCTGCGGGCTGAGAATCCGGGTAAGAATCGTCAAAGGATCTTTGCTAGAGTGCCGAAAAATCTCGAAAAGCAAAATGCTGACAGCGTAATATTTTCGTTCAGATGAACGTTTCGTCCGGCTCAACGTCAACCGGGACAGTTGGCTCTCTTTTGATGAATATTTGCACACCGATGAAGCCTACGAAAAGGCAAAGCGTCAGGAATTCACGTCGTTGGACCAGAATCGTGAGTGTTCTCTCTCCCTCTCCCTCCCGCTCTCTCTCTCCCTCTCCCTCTCTCTCCCCCGCTCTCGCTATCGCTCTCGCTTTAATCGTACCAATTTTAGGTGATAACATGATCGAAGATCACGAGTTTTTGAGCCATTTCGCTCGGCATCAATCGAATCCGAACGACCCGAGGGCGCAATATTTTGGGAAGGTATGAGAAGGGATTTTCAGACTGTCATTAATGCATAATTTGTATATTAACGTAGTTCGAGTCTCTCTCTCTTTCGAAGCGACGCTGTCGTGCAGTTCACCGCCTCTAAATTTCACCCCAATTATTTCAGATTTTCCAAGACTTCGACACGAACAATGACCTAGGACTTAGCGTGAAGGAAATTGAGCGAATCCTGCGCGACAATTTCCACCTTGAACCCCGCCAAGATCTCGATCAAATCTTCGCCTTTTTCGACAAGGACCACTCGGGGAATTTGGATCTGTTCGAGTATATCAACTTTGAGAATGGATACCCGGTTGACGAGATTCCCAAGGATTTTAAGGTATCGAATTTTATGAGGTTCTGTCGTGATTAATGACCGTACCACAAAACGGACTATAGGATTTAAAAGGATTCAAAAGCATGATTATTGAAGAAATTGAGATTACCGTACCTTCTAATAACCACGATTTACCATGCCGTAATCAATTCCCATATTCCAGCCAGTCCGCGTCGTCATCAGGGACGCACAACCCTCGAAGCAACAGCCACCCGCAAATGGCCCATTTGCACCGGAAACGGAAGTGAGGGTGCACTTTAGGGTGAAGACAAGCGTCCAAGTTTTAGGTGTCCCCTTCGGATATAGGAAATGCAAGAACGGCTAGACAGGATGCACCACCGAATTCACCGCAGTTGGAACAGAACGTCTTCAGGCCGGCCATGCCACCGGTGAGAGAGAGAGAGGAGGGAGAGGGAGAGAGAGAGAGACCGAGAGAGAGAGAGAGAGAGAGAGAGAGCAAAAGAATGCAAGAGAAGGCAGGGATTTCTTCTTGACACCCTCCCTTTAAAATTTTTCTTACAGATGAGGGCGGTCCGGACGAGCAACCATCAAGGTTGACGAATTTTTTAATCTAAGCCTCAAAATCTCAATTTTATTGGGGTCTATCCCACAACAATTGAATGTAAATTTGTCTTGGAATAAATTTTCGGGTTTTGACTTGATTGCGGTGAATCTTAAAGAGGATATATGAATAAAAGCCAATAAATAAACATGAGACTTGGAGCGAATAACATCTCTCACTTACTTAATATCTCTCTCTCTCTCTCTCTCTCTCTCTCTCGGTCGCTCTCTTTGTCTCCTTCTCTCTCTCACTCTCGCACTCACGCTCCCTGTCTCCCTCACGCTCTATTTCTCTCACTGACGCGCGCTCTCTCTCTCTCTCTTTCTCTCTCATTCCACATTCATCTCATTCCATTGTCTGAATCCATTAAAAACTCAGAACGACGTCCAGCTGGAAGTCCCCATCCCTTTAAAAGCAACACTCAGCCCAGTTCCTCATTGCTTGCCTTTCGCCTTGCGTCTGAAAAAAGTTCCGGTGATTAGTTGTGGCATCTTTTGGGCCCTCTCTCACTTTTTTCCGCTGCGACACATGTGCTTCTCCTTCCCTTTCCGACCCCTTTAGGATTGCAGACTGAGGCGGGACCTCAATTTCCCTCCTCTCCTTCTCTAATTCACTATATCTCTCTCCCTCTCCCTCGCTCTCTCTCCCTCGCTCTCTCTCCCTAGCTCTCTCTCTCGTCCTCTCTCTCTCTCTCACTCTCTCTCGCTCTCTCTCACGCCCTGAACCGCTGGGCCATTATATTGACCCCGTGTCCACCCATGGCCCACCCCCTCCCTCCCTCCGATCGGCTGCTCATCATTTCGATTTCAGGCCCCGCTCGGTTCATTCGTTTGGTTTATTTGGGTTCCATCTCTGTCTCTACACTCTCTTTTTCCAGTCCCTATCTATTAAATTTCCGCCTCCATCCTCTCCACGCTTGGCCGGCTGCCAAAACAAGTCTGGGCCCCCAATTTTCGTGTGAAATTTGGAGGGATTTTAGCATGTTTTTTGACCATTTTAATTCGAACAGGGTTTTGGGGGATGCTAAAGAATAATTTTCCTAATTTTGGAGCGTGGAGGTTCAAGGATGTCTCATAAGTAACTAGGGATGTCGGATCTTTCTCATTATCGGGGGGTGGAGAACTTTCCTATAAGGCCGAAAACGCCTAGTAATGTAATAGTGAATATTTTAATCTTGTTTTAGCAAAATTTTGTCGATATTTCAAATGGAAAAACTGTCTAAAAAGAGAATTCAGAAAATTCTAAAATTTTTGTCGAAAAGCTAGACTTAATGTATTTTTATACAAAATTTTTGGGTTTTAAAGCTCAGCTCTCGAATCTTCGAAGAATTCCGGTTCATCCAACCCCTTAAAAATGCATAGAAAACGGCAAAATTCACGATTGAAAAGCCCACTGCCCCATTTCCATCGCCCCAGACGCCCACCCCCCGAAAATAAGGAACAGCCGGCCGTTTTTGCACGGTGCTCGCGCGCGCCTCCATGTCTTCATCATTATTTACGACCCTCCACAACCACCACTGCATTGCCCGTGAATGCTCCGTGACATTCCGCAAGAACGGCTGGCTTTTCTTACGTTAGACCATCGAAAATTCGACAACTTTAGTAAGTATCGTTAAAATGGCATCAAAATGGATTACTTGACTTAGACGGTCGTTTAAAAACCACTTCAGACTCAATAAAATCTCTATTATTTTTGCTTTGACTTATCTCGTGCTCATTAATTGTCGCTCTCTCGCTCTTTCGTTTCTCTCTCTCGTTCTCATTCTCTTTCGCTCTCGCTCTCGTTCTAACTCTCTCTCTCTCTCTCTCTCTCTCTCTCTCTCTCTCTCTCTCTCTCTCTTTCTCTCTCTCATACTCGCTTTATATCTCTTCTCTCAGTACTTAGGCATGAGCAACAGCTCTTAAAGGGATAGTGACATATCACTCCACGCAATTCCTTCATATTTGACCACTGTCACCCTCCCTTTAAAGCCTTGATCTGTCTAGCTTCGGACTCTCGACCCCAGGAATTCCCCCATGAAAACTGTCTGGCCCGAATCCGCAGATTCCCACGGTCACAGTGCGCGACTAGAGACATTTTTACGACTTCTCCTTTTCGTTGCGGGACCATCGTGAGTTTCGGTTAGCCTTTCTATTTCTCTCTTTTTCTCTTTCACTCTCGCTCTGTCTCTCTCTCTGCTTCTCTCTCATCCTCCGCAGTCAGTTTCTCCACTTTTTGCATCGTACAGATCATAAAATCGGGTATCCCCCATCGGCTCGGGATTTCACGCGCTCTATCACACCCGTCTGGGGGGATCGACTTTCAACGCGGACTCGGTCTTTGTTATTGCTCCTAATCTTCCTCTGTCTCTCTTTCTCTCTCACGCTCTCACCCTATCTCTCTCCAGCTCGGCATCTTCCTCAAGTTGTGGATCAACTGGAACCGCTGACTGAGTTTCTTGCTGATGGCCATCAACAATTTCTTGCAAATTCAGTGAAACTGTGCAATAATGTAAAAGTATTTATTTGTTGTGGGGCTATTTCCTATATATATCTCGCTCTCTCCCTCTATCTATCTCGCTCTCCCGCTCTCGCTCTCTCTCACCCGCCCTCTCACGCTCACTCTATCTCTCTCTCTCTCTCTCTCTCTCTCTCTCTCTCTCTCTCTCCCTCTCTCTCCCTCTCTCTCTCCTCTCTCTCTTACTATTTCCTCTCTCTCTCTCTCTCTCTCTCTCTCTCTCTCTCTCTCTCTCTCTCTCTCTCTCTCTCTCTCTCTCTCTCTCTCTCTCTCTTGCACTCTCTCTCTCCATCCCTCTATCGTTTTTGTACATTGATCCTTCTAAAGAGTCTAAAAGATCTCTGAACTTCTCAAAAAATATCTCATCTCCCTGGAATTACCTTCTCCCTGTCGGGAAGACCCATCAAAACTTTAAGTGTCTCTGCTCTCCTTTTATGGCATCAGTCCTTTAAAAGGGGTTCCGCGGTGAACCCGGGATCAAAATGTTACTCCCCCCTATCCGATCGGAACGGGGGAATGGGCTCTAAAAAATTTACTCGTGACTACAGTACCCCAAAATCTCCAAAAAAATTTGCCGCTCGATGTGAAGTTTTCCTCTAATTTTAAAGTATTCCCCCGTTTCTACGTTTGAAAAAGTGACGATTAAGAAACCTGTTTCTTTCTCTGTTTTTTTTTCGCTGTTACCTTGATAATTTTTCCCATTGCCCTCGCTCGTAATCGATTACGCCATGGGAAGCGCGTAGTTTGAAAAATTCTAGGCCCTCGATGCTTCAACCGAACACCGGGCCGCCGGCGCGCAAGGTCAGCGTGGCGACCGAGCTGCCAAAATTGGATGAAAATGAGGTTGGTATGGATTTTTGGTGGCACGCTCCCTTTAAAAAGCCCCTCTCTCACTCATTCGCTCCATCTCCCTCTCGCCCTCTATCTCTCGCTCACTCTTTCTGGCTCTCTCACTCTCTCTCGCTCTCACTCGCTCTTTACCTCTCGCTCTCTCACTCTTTCTGGCTCTCTCACTCGCTCTCGCTCTCAATGGCTCTTTACCTCTCGCTCTCTCACTCTTTCTGGCTCTCTCACTCTCTCTCGCTCTCACTCGCTCACCTCTCGCTCTCTCACCCTTTCTGACTCTCCCACTCTCTCTCGCTCTCACCCGCTCTTTACCTCTTGCTCTCTCACTCTTTCTGGCTCTCTGACTCTCTCGCCCTCTCCTTAGACCGTCTTCTAGATAGTTTTTACGTCTATAACACATTTTTGCCCTTTTCTCGGCCCTCGTTGCCCTCCCTAGCCATAACAAAATATTTGGCCCCGCGAAGAGGGTCCGATTGACGGCTGGGGCTCGGGAAGATTCTTATTCCATTTTATTGCCCACTTTTCGCTGAAATCTTGGTTTCTCCGCAATCCTATGAATTCCCCGGAAAGCTTCGGCTATAACATCGATTTTATGGACCTGTACGCGCCGCCTGATCCCGAAGACGTGGCGGTGCGTTTTAAGTGGCTTTTTTCCAGGAATTTTGTGATACAAATGTATAAAAATAAATTGAATTCGATTGAAATAAATTTAAGTTAAAAAACGAGGAAATTGCGAATTTTAGTTATATCCAACTGTAAAAAAAATGGGTTACAGTAAGAATCATCTTAAAATTTACAATGTTTTTTGAAGTTTTCGTAGACGAGAGATTTGCATAAAAAACGTCAACATTTCGATTCGCCGCTAATTTGCATGAAATCGCAAAAATCGTGAATTAGGGCATGAAATTTGCATCTTTGGCTTTGCATGGTAACAGCTGCTTGCTTCAGAAAATTGGCATATTTGAGGGAATCAGGCCCCAAAAATAAGGCAAGCATTTCGAAAACTTACTCGTCCTCTTTGGTCTCCCCCAAATACTACTGACTTTATCAAATATGATGAAATTACTGAATTTTCCGCGGCAACGCGTTAGCGTACAGGTAAAGGATAAGAGCTGCTCAATTTTAAGCCTAAACCTGAGCCTATGACTAAGCTTGAGCCTGAGCCTAAGCCAAAACCCAAGCCTAAACCTATCGTTTTAGGTGATGAACTTTCGGCGCGGCAGCGCTGCGGGTGGGCCGCTGAATCCGGGAGCGCCGCATCAGCACTCGCAGCAGACGTGTAAGTTGGTGTTGGGTGAAATTTGGGGGTGTCACTGAGCCTTTAAAATGAACGAGACGGATTAAGTGGGAGCTTGCCAGGCAGACTGGCACACTTACGCTAAGACTCGAGAAAAATCACCTGGGCAATCGTTCTAAGCCAACCGAAGCGTGAGCTCTATCCAAGTCTAGGCCTGCTTGGTAAGCTAAGCCTAATCCTAACCCTAAGCCCAAACTCAAGCCTAAGACCAAGCCCAAGCCTAAGCATAAGCCTAACCTAAGCCTAAGCTTAAGCCTAAACTTAAGCCACCCAAGCCCAGGCCCAAGCCTGAGCCCAAGACGAGCCCTCAACTATCGTTCCCGTTTTTTGCAAGCTTTAAAAATCTCTCCCTCAAGAACGTCTTACGTCAACGCGTTCTCCTGCGGAAAAGTTTTTACTTTAACTCCACCCCTCTCAAGGGCGAAAGAGCACGAGAAATCAAGAGAAACAGAGAAATAGGGACATTTCCGCCAGACGGTCTTTCTATTTGAGAATCCGATTACCCGCGGGGTGGCCGCTTATTTCCCGCTCAAGCCAAGGAGCCACCATGTGATATCGCCGGGGACGAAAAGGCCAATCTTTAAAACCCCTCGGGTTTTTGCGTGGCGCTACACCTGACACTTCCGATTCGACTTGTTGATTTTGGCTACAAAAATTTCGAAATATTCCTTGCGACAAATTCCGCAATGTTCCGCAACCGCAACGAACCCCGGCACCATGGTGGAACGCAGTGTAAGCTTGGGGTTTATACGGTTTTTACGATTTTGGTGCATTAAAGGGACTACGAAGGCAGACTTTCTGGCTTCAAAATTGTCGGTGTTCTATTTAGTTGGCGCTGTGGCATTATCGGGGGGAGGGGGAAGATCAAGGGAGATCTTAAACCAACTTTCTCTTTAAGATTCAATTTTTTTTTGTAAATATAATTACATGAAGGGTTTTCAACTGTTTTTAAACTAAGCTTAAATCTAAAAACTACAAAAAAATGTAAAAAATAGAAAAATATCAATTTTTCGAACCAAAAATGGCCGTTTTTCGAACTTTCCAAAGGTTTCAAAGGTTTTTCAAAAAATTATGAGCTTTCATATGCGGTTTTTCCGCTCAAATTCTCGTCAAATTTTACTAAGAAAACCATCCCCCCCCCCGATAAGAGGAAAGAACCTCAGCAATTCGTGCTCCTACGAGGAACGAAAAAGCCTGATTTAGCAGACAGAATTTCCAAAAAAAATTGGACTAATTGTACAGCGATTTTCGAATTTTAAAGGTATTCGAAAGTCAGAAAATTGCCCGCAAATGCCGTCGCAGACGACCGAATTTTGCAGCGGGATACCCTGCCACGCGTCCTTTTCACTTACACTTAGGTGCCTTTTGGAAATTCTAGAGGTTTCTAGAGGGGGGCTTTTCCGGTGCTCCCCGGGTCTCTTAGCGTCCTTTTTTCCCTTCAGCCACCCTGCGTTCGCCCCTTCGTCTCGTTCCCTAGGCAAAATGGGCTTTTTGCCTGCTCCGGCGAGGGCCAGCCATAGCCAGCTGGGGTCTCTGAGGGGGTGTAGAGTAGACACATCCAGGTGGCCATCTCCATTCGCTCCAGTATTCAACCAAATTCTTCTTTCTCCTCCTATTCCTTAAATTCTCAAAATGCATGACAATATGGACACTTTACAATGTGAGTTCAACTGATTAAATCAATTGGACTAAATTGGTCAATTATGCAAATTAAGATCTTTTCCATTATCGGGGGGGGGCAGTTCGAGAAATGCCTAATAACGTAATGGTTTGTAGCTTAGATGGAGTTTAGCTACGTTTCAATTGGAGAGCTGCCTTAAAAGTTATAAAAACGCTAATTTTTGATTGAAAATTATCAGTTTTGGTCGAAAAATCGATTTTTTTTATTGTCATTTGTTTTTGTAAGGTTTTTATGTTTAGGAATGGCAAAAAAGTAGAAACACTTCCTTTAGCAGAAAATTTGGATACTAAAGCAAAAAGCTGGTTCTTTCTTTTGCCCCCCCCCCCTCCCCCCGGTAATGCAAAAGTACTGAGAATCCCTTGACAGAAAAAATCCAGTCCTCCCTTAAGCAGTTAACTTGCAAAAATCTCTCTCCACGAAATAGACTGCCCAGGCCGAAAGATGGCCCCCCGGATTGGCGGTAACTTTTTGGCCCCTTGGCCCTCACGAGATTGGGGGTGACGAATGTTGGCCGGCCAAGGTTTTCGCCCTACCTTTTCGCATGACATCAATGATTCCCGGGGAACCGGAGGAGCATGAGGTGGGGGAGGAAAAAAATGGACAGTCAGCTGTTGCTCACCCTTTAACCCGTAAAGAAGCGAGAGAGAGAGAGAGAGAGAGAGAGAGCGAGAGAGACCTCGTGGGGAATGGCAAAGGATTTGGTCTGCAGCCCCACGAGGACGGGGATCGGCAACTTTTCTGACGGACTATGATGTAATTCTAAAGACAGGGTAGCAAGCGGAGATTCTTGGGGAATTTTGGGTAGGCTAGCAGAGATCCTTAGTAGAAAATCGCGCAGGTAGCCTTGATAAATTTGAGGAAACTTCTGTTTTTCACAGTGAAGCAAATCGGCGAGATCCTGAACCGGAAGACGTCGGTGGCGGCCATCATGGGCAAGACGGTCGAAGGGCTGAACCAGGCGTACGAGCTGCGCAACTCGGACCCCGAGGATCTGATCTTTGACCTGTTTCAGGTACCGTATCCCCGGAAGAAATTTTAATTTTTCGATTTCAGGTGAACCAGAAGGGCGGACCGGTCGGCCCAGAGGAGCTGGCGTCGATCAGCAAGTTGATCAAGGTATGGTAGATCTTAAAGAATCTTTGCTAGCCTGCCCTAAGCACCAGGGCTTTCTAAATAATCTCTGCTGGTTGGCTCTCAATTTCGACGTTTCACTTGAACTCCAGGTTCTCCGCTCGTTCGGCCTCCGCGAGTCGGACCCAAGGCTGAAGGTGATGATGGAGCGGATCCGGCACTACGAGGAGGAGGATGAGGACGATCAGCGAGCATCACATCTCTACACGCGCGAGAAGTTCAAGGAGTACGTTTCAAAGAAGCTTACCTTTCTCTCTCTCTCTCTCTCTCTCTCTCTCTCTCTCGCTCTCGCTTTCTCTCTAACAGCCCATTTTCAGCTGTATCCACCCCTCCGTCCAGCTCATCTCCCAAGCCCTCCGCAACCACCTGATCATCCCCTCCTGGGGCGAGTTTTGCGTCAAGATCAAGGACATCTTCGAGAAGGTACACTACGCTACACTCCGCTTTACACCCCCTCCAGGTAGCTCCGATGAAGAACGGCGAGGTGGCCTCGTACATTCCACAACTCGCTCGCACCGACCCAAACCTCTGGGGGATGAGCATCTGCACGATTGATGGGCAGAGGTGAGCTAGGTTAAAATCCTAAAGAATCCCTGCTAGCCTGCCCATGGCTGAGTTTCCCAAAGGATCTCTGCTAGTTGCCCAAACCTCTTCAAAATTCCCGCTTTCAGATACTCGCTCGGCGACGCCAACGTTCCGTTTTGCTTCCAGAGTGTTTCAAAGGTAATTTTAGCGAGAGAAAGCGAGGAAGAGAGAGAGAGAGCGAGAGAGAGCGAGAGAGCGAGAGAGAGAGAGAGAGAGAGAAGAGGCTTGCTGAGAAACTACTAATTTTTCAGGCGTTCAACTACGGCATCGTGGGCTCGGACCTCGGCGCGGACTTCGTGCACTCCTACGTGGGCTACGAGCCAAGCGGGCGGCTCTTCAACGAGATTTGCCTCGATGCGCAATGTGAGTTCTGGCTTCACAGACCCTTTAAACCCAAGAATAGGTTTTTTTGCATTATCGGGGGGGGGGCTGAATTTTTATGGTAGAAGTCCAGAAGGCTAGTAAATATTTTAATGGTGTTTTTAGTAAAATGTAATGTTATATTCAAGCGGAAAACTACCAAAAACAGAAAATTTTTCAAAGTTTGAAATTTTTGTTCAAAAAAGCTACATTCTTTGTTTAAAAAATACTTATTCGTGAATTTTTTACGTTTGGAAAAGGTTATTTTATTTATATTGGAAAAACTTGTACGCTAACTAAGAAGCCCCCCCCCCCAATAATGCGATAGCTCCGCGAAAAACCCATTCCAGGCAAGCCCCACAACCCGATGATCAACGCCGGGGCCATCATCGTCACGTCGCTGATCAAGAACGGGCTGACGATGGCCGACCGCTTCGACTTTGCCCTCACCGAGTACCGAAAGCTCGCCGGAAATGAGTTTATCGGCTTCAACAATGCTACGTAAGTGGAAAGTTGGCAATTATGGACTTTTCCGCTCCTTTAGCTTCCTGTCCGAGCGTGACACGGCCGACCGGAACTACGCGCTGTCGTATTATATGAAGGAAAAGGGCTGCTTCCCGCCTGGGACACAGGGGTTGAGGGAGGAGCTCGATCTCTACTTCCAGTTGTGCTCGTTGGAGGGGACTTGTGAGAGTACGGCAGTTATGGCAGCAACGCTAGCGAATGGAGGTATGATTGGCTCCTTGGCACTGTCCCTTGAAAATGGAGAGGAGAGCGAGAGAAAGAGAGAGATTGGTAGAAAGAGAGAGCGAAAGAGAAAGAGAGAGATAGCGAGAGAGAGAGAGAGAGAGAGAGAGAGAGAGCGAGAGAGCGAGAGGGAGCGAGAGATAAGGAGAGAGAGTGAGAAAGAGACTAATCGAGAGAGAAAAAAAGAGAATGAGAGAGAGGCAGAGAGAGAGGGAGAGATAGATAGAGAGAGAGAGTGAGAGAGACCAATTGAGAGAGTGAGCGAGAGAGAGAGAGAAAGAGACAAGATGAAAATTATTTTTTTTCAGGCGTTTGCCCCCTAACCGACGAGCTCTGTATCCATCCCCGCCCCTGCCGCGACGTCCTGTCCCTGATGTACTCGTGCGGAATGTACGACTACTCAGGCAAATTTGCATTCTCGGTAAGCCCGAAAAAGACGTCTTGAGCTACAGTACGTTCCAGGTGGGCCTCCCCGCAAAATCGGGCGTCTCGGGGGCGATGATCGTCGTCGTGCCGAACCTGATGGGCATCTGCCTCTTCGCCCCGCCCCTCGACAAGATGGGCAACTCCACCAAGGGCGTCGCCTTCTGCCGGGTACGTTTAGTCCGCAGTACACCTCGCAACACCTTACGTTTGGCAACTCTCCATTTCTAGCGTCTCATCCAAAACTTCAACTTCCACAACTACGACTCGCTGCTGCACGCCGACTCGAAGAAGCTCGACCCCCGGAGGAGGATCGGGAATCGGTGAGTGGGGGTGGCAGCGAGCTAGCAGCGATTCTTGCGGAAAGTTACAAGCCTGGGCAGGCTAGCAGCGATCTTTGAGGAAAATTCGAAACCTGAGCCCGCGATTCTTGGGGAATTCGAATAATGCATATTTCGCTTCCAGGGACACCGAACTCGTCGTCTCGCTGCTCTTCGCCGCCCAGGGCGGAGACTTTGAAGCCGTACGAAGGTGAGCAGCCCTCAAAAACTCCTTGAAATCGTCGTTGTCATTTCAGGCTCTTCATGCAGGGCACCAACATGGAGATGGCCGACTACGACGGGCGGACGGCACTGCACGTGGCCGCTTCTGAAGGGCACGCCCACCTCGTCAAGTTCTTCCTGCAGGTCGCGCGCGTCAACCACTGTCCGAAGGATCGGTGCGTAGCTTTGGCCAGTCGCTCTCTCTCTCTCGCTCTCTCTCTCCCTCTCTCTCGCTTTCTTTGCCTCTCTCTCAAACCAAATTCTTCCAGCTGGGGTCGCATCCCTCTCGACGACGCCAAGCTGTTCAACCACGAGGACTGTGTGCGTCTTCTCACCCGAGCCCAGGCCCGCCAATCCGGCCCCGTCGACGAGTCGTCCTCCACCTCGGCCCCAGCCGATCCAATCGACCCGGTCCGCCACACAACCGAGGCGGACGACTCGTCCTCTTCGGGCGATGAGCTGGCGAACGGCATCGGCGTCATGATGATCGACGACAAGGAGCTGGATCGTGAGTTTTAGTCTGACATTTGGAATCGGTAGACTAGCAGGGATTCTTTGAGGAATTGGAGACCAGGATAGCAAAGATTATTCGGGAAATCTACAGTTATGGGTAAGCAACAAGCAAAGATTTTTTGAAAAACACTGATGCGAAGCGCAAACTAGCAGAGATTCTTTAGGATAGAAGGAATTTAGGGCAAGCTTGCAGTGATTCTTTGGGAAGTATGCTAACCCAACTTTTTTCAGAAATCCCCGGCCGTCGTGGCTCCGTGAAAAAGCCGATTCACCTCCCGACTCGAGTCAATGGCAGCGGTCCGGCAAACCGGAAGGTGCAACCAACGGTAAGAGAATCTTCGATTTCTAGCGTAAGCAGCCAGGATTTGCATCCCTTTCTAGCATGACACCCTGTTTTATCCGCCTTCCTTTAGGATGCGACGATGGCCTCACCGCAGCCAAACGGGCAGCCGCCCGCCTTTTTCCCCAAAACCAACGGGAAACCCGAGGGCTCTAGCTAGGTGGGGCGCATCGTTTAGCTTCTTTTTTCTTTTTTACTTTAATTTGCGGACGAATTATAAAGTGCAAACAAATTGGAATCAAAAATTTTAATTTTCTTAAGTGAAGTTATTATAAGATATTCGAAATTCAAATCCATACCCAAAAATGCATAAAAATTCAAATTCCAAGCATGGAATTCTAGGTGTTGTAATTTGCATCTGAACACCTAAATCCGCGCTATTCAAATTTGATTATGTAATTTAAGTAGTTTTTGGCGAGCCTGCAATCGACATTAAATTTGGGTGCTTTGGCATTATCGGGGGCGGGATGAACTTTTTCCTTAAAAACCAATATTTCTAATATCGATCATGGATTTTTTTGCTGAATTTGTACTATTTCTCGACGTAAAAGATTTTTTAACACGCAATGCTATCGATTTTTCGATCAAAAACCAATTTTCGATGCAAAAATTCAAATTGCTTCAAATATCGATCATTTTTGCACTTTAAGTACAACTAAATCTAGTTAAAAACACATTAAAACACTTACTGTACGATTAAATTGATAGGCTGTTTCGACTTATACAAAAAATTAACGTTGCCCGTCCTCGATAATGCAAAAGCACCTAATTCTTATGTAAATGAAAAAAATTTATTGACAAATTGAATGCGACATCCAATCGTTTAAAAAAATGCAAGGTCAAATCTGTATTTTATGAGGGCTGTTATTTAGTTATTATTTTTTACCCTATTTTTATGTTGCAGGGATTCGCCGTGGCCGACCGTCTCCCACCCTACCGTACCATCGCCTCCCGAGAGTCAAGAGCAGCAGCAGCAGCCGCCTCGTCGTGCTCAACCCAATATTCCGCCTCATCCCCCTCTTCTTCCCCCAAATTTTCGCGTCCCACCCTTGTATTGCCTCGAAATGAATATGCATCCTCTCGGCCGGCCTCTATTTTGGAGCCCAGCTCGTCCTCATTTTGTGATGTTCGTGAATCTGTGTTCAGCTTTTCGGCTCAAAGCCTGGCGCGCCGTTTTGATCCGCGGGCGGCAGGGCTGAGTCTGGCGGCTTGTCCGGCTCCGGAAACTCCGGAAAGTCCGGGGAATCCGGAAGATCCGGAAGAAGTTGGGCTCGGAGTTGAAAAGGCCGAAGCTACGGAAGTGAAAAGCGCGCTTGAAAGGTCGTTGGAAACAGGTCAAGCAGCCAAAATTCTGGGAAAACCGGAAACTCCGGAAGAAATGGGTCCGGAATCTCGAGCAGGCCGAAACGAGAAAATTTTGACGGATAAAACCGAGTCGAGTAGACCGTTGGCAACTTGCCAAGTAGAAAAAATTCCGGGGAAAGTGGAAAATTCAGAAATGCCTGATCCGGAATCTGGATTTAGTCGAAAGTCGAGGGTTATCAAAATGGAAAGTCAGTCCGGCAGACCGGAACAACCGGAAAGCCCGGAAAATTCGGAAAAATTGGTAAGTTTGGACAAACCAGAAGAGCCAGAAAGCTCGAAGATTCCCGAAAAACCGGAAAACTCCGAACAATCCAAAAATCCGGAATATCCGGCAACCTTAGAAGAGGAAGAGGCAGGCCCGGAATCGGAAAAACTCAGAGTCAGGAAGGAAACCGGTCATTTTGATCCCGGCCAAAATCCCGATAAATCGGCAACGCCAATTCCGGAGATTCCGGAATTCCGGAAGCCTCCTAGAGCTGACCAAGAAGCTTTGAGCGCTGAGGATTCCCCCCTAAAAGAATCGGCAAGCCAGCGAATCCAGCTGAACATCTCCAGCCAGCCCGGCTCGAGCGCCACCCTCAATTTCTCGCCGCCAATCCGGGACTCGGCTTTTCGTGCGGCCTCCAAAATGTCGAAATCTCTTGACTTGCCCTCCACGAGTACGAAAGCGTCCAAAAAACGCTCCAAAAACCCAATTTCCAAGGATGCCCAGTGCAGTTGTATGTGATTTTTCCCCCCTGGGTATTTAGAAGCTTAGAATTAAAATAGATCAATTTTTGCAGAAACTGAAAATTTGTGACTTCCTAGGCCCTTTAACTGTGTGGTTTTTTTACAATAATTCGCAATTTGTGCCTTTTCCAATTTTAGCATTTTGTTGTTGATGCTCAAAACTGATCCGGTGTACCCCACGGCAATGTCGGCTCAATATTCCCTCCCCGAGTGCCTTACCGTATCATACTTGTCATTTTTATACCTTGTGCTCCATACCCCCGAAAATACCCAGGTACTACGGATACGATAATAATGCCCAAAACGTTGTATATTTGTCATATTTGCTTTTTTCGCAACCCCGGTCGGCCACTTGACACGGTTTAATTGATTCCTTGAGGTATTAGCGTTCGAAATTTGCTTATATTTCATTTCTTTCCCGGTGACCTTTTGTTGTGTTTAGGAGTCGATAAAGGTATATTTTTATGCAAGTTGTAGTCCGACTTCAAATATGCAAATCATCGAAATTTCCGGTCTCATAAACCCTAATTTGCATACATGAATATTTACGAACCAACCGAATTTGCTTACTCAAACTTCGGGTTTTAGCCTGTGTTTTTGTATGCAAATTGTAGTCTGTAGTTTTATGCCGATCTCAAATATGCAAATCATCAAAATGTCTGGTCCGAAAAATTCGAATTAGCATCAATTAGATGGGGAAAGTGAAAAGTGAAATTTAAAAGTCTTCGACTACAATCTACAACAGAGAACAGAAACAGGGTTGTAGTTAGTAGATTGTAACTTTTTGCCGTACTCCTTGTTGCTAGTGCATTTATTTGAGATCAAAAAGTCCAAAAAACACGAAGATGTGCAAATGCAAATCGCACAAATTTAGAGCTCGGTGCAAAAGTCGAGATCCTTTTGTGCGCCGGGGGCTTGGGTGGCCGTGGGGTCCTGGAACGATTTTCGATCAGAAATCAGAAGAAAACATTTTACGGTATTGACGTACAAAAAATAAGGAAAAAATACGGATGTAAAGTCAAAATTAACAAACCTGCGCCGCCTTGGCCTCGTTGTCCTTCATCTGTTTTACGAATTTCTCAAGCCGACCACGCTCTTTTTGGTCCAAGTTTCGGGCGAACGTCTTCCCAATGTAGACTTTGTAGTTCTGAAAAATTACGTTTGGTCCGCATTTACATAAGGCCGAGTAGCCCTAGTTTCATGACGTAATGGGTTGTAAAATCCCGACAGCCAAAATCCCGACGGTGAAAATCCCGACAAGCAAGAATGCCGACAGCCAAAATGCCGACAGGCATAGTGCCGATAGCGACAATACCGACATCCAAAAAGCCGGTAGCTAAAATGCCGAAAGATCAGAATCCCGACAGCAAGAATACCGATAGTCCTAATTCGGACAAACCAACATTCCGATATATTCATGAGCTAGTTTGGATGTCGGTATTTTGTATTTTCGGAATTTAGGCTGTCGGAATTTAGGCTGTCGGCATTTAGGCTGTCGGCATTTTGGCTGTCGGCATTTTGGCGTCTTCCTGGCCGTAATCATTTACTTCCGTTTTTCTGTGGAATTTAAGGAGCATCGCGTAGCGTTTTTCATAACGTAACCGGTTAGTCCGATCAGGCCCATTATCATCAGCGCATTTATTTCTACCAAATTCAAAGCTGTTCTCTGTCATTACGAAGCCTCTCGTAGCTTTGCTTTCCATGGCATAATCGATTCCCCCACCTGAACGCTGCACCCAGCAAAAATGTACATGGTCGTGTCGGCGCCCATGCAGAAGGAGGGCATCGATGGGCGAACGGGCATCGGGGGCAGAGTAACGTTCTGGAAGGGGTACTGTAACATGACTTGCCGGGACCTTTAAAATCCATACAGCTCAAGAAATACCTTATTTCCGGTAGTTTCCATCTCTTCCACGTTGTCAAACGCGTCGGCGATTTTCTGCAAAAAAAATTAAAATCGAAAAATCGAAAAATTGGTCAAAAATTATTGAAGTTTAAATTAGTTAAACATCAAAATTTTTATTATCTAAAAATACAGAAAATATCGCTTTTTGATCAAACTTTAGAATTTTTTTGAAGTTTTTAGATCGTTTTTCACGTAAAATATGTTATGGGCAAATTTTTCGAAAACACTATTGAAACACTTACTCTACGCTACGAGGCTTTCCTGGACTTATAGGAAAACACTGCCTCCCCACGATAATGCACAAGAACCACAAAGTTTACGGCCTTTTGCATACCTTCTTAAACGCAACCATATCCTTCTTGTACTGGATCAACACTTTCACTTCCGGTTCCGTCAAGTCGCGAATGTAGTTCCCGCTCGAGAACAGTTTATTTTTCTAAAAATTCAGGAATTATACAATTTTAATGGGCTTCAAAAATACTTATTAGTTTCCAAAGCTTCAGCTCCAGCCTCAACCCCACCCCCACCCACCGTAACCACACAGCCGACGGCACCGCCCAGATTCGATGCGCCGAATTGTGCGCGCACTAATGGTAGCAGGGCAGCCATTGCCACGAATAATTTTCCAGCCATTTTTCCGGAAAATTGAGGTCAGGGACCGGAGGGTATAAATGTGGGCACCCGACGGGGAAGAGCTTCAGGCCCTGGCTCCGCCCACTTTTCGGCCGGAGGGAAGCCCTAAGGGCAGGGGGCCGGAAATGATGTCCATAGGTGTGTTTGTACTGGAAACTGCGTTATAATGGTTCTGGATTGTTAGCGGGGGGGGGGATTATACC